GTACATGTTGACCAGCAAAGTGTATACAAGGGTATAGGACAATAATGAGGACAATGCAAGTAGAACAAAGTAAGGAGACTATCTATTTATCATATACTTGGGTCTGTAAGTTTTGTTCCAGATTACCCTGGGATGGACGTTGCAATAGAGCTGGACAATGAGATGCAACAACTGGGAGTTGGAGCCCATACTAGACTTCTATCAGGCTGATAAGCCCTATACAGGAGCTCAAACCTCAAATCCACACAGCATTTATGAAGTACCCAGCTGACCACTTATTGTTGTCTGCAACCAAGGCCTCAACAAACTTCCACAGGTCAAAGTACAAGTGAGTGCCATAGTTGTGGTTGAGCTTGAGCCAGAGAGTACAGGCAGTGCAGGAAGGATTGTTGAGGATGAGAGGCTCAAAAATGGGGGCAATATTGGGGCTGAGCAAGCCCACAAGAGCAAATGCAAGAGTGGTGTCAAGATAACCCCAAAACTCTACAGTGAGGATGGAGGTAAGAAGAGAGGTAATTGACAGGAGGTGGTGGCTCATCAAGAAGAAGACAAAGACACCCCCAGACCCCAAAAGAATATTCTTGAGCTTCTTTAACCAGGTCCAGGGAGGTAATCTCAGGCACTGGTGAGAGGGGGTACTGAGGAGAGAACTTTTCAAAGGTGGGTGCTCCACAAGTTACATGCATCCCAGTTGGATGGGAGAGAGGCAACAGAGGTTGACATTGAGATTTTTCACTGTCAGTGTTCTGATGGAAAACCTTGTAGATTTGACAGAAAGAAGTGGAAGGACAGCAGCATGTACAGTTGATTTTCCAGCTTCTCAAGGTTCCATACAGGGCAATCAGTAGTGGCCCATTTGAGTGGAGTTCCATATAACTTCACTCAACAATGTTTGGGGTGGCAAAGTCCAACACAAATGTGTGGAGGTGACTTCACTAAACTGAAAGTGGGTTCCATCAGTACCACTGTTGGAGTTTGATACCCTAATTAGAGTTGTGTTGGCACCAATCAGAGTCACTAAAACCACTCAGATGGTTTCTGCAAGGCAATCTGATAACATCAAAGATGCATTTTCCTTTCATTCCACATTTCAAACTTCTACCAGACCTCAACGATGACCTCCCCACAACCTACTGATAAGTCTGCCAGCCCTGCTCCATCCCCCCAGAGTGCAAATGTGCATGCAAGGATATGGAAAAAGCCTGCAACAAAGGCTACTCCCAAGGAGCACCAATTGGTTGACAAGGTTTCACTTGAAAACCTCTCCTTGCCAAGGCCATGCTTGAAACCTCTCCCAAAGGATATCTGTATACTGCTGGCGCCTGAGCCTCATATCATCTGTAGTGTGCTAGGTGCCTGCACGCCCCATGTACTCTTTTTGGCTTTGCTTGCCTTTGTCTTTTCCTCTGTCTTTACTTCTGTTACTTGTTTTTGTTCTTGTCCTCTCTTCTAGTAAGGCTGTCTGACATACATTGACACACCATATTCGCTACCCTTACCTTCTTTTGCCCGTTTCCTCTTTCTTATTGTCTTTAGCCTTTTTTGTACGCTTTGCTGGTCGACTTGTACCCTTATTCGCTTTGTGCCATAGATGTATCACGTAGTCGCTCTGTCTATTGTCCTGTCACTTATTCCTGTATATAAGAAAGGCTGGGTGTTGGGACAGAGACCTCTAACAATCAACATTCTAACTCTTGTCTCCCCTCCTTCTCTTCTTTGACCTCTACTACTGCTTGCAAGACCTCAACCGAGCACATCCATGTCTTCCTTTTCTTGTACTTGGACTCGACTCGCATCTACACTTGGTGTTTACTACAGCTGTCCCCCCAGAGCAGGCCTGATCACCACATTATCCAATCCAACAACCAACAATGTGTCTTCACTTCCCATTGTTCTATCCCTGCGATCTCTATCCTGCCTATCCTCCCTTTCATGACGCATTGTCTCATCCATCTCATCCTGATCCATCTGATCCATGCTGTGCCAGTGAGCATTGAGAGTGTTGTGGAGCACTGCACAAGCCACCACAACTTTCTGTTGTTTTTTTGGCTGTTGTTGTAAAGGTTTGATGTGGAGGATGTGAAATCTGCCTTTCAGTAGACCAAAGGTGTGTTCAATGCAGTCTTGCAGAGATGCATGCTGCTGATTGAACCGTTCTTCAGCAGACTGAGGGCTAGGAGATATATCAGCATGATGCTCATCTTGGTCAATATATTCAAGGGCGCAATCAATCCTTACATTGTTCCAGGATCCCATGTGTGATACTTCACAGTACAATGAGGTGTCAGGATAGTGTCCAAGAGTGCATACCCAGCATTGCCCAAAACATAGATCTTAGGAGGCAGATCAAAGAGACCTCACAACTTGGCCATCGACAGGACCCTGGAGTCATGTGCTGAGCCCTCAACACCACATAGATGGATTTGAAATTGAGGTCAAAGTTACAGGCAGCAAATCTTCCCTGCCCAATATGTAGGCTTTCTTGCTGGATTGGTTCACCTTCACATAGACATGGGTTCCATTGACTGCCCCGCAGGCATGCTGGAAAACAGATGGCAAGTAATCCGCCAGTACAGGATATGGGCTGTCTTTGGCGGTAGGTGTCACGACCGCGCTCCAGCTTCCATGTCATCACACATCTAATTATGTGTTCATTATTGAGCTGGACGCATCGCGACACTCTTTCACTCAACACTCATCATTAATTCCTCGTTTGTGGCACCCCTCTTGATTATTCTGGTACATCACAGCCATCACATCGTACCAGGAGCTACGCATATCTAGAACCATTGCTATCACCACACTTGCGCAGCAATTGAGCTCCAAAATACAACAACTCCGACTTAAACCAATATCTCCAACCAAGACCTAGACACCCGAGCACCCTCATTCTTCTCCACCCCAGTTTCAATTCAGGAGACGCCCAAATTACTTTCTATACATAGAGATACTTCCTATACATAGAGACAATTTCTTTACATAGAATCCGCCTCCAAAATATCTTGAGCCGTAGCTATTTTAAGACTTATTTCCGTAACAAATCATGAGAAAGCACAACAAGCTAAGGGGACGGATTAGTCAGTTGGGTGGCAAATATGGGAAAGCTGAGTAAGCCAGTAGGGCTATGGATGTCTATATAAGTAGATAGTTTTACATAGATTCGAGGATCCCAGCGACCTCGAATACATCTGACTTGCCTATGAACTAGGAATCGCAAGCGAACAGGCCTATTCAAATTATACTAGCTAAGCCGACAAGAAGTCTTTAGCCTTAGGTTAGTGCAAGTCCCTATCAAGTCTAGGATAGCCTTGCTAATTGGTCCTGACACATACGCGTATATTGTTAATTGGAGTTAACATATACATAGATAGCCCTTCCCCCTTGTTTAAGATAAGAGATACTTTATACTGCTGAGCAGCTATAAAGGACACTGTGAGTAGGACCTGACAGTAGGCATCTTGCTCCATTGGCGGAAGATATCTTCTCTGGTGAGGGTTTCAACCACCGTCCAAAAAGCTATCATCTTGAAATTCGCATTTGTTTACACCATGATTGTTGAGGTTTGTTGAGGTAATAGGAGTTGAAAGGCTCACCCCCAAACTGTATCCTTGCTTCTCTGGTCAAAGTCTTCAGCAACAGAAGCCTGTGTTCCTCCTTTGCGCAACATCCATAGTGCCACCGCCAGCCTTGCTTCTGCCAACACTCCTTCTGACTCCAATTGATCAATAACTTGTGGGCTTAGAGGCTGAGGGACATCCAAATGCCATGTTGTCTGGTGTGGAGCCATTCTTCCATCTGCCGCTCCATGGCCCAGTAGCCATCATGAATTACTCTTTGCATTGGCCTGTTTTTCCTCCTCCTTTTGCAAACATGAAGGTAAGCCATTGAGGGTTGCAAAGAAGAGGACAATTGTGTCAAAAGAGGAGTGGTTGTAAGGGGCATTTATGACAAGAAAGAGGTGTTGTCATGAGTATGCAAAGTATATGTAAGGCAAATGGGACAAATGATGAGCGGCAAGTATGATGATGATACAAGAAACAATTCTAGGGAAATAAGAAACAGACACGCCGCAGTCGCCGCAGGAGAGAGGCTTGTTGGTCTGAACCAAAAACTCGAGAGCCTGCAAATTATCACCCGTTTTTTGAGTGCTTAAGAAGCGTGTATCTCAGCAACCGCCGATGCAATCAGGACCATTATTTGTGTGACAGGTAGCCACAGGTCATACTCAGTCCAACTCGCTTCATGCATGCTTCTATCATTTTTGTAAGGACAGCAATATCAGTAAGAAAAAGTGACAAGCCTGCAAGTTACACCTCTCCAGCCGCCGCGCGGTGCCTGAAACCAAACAAATTACAGTCAGCTGACAACACGGACCCTAAATAAGCAAAATTACAGTGAGCTGACCATGAGAGGAGTTAGCTCACCATTTATATATAAGAAGTTAGAATGGGTTAACACTCTTCAGAGACCGGATTTCAGCCTCGACCCTGAGAGGCAGTCCTGAGCGTAAGGGCCGGATGCAGGTTTACCACTTTCTAGCATGCATTCAGCACACTTGGCTACATGAATCTGTAGCTGTGGACAGCACAATATATGCGTAGAAAAATGAACACCATACATGCATTGACAGAATTGTTATGGACAAAAAACTGTTGTGTTGGGTTGCAGGCTCTCGAGTTTTCGGTCCAGAGCGACAAGCCCCTCCGTGGGTCCCTCCTCCAGCCGACGCGCGGGGCTTGCGTCGAGCCAGAGACGCTCCAGCGTGAACATCCAGCGGCCATGTCCGCAATCCTTTCTATTCCCAGACATTTTCTCACCCTGCTGCACAATTAAAAGCTAGGGATAGACCTAACAGGGTGAGCAACACTGCAAACAGCCCGCTAAATTAGGCAGCAGCTGGGATAGCTCAGGAGGCAGGAGTGTGATGCTCACTGACCTCCTCTATCATTTCTATCACCTCAAATATCATCAAGCCACCAATCCCCTACAGCAACGAGACAATGTACGAAGCGACTACGCAATACGTCTACGGCACAAAGCGAATAAGGGTACAAGTCAACCAGCAAAGCATACAAAAAGGTTAAAGACAAAAAGGAAGAGGCAATGGGCAAAAGAAGGTAAGGGTGGCAAATATGGTGTGTTGATGTACGTTGGACAGCCCTACTAGAAGAAATGAACTAGAACAAGAACAAGTAACGGAAGCGAAGACAGAGGCAAAGACAAAGGCAAGCAAAGCCATAAAGAGTACATGGGGTGTGCAGGCGCCTAGCACGCTACATTTTTTTTCTTTGTTTACCTCATTATGCATGCAATTATCACTCCCCCCAACAAGCTCTTGGCCCTGCACTTTCATCAGCAAATTGGTGCGTCTTGGAAAAGGCAATACACTCGGCTAGATGTACATACAGCCTGCAGCCAACATCACAGCACTCAACCTCGTTACAACAACAACCGTCTGGCTGCTGACAACTTGTACAAAGGCCTCGGTCGGTAGGATAAGCCGCCACACTTGGGCATCGCCGACTCACCGACTGACATCCATGTCACCCCGCGCCACTTAGTGTTGCACAGGCCGCCCGCCATGAATATATATATATAGATCGATAGAGCCCCCTGACTCTTTCATTCTTGCTTTTGTTCGGTTTGTACTACTGATATCCCACCTGACCATGACCACTCGCAGAACTCACAGAGACTCTCTCACAACAAGCTCCAATACCCTGACTCTGACAACAACACTGGTTCTATGGACTCCGACCTCACATCCACGACTGACACCCCGCTGGAACAGATCATGTACCTCCTCTTGGACCAACTGTCTATCGATCAAGCCGACAAGCGCCACCTCGTTGGACAGTACCTCAAGATCTCTGGATACTTCAAGGCATGTTGTTTCCCCTCAAGATCTCTGGACACTTCAAGGACATGTCGCCCCCCCAAGCTTATCAAGGACTACTATAGGTTGTGATCCCTTTCTACCGCATCAAAACTCATCTGGATACATGACTGACACAAGGCTTGCACCTCAGGTGCGTGATCCCAAACAACTTCGAGCGTAATCAGAAGGCGCACAAGAAGCTGTGGTCCCAGGCGGAGGCAAGGTATGGAGGTCTTCACGGGGTCCTAGGCCGTTAGATGTTTGGGTGCGGGTAGAATATTATGTACGAGTGGAATAAATAATGCACAACAAAGTATCTCGACAGCTTCCAGGCTTGCTACGGCCGTCTGTCTGTGCTATGTATTAAGGGGTGCGTGAGCCAGTGATATGTACAAGTGGCACCTTCTTCTCAAGTTCAAAAGTGGGAATGGTGTCATTATCAAACAACCATAAGGAGTTGTCTGCCCCTTGAAATGGGTTTTCAAGCATGCACAAGGGGGTTTTCAAGGCCTTGGGACCTTAAACAATATCCAATCTAAGGGTTGATATTTGATTTGGCTTGAAATGGTCTTTTGGGCCTTGATAAAGGTTTTCAAGCCCGGCCAAGTCCAGATTTTACAGCTCGCAGCTTCGGTGATGTGAGCTCTCTCTTTGTCCCTCAGGCATCCTTATCTTGTCACACAGTACTCCTACGTACAGGGTGTCAGATTCATCCAACAGATCAGGTTCTCATCTCTATATGGCTTTGCCATCAATCCATATGCATACATGCATCATGGCATTATCTTTGCACAAAAACAATGGCCAAAATTGAGGGGCCTGCACAATTTGTTTTTGACCTGTATGTGAAGCCAATTCACCGGCCACCGAAGTGGCTATAACACTCAAAGTGGGCATTCTTGATAGTGGCACAGCAGAGCTACCGCTGAGACGTTTCTCAAGCTTTGAAACCTACAAGATTCTTTGCAGGTCTCTGTTGAAATGTGAGGACTTGCGTTGAGCCCCTCCTTGCGTCTTTCGCCGCTTGTCAAGGAGGGGTTTTGTTGAGCCTATACAAGTGCGAGTTGCACGCGGGAAGCGGAACCAAATCAGTCGCGTGAGTCGTCGGCGCGTCGACTTTTGGTCGACTTTGACTTTGTGTTCTGTGTTGGTTGCTCACACTTCTTCAATCTTTCGTCAGTACGCAAGGGGTTCACTGGCCACTGCAGATTGTATGCTGGGCTAATCAACTTCACAGTCACAACATGTCGGAATCATCGGTCAGTCTTGACACCCTGCGATGACCGTCCAGGCTATGTGCTGATGTATCGCTAACAGCCTATTCTCGATCGAAAATTGGAAATGGAAATCCAGCTGCTATCAGAGAAAGCTACGCTTCCAACTCAAGGGTCTGCTTATGCCGCGGGGATGGACCTTTACAGCGCCGAAGATAAAACGATTCCTGCGCGAGGCAGAGCGCTTATCGACCTCCGACTGTCCATCGCTGTCCCTGCTGAACACTATGGACGGATCGCGCCCAGAAGCGGACTGGGTACGTAGCTCACCGCTAGCCAAGTGTTTCACAAACACAATAGCTGACCTTGAGAAAAGCGTCGAAACACGGTATTCAGACTGGTGCGGGCGTTATAGACTCTGATTATCGAGGCCCCGTGATGGTCCTTCTTTTCAACCACTCAGACGTGGAATTCGAAGGTATGGATTGGCAGTTCTTGACAGTGGCTCAGCTCACAACGTGTTGTCCTACTAGTTAAACATGGTGATCGTATTGCGCAACTGATTCTAGAACGCATTTCTCTTCCTGCGCTTCGCCAAGTCGATGTAGGCCATATCGCTCCTCTCTAGAGCATCTCCGTGTGCTAATGCTGTGAAATCAGACTCTCCCCACGACTGTGCGAGGTGCTGGCGGTTTTGGGTCGACGGGCGGTTTCGGTACTGCCGCCAAGAAACACAAGTTGGATCACGAGGCCGAACCCATATCCTAGAACTGGCATGACCATATAGGGTGCATATCGATGCATTTATCACACTTTCCAAATTTCTGAACGAGCACGATCCCACACTTGATGCTCTAACATGTCCTCAGGATGGGCAGTCTTCAACTCAGCCTCGGGTGTCGGATGTATGATGATCTTGGCATAATGTCCCGTAGCTCGAGCTCTCGCTAGAGAGGAAGGATTGATGACAAGAGTTGAATCCACTACCTACAAGTCATACTGCATCAGCTTTGTTTGACCAGCTTTCAATGATGAAACTTACCTTTGAGAATTTGTTCAGTTTGCTAGGCAAGATGAGAACATCAGGCATCGGGTCCATCTTCAGAAGGGGGTAATGGGTCACATCCAAGTTCACTTCACTTGCCAAATCCTCCAGCACCGGGAAGATAGGGTAGAAACTCCTTTGACCAAGCACCTGGCGTATATAGCTGGCAAACACGTCGTTAGAGGCACTGGACGCGAGTGCGGGGTCGGGATCCGCCTCGGAGGCTTTGATAGGGGTTTGAGATTGGCCCATATGAAAGAGAACGTCCACAGTTGATATGCCGATGTTGACCTCGTTGACAGAAAATGTGCAAGGATTGGGCAGCACCTTGACTTTCTGCAAATGTCTTAGCCATCGTAGAGAAGAGTATCGAGGGGCGACTGACCTTGGGAATTCCCAGTTCCTCTTTGTCCAACATTGCCTGAGGGAAGGCCATGTGCCGTGACACTACATCTCGCACGCTAGGCACCAATATGATCACCGTGCCGGAAGAAGCATCGATCACTTTCTGTAGACGTTCGGATATCTGAGCACGGAAAATGTCGGCAGGGCTTTCAGTCACAAGACCACTTTTGATGGCAGGATGCTGTGAGTCGATGAAGGGTCCTAGCTGTGATTTCGAATCAGTAAATGCAGCACACTGCCAATTGAACGACTTGCCAGTATAAGGACATCCGGTCGCTCCTCCGTAACCTTATTCAAGACTGCCTCCAGGGGCGCATATAGCAGATTGTCGCTAAGGGTGAATGGCCCCGAAGCGACACAAAGGGATATGGGTTGTCCTGTAAGTTTTTCGCCGTGCTGAAAATCGAGTAGCTCCGAGGCGGGTGTTTGACCCAGAAAACCGGGGGGAGGCTAGAGAAGGGGTCAGTTGAGAGGCGTTGTTAGGTGAGCCGCACGTACCACCAACAGCTCCTCGACGACGAATTTGCCCCCGCCTCCATTTCGCCCTTTCAGACAGACCAAGCAGCCACTATACATCGGTACGGATTTGGCGCCAGGCGCGCCTCCTCTGACTTGGAGCTGGTCACCCGGAAACTGAAGGGCGATCTGCCTTCCCCCTCCAATTAATCTGGATGACTGTAGATGAAAGGAGTCTCGGAGAGAAGCCTTGTCTATCTTGACACCTGAAGCGTTGACTACAACTCTTCCCACTGTGTAAACTGTGTCGTCCGTCACCAGGTGGGGGTCTGCCAATTCTTCGAGACCATAGGCTTCCTTGATAATCTCAGCATAATCGTCAATGAGCTCATCCAAAGCTTCACTGCGTTCCGAAATTTTCTCGAACATGTATCGATAGCTGTAGTCGGCGGAAGTGATGGTGGACGAGAGCTCCACACGAGGCTTGGACCCCTTCTTCAAATTGGTTTGGGACACTGGCGGTAGGTGGGGGTTCAAGGTGTCTGTGAGCGAGTTGACCGCCGACACTGGGGAGCCGGAGAGAATGGAGGGCGAAAGACTGAGACAGAGGTCAGAAAGTGCGAGGCGCCTATGACCGTTGTGGCAGACGTACGAAGGAGAGACACCTGATGGGCTGACCGGGCTGGAGGGGAAATGCAGGCCACCGGTTCCATGGCCAGTCGGAGTTTCTGCAAGGAGATCATTTGCGTTGGATGATAGCCTCGAAGGGTGAGGGCGATGACTACTAGCTGTGGGTGGTAACGGTGAGAGTCGTTCTGGGGTGGCCCATTGTGAAGTGGATCGGTCGACGTGCGTTGTAGATGCGTGGCTGGTGCCCTTCAGTGACGAGGTAGCAGATTGAAAATCTTTCGTTGGTTTGGGCCGACTGGGTGTGGCAAATCCTCCGAGGCTATGGTACCAGTATCAGAATAGCCCATACGGCCGGACGAGGGGACTTACAGTCCTTCGAGATCTGCCTTCTTGCCCTTGGTTTTCTTCACGCCTACGGCGGTCTTCTTCTCGGATGCAGGTAGCCCAGAAGCCCCCGATGCGCCCATACTAGCAACGGCCGAGGCTTGCTGAGCGCGCTGTAGCTCAAGCCGCAGCTCTCTGACAGTATCTATAGAGAGATCGGACAGTCTGGCGCGTAAGCCGGATGGCCTAGACATAACGAATGCCTCATATTTGAAATAGAGATCAGCAGGACTGAGATTGTACGATCTCAGTAGAGAGAGGCCTTGATGCGAGATAGTCGTGAGTGTCTGGCAGCGCGCTTGAGAAAAGGGGCTCACATTCGGCCATCACGTCTGGACGGTCCAACACAGCTGGGCCAAATCGATCCACCAGCTGTCTACTGGTGTCGGGTTCTGAGGGCGCGGACATTTCTCGAGGATTATCGTGCTGGCAGGGCGGCTGAAGGGAACGAGAGAAGTGAAAGAGAGGAATAATTTAACGCGTTCATCAAAGACATGAGACGCGTTTTGTTAAATATGATGTACGATTGTTAACGCGTTTGTATTACTTAACGCTGTTGTGCAAGAAATGTGCAGAGATACGCTGGGCAGCAAGGACACCAAGCATCGCATCTGCTGCCAATGCAGGACTCGGCGCACTCCGCATTCCGTCTCGCCGAAAAACACTTCAAGAACCGCGCCCATAAGGACTCGTTCCCCTCTCTCCGTCAATGGCAGCGGTCTCTCCTCGATCTATCTCGCCCTGCTGCTGAGGAACACGACGAGCTGTGGCAAGCGGGATGGTGGTGCCCCGATCATGATGGGACGCCTCCGTCGTCAGCCAGGCGTTCCAAAAAGACGAAGGCAAAAGACAAAGGTCACAGGCCGGAACAAGCCAGAATCGATCTAACATCCGTGGAACTACCTGATGGAAAAGTCGGATACGTTGTGGCGGACGGTATGTGAATAGTGATACTCCTAGCGATACGCATCTGACTATAATACCGTAATAGGCTGTATCCTTATACCTGGATACTTGTCCAAAGAGGAGCAATTGGCATATGCTCTCGAGTCTCTGGCCGAATACACCCTGCCTCCCAACCCGCTCTCACTATCCACACACTACGATCTCCCTCAGCAAGGTCTATTTGATCTACTCGTCAACGATCCTGAATCACTGATTCTACCTAAACATATGACTATCGGATCAGAGGGGGCAGTCTCGGAATCTCCTACCAGCCAGCCCAAGAACAGGGTCTTGAATGACACTGAACCAGCGTCAGTCATCGGCTATGACGAGATTGTAGCGCGTAACAAGAGCTGGAAAGGAGATGCCCCAAGCGAGAAATTGGGATGCAAGCGGGTTGAACAACTATACAAAGAGATCAGATGGGCCAACTTGGGATGGGTGTACCAAGTACGTCTCGTTCGCGGAGAGATGGAAAACACACATATCTAATTGTCTTTCCAGTGGTCTACAAAATCGTATGACTTCTCGCGTGAGACTCCTATCCCTTTCCCGAAGCCTCTAGCAGATCTTTGCTCGTCTGCTGTCGCGGCCATTCCTTGGCAGCAAGTGTTCGATCCGGTCAAAGATCCGCAGTCTGCCAATTATGGCTGGGAATCATGGCCGGACGATTATAGTAGGTTTCGGGATAGACCATACATGCGAAGATGGTCGCTCATATGGGGAACAGGACCAGATACCGGTATCGTCAACTTTTATCAACTGAACGACACTCTCATGGCGCACGTGGACAGAGCAGAGTAGGTGGGGCATGGGGTCCGAATTTGTCCACTGACAGCCATGCAGGCTCGATCCTGTCAGGCCACTGGTCTCTCTCTCGTGTGTCATCTTGCCCAAGGAATCAGGCCCACACTGATACATGTTACAGTCTTGGCCACGCGGCAATCTTCTTGTTGGGCTCAGACTCGCGTGATGATACTCCACGGCCAATCATCCTTCGCTCGGGAGATATGCTGATCATGAGCGGGCGTGGGAGACAGGCTTATCATGGTGAGACAATGAGCGACATGGACAAAGCTCGAGCAGCGACTGACAAGGTGCAGGTATCCCACGCATATTAGAAGGAAGCCTGCCCCTTCATTTAAAGGCTGCTGAAGGCGATTCGCTGGCGATGGCAACCGCGAAAAGATGGTTGTCCAGTGCCAGGATCAACATCAATGCAAGACAGGTGTTTCCTCCGGGATTTGTACGACCGACATCCCATACCACTGAATGAAATGCGCACGATGTGTAGTATCTCGAATCACCCGGGGTCGTGTTTGAGATAACACCAGAGCGCCTCAATGTTCATGTCATAGCGCAAAGTGACGTGTGAAAAGGGGTGCTGCCAATTTCACCAAGACACCAGCAGATGCGCTTATCAACGTGTTGCCCTCACCAATGTACACATGCTACTTCACCAGTAACTTCTACAGCTTTGCATGTTACAATCACTTGCGGATATGTGAAGATGTACCAGAAGTTGAATCGGTGCAGGTCCGAATTTGGCGAGCATACGAATGCATGTGACTAGATGACAACAACGGGCCCTGTCTTTAGATCTTGACCTAAGAAAAGCGGCGAGTCAGTGACTATAGTCAAATTAGATCACGCCCGGTACTGACCTGCTTGAGACCGTCCCTCCAGAAGGTGAAGTAGGGGGTGACACCGTCTTCACGGTAGTTCTGGACGCGCATGATCAGCCGATGAGCTCTTCCATAAAGAAGGAACGCTTACCAGCAAAGCGACCATACCATCGGGGTTCATGCTCTCTCCGACGTAGAACTCGTAGTCCTTGAAGTTACCAACAATCTTCTTGGCAAGCTCTTGGGCATCCTTTTCGAAGGCAGCAACTCGCTCAGGGTTAGCGGTCTGGAGGTGAGCCTTGACAGCCTTCATGTAACCCTTGAGGTAGGTGAGGTAGGACTGGAAATCAATCAGACATCGTTCAAACAGATTGAGCAGCTTGCTCACCTTCTTGTCGAACTGAGTGGACTGGAGACGGAAGGAGTGAACAACGTTGTTGACCTGAGTAGCACCCTCTTCGAGGGCTTCGGCGACCTCCTCGGCGGAAGGGTTCCCTCCTAATGACAGTCAGCGTAAATACAGATGAGGCCCGCGGAACCCAATGCAAACTCACCAATGTCAACATCGCCCTCCTTGACGATGATGTTGGCACAGTCAACCTCGTAGGCAATCAAACCAATCTCCTTGCTGAAGTCAGAGCCAGATGAGCATGGGAATCGTGCGCGGGCAGAAGAGCTTACACAGGGAAGGCGTCGGAGACCATCTCGTCGCCGGTAAGAACGTCGGTGTAGATCAACATTGTGCTGGTGGGTTTTGTGGGTTGGTGGGAGGCGATGAAGGAGAAAGAGAACAACAAAAGAGCGCGGAGCCAGCAAGTGCGTGGAAACGTTTTTCGTTTTTTCCTTTTTCACGGCGCTTGTTACGTAATAGTCATCAGGAACAATCTTGCCACGTGGCGGTATGAGGGGCCTCCCATCGTCGAAAAGTTCGCGCTGCTCGGAAAAGACGTGGTCCACCGATCGCATCCATGTTATCTGCCTTCATATCTTCTCCTCCGTCGCTTTGCCTACAAGGACAGCATTCTGGCAGCGCTCAGCGATGTTTGCTCGATTATCGCCTCGGCCTCTGGATCCCCAATTAACGACCAGATCCGCCCGTCGCCGATTTACATCCTCTCGCTCTTTACTGGGCACACTATCGGATCTGGCCCGCACGGCATCCCATGACCTGAGAGGCACAAATTCAGCTCCTATTAGACCGAAACCTTCTCGTGCAACTTCAAGAACATTGCTCTCGAAAGCTACCACCACGCAAAACGCTCTAAAAGCGCAGGCGCAAGCCGAGCTCGAGAAAGATTTGTCTTTCCAATCGTCTTTCGCTCACTACAAAAAAACGAAAGCATCCCGCACCTCCAGTCTACACATTGTCCCCGCTTCCAGACAAAATTTGCAGGGTACTCACTCGTCGAAACAAAGTGTTCGAGGTCGACACTCCAGGCGGCCAAATAGACTGGTGTGTGAAAAACACGACGGTACGACAGTTGACAGGACTTTATCGGGCTCGCAAGGGGACAGCGGAGGAGCCAGTGATGACTCATCCACAAATGGTCAGTATACCGAACACTGTATTTGTGGCACCAGCTGATATAGATCAGATACATCGTCGAGCCCAATTCATGAGCAGGATTCTTGGCCAGTCGCCTCGAGCACCATCGAGTCCCGCGGCATTCAAATATCTGGTATGTGCTCTACTTTACAGTCACCTATGTTTGCGCTCATCGAAGTCGTCTAGCTATACAACCCCGCCTTCCGTCAGAGATTGCGTCTCTTCACCACGATCTAGAGACTGTGCTGTTCAGGTGCGTATATACGAGTACACCGAGAGACAAACTGATACAAGGTGGCGTATACAGTGAGGGGGTGCAACATTTACGAGATCCACAAACAGGCGTATGGAATTTTGACTCGTTCTTACAAGACATACCTGCGCCTTCGGAATACGCCTATCATCGCTCGCCGGGGTATGTCCCGCCTTCTCAGGATTCAGTAAGCACCTCAATGTAGGTCGGACTCCTGCTTACGACAACGCATCAGGAACTGTTGCGCCTAGCGGAGCAACATTCTTGCCAGTTTTACGGCTCAACTTCAACTGTGTCAAAGGCCTTGAGTCAGATTTATTTTGCTATAAGTGGTCAGTACTCATCTTCATGTGATATTGACCCCTGAGACTTACGACTTGTATCACAGGACGGAAAGGGGTGGACATATCGTATCTAAGTAAGGGCTTTGCATCAGAGGTGAGAGGAGTAGTTTTACGCATGCGTAGACGCTCATCGTGACGTATCAGCGCTCGGCTTTCACACGAGGTGCGGAATTGCCTGCAGCGATCATATTGAACAGGACCGCAAACGGACACTATGCCATTGACAACGACAAGGCTTATGATGTGGAGAATGTCCTTAGCGATTTTGTGGGATCAGTTCTACTTGCATGCTTCGCTCAGCTTACTCATCATGCTAGGGACATATCATGGAGAAAATGTTGACAACAAATGCGACTGATTTTCAACGCTTTCTCAAAACAAGCCCAGAAAACGCCGTACCGGAAGAGGAGCGAATCAAAAGAGAAGCATATCACCATATGAAGGTATGGCCAATGCCAGATCATGAGGCATATATACCTGATACACAACGCAGGTCGGATCCCTGCTGCTACGTTCTCAATTGGATTGCCGCCATCCAAGGCTTCCGGGCTCTGGCGTGTTCGATATCAAGACGAGAGCCTGTTTTCCTGTCCGAATTGACTCGGAAAACTACATTGTACGTTTTACCAAGCCCAGACATATATGTAACTGATCAATGTAGGCCAATTCCGTGTATGACATAGCCCATCTGACAGGCGTCAAAGGCTCCTATGAAAAGGAGTGAGTTTGTCATCTGCCCTGGCGTCTTTTCAACTAATTTCTCGCTCTAAGATATTACGATTTGACTCGCTCTGCGATGCTAAAGTACAGGTATGTCGCAATGGACAGATATTGACATCCACTAACCCGCTCAATCCTACAAGCTTTCAAGTTCGCATAGGTGCCATGGAGGGTATTTTCGTCGCCTATCACAGCACCTCTCGCATATTCGGTTTTCAGTACATCCCATTGTGTGTCCTCTAGGACTTGCGGTCGGACTCCAGAAACTTACATCCTTTTGCAGAGCTGAAATGGACAAACGGGTCTTTGGATCCAGCGAAATCGCAGATGCTGCTTTCAAAAACTCAGTCTCTATCCTTGAGCAACTCCTCCATCATTGTACATCTCTCTTCCCGTCCGAGGTCAGTATTTTGCTTTGCAATTGTCGCAAATGCTAACCATGCTCTGTGCTGCCTGTAGAGTGTCAAGATAGTCATGAGACATACACCCGCTATCGATCCGCATTCCATCACGGCCTATGTCCAGCCGAAGAAGTGGATCAAGAGAGACGGACCATGTCCCGTTCAAGCGGTGACTTTCATCATGGAAAACTTTCTCAACGATCGACCCGTTACTGGGCCCATGCCAGCTTATGGTTTGGACCCAGAAACGGGCAGAGCGCCCAGCTGTGAGTACTTTTCGGCTCAAAAACCAACTACAAGTCCTGATACGACCCATCAACCAGGGAAAATTAAATTGACGATCTTGATAACCCCAAAGGACTTGTCAGGGCATTCCAAAGCTCGTGTCGGTCTCCAGCGATCTCAGGCTCGGCTGCGTACAATGTCAAGGCGATTTGTTCCTGAAGGGGAAACTGTAGAGAGTATGACTCGCATACGAGGGTCTACTAGTGTTCTCGCACGGGCTGATGGTCAAAGTCCAGCCGAAAGCCAGGACATCATCTGGAGGGAACCATCAGCCGATATTGAACGTATGAGGCAGGAGGTAAAGGAGTCCGCCAGACAATACCACGAAAGGAGACGGACATGGAGCTAGTGTTCGAGAGGAATTCATCCATCATATTACAATATTACAGAGGCATGGAGATGCTCCTCATATCTATCCATCAATATGCGAGGACCTGTAGATGTAGAGTAGTGTAGAGCATGTACAACACGAGTTCTCCGTACTACTGTACTTCTATTTGATAATTGACTGGCATGTGGCAGCATACACTGATCCCCGTCTATGTCGCAGCCGGTGGTCATGCCTTCCATGTGAAGATAAAGCCGATACTTCTGGATATCGCATCGTATGGTTAGGGTTTATCTTGGTCATGAATAGTATACCGAGGGTAAATCCATGGTAACAGCCTACTTCCTCCCCTCATTCTATCTGCACATATAAGTCAGAAAAATTGTCCATCATGATGCCATGCGATCAGACGTACATCTTCAAAGCTTCTCAATGATGTGTTGTACCCGAGCGCTTTCCAGAACGCGAACTGACCAAGGACACGGCAGTAGCGGCCCGGGATCTTCTTCTTCTGAGATCTTTTTGAGAAGAAGTGTCTTTTCGATTCAATCGATGCAGTTCTTTCGAGACTTCTTCCATCTCCTTCGCGTCTTCCTGATCCTCTACTTTGTTGATGCCTCTGCTTTCCCTAATTTCTTCCTCCATAACTTCATCCAGCAGAGCCTGTTGCTGCGCTGACGAGGCACTAACAGTCCGATGTCGACCTGAGATGTAGCTCGCGGACCGGGCCACTCGAGGTGTAAGCAATGTTGTCGATCTAGCGACCCGACTTGGAGAGCGACTCGGAGTATGGAGCGTCTCCACATGGTCCGAGGTAGACTCGCGGTAATTAATGTGACGCTCTTTCTGTGGCGTAGATGGCGCATTGTCATTCCCCAATATCGGCTCAGGCAAAGACGTTGCAGACCCTGAATGAATCGCAGCCCTCTCAGAGTCATTACCCAAAGTCGCAGGGCTATCTGTTTGCGGAATCGCAGAGGAGCAAGCAAATGTGCGCATCATGATATCTCCCCCGGGTGACTCGGATATCGTTTGCGGGTCCCTGAACAGTTGGGACAGACGTGGCGGCGAAGGGGCATCAGTATGGCGACGGATCGCGCGCCCGGGGATTCCGTCATACCATACATGTTGCTCTTTCTCAGGCGAGAGACCGGGGCTGTCGACATGTGATAAAAGGGGCTCTGTTTTTGATCTGTAAGGCGCAGGTCTCGAGGCCGCAGGAGACACAGTGTTCTCCTCCTCTGACTCGTCGTATTTCGGTAAGTCGACAGACCAGTCGCTGATTTGCCCTGATCCGCCTGATGAGGTCGTCAAAGAGAGGCGCACTTGAACGCAATCGTCCAGATCAATAGCCGACCTGGGATCTCTCTGAAGGAGTAGAAACTCCTCATAGGGATCGGTATAGGCAGGCTGGTCATCATATCCTCTGGACCGGTGATACGGAGGAATGTCCTCCCAGGGAGGTAGAGGGGGGTGGCGAGACACCAGCGCCAGTCCATGCGTTTCGTGCAGAGGAGTCAGTTTTGGCGAGAGATCATCAAGCGCTGTGTTGGAATCTGTACGCTCTTTCAAGTGAACTTTTGAGTCGAGGGCGGTGAAGAACGTGCGGTCAAACGGTATAGGCTTGCGCTCAGAAGGCAATTGGTGTTTACCAATCCAACCCCCTGTCCAATAACGAAAGTTTCTTCTGACCGTTTGAAATGTAGATTTGGAGTCTCCTTCTTGTTTTCCTCGCTCCTCGAAGGTCTCTTCGTCGTCAGAACGGTCATAAGGGTCAGAGCCACCCTGTTCGTTCCCGCTGATCAAGTTATTTGCAGGAGGACATAGCAGATCGGCTTCTTCGTGGTCCAATCTGTGTTGTTGCGTCATTCAGTATCGACAAGCAGAGGTTTTAGGGGCACTCACCTGTCAAATCGTCTCTTGAGCGCCCGGGTAATGCTGCAAAGCTATTGTCAGAAAGCAATACACCGGCAGAGCTGTGCAGCACTCACACTACTTTGATTGACAGAGTCAAGGCAAAAAGTATACCTGTAGCTGCGGCGTGTCCCTTGGCTTTGTCTGTGGTGCTGTCAGTTGTGACAAACGTCTTGCAATCACATTCTTCCGCCCACGTACTTAGGACGAAGAAGGCAAACAGGACAAATTGGGCCAGCGCGAGGGCGTCGGTGCTATATCGCTGGATACGGATGCTTGACCGTCGACCGTTGGTCTCGTAAAGGCGCCCATAAACGAACACGAATTGACGCTTCCAGACAACTGCGGCAATAGTGAGTAGTTGGATTTTCGCGTTGCAAGAAGGCACTTACTGTACAATGCTCCGTAGTACACAAGCGCTATTGCGGGTAAGCTTTTTCCACTTAGAGGATACCGCGACTTACTGAAAGCAATTACGAGCGGGTTCAAAAGCATGAACAGATGCATGATAGCGCCCCCGAGAACATGTTGAGGCAGCTGTGAAAAGTGGCTGAACGTAGGGCTGGAAATACGGTCAGCAATTGCCAGTGTCCTTTGTAGTGGAGACTCGCTGTTCCGTGCGCGAACGTCTCTGCCGAGGCACAACAGACTGCCGAGTACCAAATACATAGACAATTGTGGGAAGCTGAGATGCATAAGCGCAAATTTTGCGGGTGAGGCCGAGTGCTGGCGCTTACACCAAGACGGAAGATCTCGAAAAATGGCTGGATGGCCACTTGCAACAAAATGTAGGATGAGAAATATGGCGCAGCAGTGGGCTAGTTGAGGGCAGGCGATCAGCTGACGTTCACAAGCAAACGGCAACCAATCTCACGAAAGCAGAGGATATGATCGGCAATGGATCAAAAGACTTTGCCTGGAATGCGGTGAGGTATGCCTCGATGGTAGATTGGCCGATCTGAAAAACGTGAGTAGAGTTTTCGTAACGAAGGCAGCAACCAGAAACTTACAGCAAAGAACACAACTCCATTGACCATCACTGGTATGGAGATTAGCGCTATGAATGTTTAGACAAACAAACCAAACCGACAAAATTTCCAAAAACGCTCCAGAACGCTGTTGTGTATTCCCAGTCTGGTCACCGTCGTCTCGGCCTTATTCGCGATGACCAACAAGAGCGGACAAATAGCAAGAGTCAAGAGAGCTACGAAGATGACGGGAGCCAAGGAGGTGATGGCTGACGCTGCTTTCGGGTGTTCATCCAGGAACTTCTGGAGAGGTTTCACAAATCCGGCGATGTTGGTTAAAGATGCCAATGCACACAAGATAGAAACAGGAAAGATCTGCAATGTCAGCTTGGCCAGCTTCTCGGTTGACTCACCCAAACCAACGTGAACGCCCACACCCCAAGATTTACCACCCAGCCTCGCACGAATTCTGATCTATACGCGCTTTTATATAGCCGTGGCCATAGCAAGTCTGTCCATTCTGGCGCCGCCGTCGTTCGACAAGACAAAGTTCTCTTCGGGTGACTATCAAGAATCTTGAGCGCCAAGCGCGCTGTCTTGGCGTCTTTGAACGTGGCGAACGCTGTTGAGGCAGCAGGATAATCTTCTACTGGCGTTGATTGGGCTTCGTCGATCAGGTCGGTAATGTAATTAAGCTTGAGGGTAAGGTAGTCAATTTTGGGAGCATTATTTTTGTAAAATGGCGCAATTATGGGCGAGTGAGTCAGTTCTTGAAATGGGTCTAGGCATTCTCGAGGGACCGAGTGCAGAATCTGGACCAAATAAGCAATTGTCACAGGTGGTTGATAGATGCACGTACGTCCCATATGGTGTCGTCTAATTCAGTGGTCTTTGCGTTGACATAGGGTTTGAGCGCTTCAACGAGAATAGACATGCGCGCGAGTTTGACGGGATCTTGTATTTGATGTAACTTTCGAGGATGTCGGTGATACTTTGTGACCTCTTGAAGAACACGCTGTGCCAGCTTCGTGTGCGCCTAAAGTCTGTATCAGGGTATTATCCTTCAATCATCTGTTGACTCACAATCTCCAGTTGTCTCAAAACGTTCTCTCTCCGGTTGCGGAGGTTTTGCAGTCTACTCAGTTTCCGGACCAGAACGATTTCTTCGACATCACTCCCCTCTGAGGGCTCCACATCCACGGAGTAGGAAGGGTTTTGCCCAATCGGTATGACTTGCTTGATTATTGTACCAATCGGAACTCGTTTCTGTGGATCAGCCTTTCGAGCATGGTGGCGCTGGATATAGTAGTCAAAGTACTCTTTCAAGACTTTCTCGTCTCGCATGTCGGGCGGGATGTTCGTGACCATAATGGTTCGGAATCGCTTGAGCCCGGGGCGATCCGCGTAGGGATGGATATCATCCTGGCCTTCCTCCCCGCGAGACTTTAGCCTGGCCGCTGCCTTCTCCTCTTCCAGCTTTACCCCCAACGCTCTGATCTCTCGTCTTCTGTAGGCCAGAGCGCCCCAAGTAATCCACAGCACCACACATATCCAGGTGATGGATACCCACCAGATCAAGAGGGCGTGTACCCAGAGCCACTTGGATCCTGACGATTTGACGAGTGATGAGATGGATGCGCGAAGCATGGAGGTTTTGGCGACGTCGATGGGAGAATAGAATATGTGGAGGGGCATGAGAATGGGCATAATGATGAGGGCATGGAAAAGGGTATAGAAGACTGCCGCATGAGTGCTCAGTATGGCAGCATGACAAGCGTTGGCCCAACACTTACAGGAGGCACGCAGGAATCTCGCATGAAGCGTGAGATCTAGACCGCATTTGGCAGGCATGTCGGTCTCCTTGAACTTGAGGCTGGCTACGATCCACGCCAAAGGCCATTTGGGGAGAGATTGCGAGGCATTGCTGAACATGGTCAGAGCACATTCCTGTAGACGACACATTGCCCTGTTGTATACTTACACTGCCCAAACTTTTGGCTGGTATATACTGCTATCGTCAGCCGATGCCTCCGGCATTGTAAGAACTCACTATCCAAACTCCCAGTCCTCGCGTGACTTTGGCCGATCGCTGGGCCTGTTCGCCTTGTCCTCGACGAGCCCCTCACTGCTCGTCCGCCCGTCTCCCTGTTGAGGGTGGTGCGATCTACTGGATGTGCGTCTCTTCCAGCCCCTGAGCGCTTGGTATATCCTGACTACGAGCAGGCGCCTGGGTCCGTCTGTGCCCCTTTGTCGTGGGACGCGGACCTCGAGCTCGTGACCGATGAGACAGACGCCTGCGATGGCGAGGGTGAGCCAGAGGTTGTCGAGGAGGCCGGAGTACTTTGCGTTGTAGTTTGTGTGCTGTGAGAGGTCGGCCATGGCGGTGCACACCGAACACACCGAGAGGAATGCACCAAGATGTCTGCACAATGTTGTTAGTTGAGGCTGAGACGGCCGCCGCCCAGGCACGCTCAGCAACGTGGTAATGATGCCGGGCCACGTGTTGTGGCGGTGTCATCCGACGCCTGTTATTTGCTGGCGGCGGTGGCCGCTGCTGCATGGCTCCTGGCCTCCTGCTGTCTGGCTATCTCTGCTCGCTGTCCATCCCCAGTCCCCACGCGCAGCATCCGCCATGGTCCGCCCCAGCGCCCTCCTCCGCAACGCCCCCAAGCCCATGTCCGCCGACCACACAAAGTACCACGTCGCCTCCACCGTACGTCCCCCATACCCTGCCACTGCTCCCTCTGACCTTCTCGCAGGGTTTCTGGAAAAAGTTCCGTAGGTCGACCTGTTCAGCCTGCCTCGCTGGGAATAGGGTATCGCTAACTTGCATCGCCTGGATCTGATTGTGGCCCGCAGGAGACAACGTTGCCGGTGCGTCCAATGCCCCCGCATGGGGGACGAATGTGCTCACGTCTTCGTCTAGTCAACCCCGAGATCTCTACAGGTCTGCCCATCCCCACTCTGAACCGTTTCCCCCAGCCCGCTTCTCGACCTGAGAAGTATGCCACCCCTGCTACCAGCGCTAGCGACCCCGCCTTCAACCCTGTTGGTGTTTTGCTCATATCCCGAGATTGCTCGAGGCTGATTGGGCGATAGTACTGGAAACGAGACACTCGCCGCTCCTACCCCCAAACTTCCGTCATTACCCAGACCCACCTCTCCAGCCTTCTTCTCTCTTCCCCGACTCTGTCATCCCTTCCTTCGCCCGAGACAGCTGTCGAGACCAAGCAAGAGTCTTCTGCCATCGCCCCGGGCTCGGAGCCCTCAGATGCTCAGCAGGTTGTGGCCGCTTCAGAAGTCCCCGACCTTTCGACAGTGTTGGAGAAGATCCCTGCGGGGAAGGCCTTCTTGGGAGGTGGTTTGACGACTGGGCAGGGGTCGGGAAGCTTGCCACCACTTCCTCCTGCGTCCAACCTTCATTCGGGTGTCAAGTGGACGCCAAAGGCAGGCGCCGAGGTGCCCCACGGCAAGTACGATTACTTCCCCATGTACACCGTCTGCTAGATAGCGGGACATGGTCGTGGGCGATAGTCGATCCTGGTGATGTACCGGTCAGACGGACGACCATGGTGTAAGATAAGAGGCTGAGGTTGGATGAAGCATGCATCGAATCAGCAGCACGATCAAGCATACCGATTGAGCAGGTACACTATTAATTGGAAAACTAATTCTATATCCCACCGTTTCCACCGCCAGACGTCTACGCCGGTGGGAGCGAATCGTCTACGTCTCTGGGTCCATATCCGCCCATCGCGCCGAAGCTCTATCCAGTCCACCCAAGTCCCTCTCTCCCACCAGCTCGCGCACGATCAGATACATTTTGTTCAAACATATCGTAATGTGCACCAGAGAGGTACTGGAGGTAGCACAAAGGGTAAATTGCTCACTCTGCACAAAAGATCAGCTTTTGTTTCCTTCTTGTTGTACCCACGTACATTGCAATTCTCCCACGTGATGAGCCCAGCCATGACCTTGGCAGCATTGTCAGACTCCAAGACAGATCCTGACAGGGTAGCCCCTTCTTCGGACACCCTGTCTGCACGATGGCTGCCCTTTCGCTTCTGCACTTCGTTCACACCTTCACTTTCACCATCTACCCGGTTGACAAAAGCCTCGCTCTCCAGGTCGGTCTCCGTCGTACTACTCATCCACTGCCTTCTGATAGTCCGCCCAGCACTCTCATGCATCGCCAGCCGTTCAAATATGGGGAGCATAGGAGGCAGGGGTTCACCTGTTTTGAGGGATTGTTGAAGGGCAGAGAAGAGCATTAAGCAATCGCCGATCTGCACCAGGGTCAGCCCAAGGTCATGGGCGCAACAGGCGGCAACCAGACTCACAAAGGCAGGGTGCATGAACAGACTTCGAGTGGCTAGGCGCTTACACCAAACCACTTCCAAGCGAGAGTAAGCCGAAGACAACAGGGCGAGTGTGACCAAGATCTCGTTTTGTACCTTGTACAATTTTGAGTATGTCTCCTTTGGCCAGGGACCCCTAGAGAGTTGTTAGCTCGTGCACGCAACGTACTTGCCCAATACTTACTTCAACCCGATCTCCAGTCTGGCAGATTCAGCAATGGATCTGTATACCGAGAAGGACCACTTACGACGCATACATCATGTGAACTTTCATGGCTTCCATTCGCCCCTGAATGAGATCAGCGGGTTGTTGTCGCAATCTGTCGTCACAGTAAACCCACAAGGATGTGCATGAACTTGCCCTTATATCTTTCCCGTCGTCCATTTTCATCCACTGCCGTCCCCCACTCGGCTGCATCCACCTCGTCTTCAATACCAGTCACTACCTCCCCATATAATTCCGATATATCTCTCATGTTTTTGGCAAGGCGACGGCGGAAAAGGGCTCGGGCAGAGGTGGGACGAGGGAAGAGCATACAAATGAATGCTGCAGTGAACCCTATCATGATTATCAGCACAACAACGTTAGTGCTCAGTGGCATGCTGACCAATGATGACGAGAAGCGCACGTCGGCCGGCGAGGGCTGCGCCGACACCCTGGCTTGCCGTAGTATAGATATGCCCGTCAATCCACGAATAGCCAACGACCAACTGATGTCGATCAGTAGGCAGGCCATACGGTTTATTGAGAGACGCACCATCACCGTCACGTTGGCCATGAGGAAGAAGACAGCCTTTGAAAGCGGAGCAGCTATTCGTATAAACAAAAAGGGTGCAATGAGGACCATCTACGACGTGTCAGTGACATTCTGCTTCAAAACCTAGCAGCTCACTGTCGCCGCAGTAACACCGTAGGGGTTCCCGTTGCCATGACCAGACCCAATATACCATGCCAACATACCGATCACAAGACCAGCAACAGTTCCAGACTATACATGATGAGCATATATGGCTTTTGTAGGCTTTTTTAGCTTAGATACTCACCATTCGTAGAATGAATGCGTTGATCTGCTCTCCCGTGAAAACGCCCAATCCAGTCTGCGACATGATCAGGGCCCACAGCCCTCTGGAACCGGAGCGTCAGAGTTCACAAGGCTTCGCGGGACTTAAAGGACGTACCTATTGACGTAGTAGAAGTGCGCCGAGCTAGGGCACACGGAAGGCACAAACAGAGCGACAGAGACGAGTGCATACTTGAGAGCAAATACCCCAGAAGTACCAGAGAGCCCTTGCCAGAGAGTGTAGACGTGCCGTCCGAAATGTTGCAGAGAATTACGAGGGTCCCTGGCGTCAGGGTCTTTGGCTGTTGCTCAATGTCAGGCGTGTTGGACGTCATGTGAGGGTGAACGTACCGTAGGTCTTCTTCGACTTTTGCTTCTTGGTTGGCTTTGTATGCTTCTGGTCTTCATCGTCACTGTCGTCGTCCTCTTCCGGGGACACACGGCCCCTTTCCTCTTCTGTGGCGGCATCTGTATCCTTCAGTCCCATATCCAGAGGGTTTGGGTTTCCGTTCTTGTCATTGGCTGTTTTGAGTAGCATTTTTGCAAATCTTTTGGGGAATTGGATCTTGGCCTTCGGATTGGCTCGCTCAATCTCCAACAGTAGTTCGAGCAGCGCAATGAGTGACAGGGCAAAGGGGACGATTGTTGCTGTCAACACCAAAGCCCGGGAAAGGTCGTGACCGGTGAGTCTGAAAGAACGCAGCATGCCGCTTTTGAGAGCACCCGTGTCGGGATCGAAAAGGCCACTAAATGGCTCCAATAAGGCAAATTGCTTTGAGACTCTAAACTCTTGCAACGCCCGCTTGAGATTTGCCAGATTTTCTTCTCTTTGTGTAATAGGAGGGGAGTCGGCCGGAACTTTTTTCCATCGTGTGTGGTTGACGAGGAAGAGCCAGTCGCTGATATCCCTCAGAGCTTTGATTGAGCTCCCCCGCAGGTCTGCGCTAGAGTCTGCCAACACGGGCAGTAACCCTTCAAGACTTTTAGCTGGTTCCGTGAGTTGTCGAAGTCGCTCAACGTGTTTCTTGGTGTGATGGTGGGGATGGGGATCGGTAGCTTCTTTGTCCTCTTCATCGGACCGGCGTTGTTCTTGTATCAACATCTGTCTCCAAGTCGGCTCTCTGACCTTGTGGGCACATCTTGCACTTACAACAAAACTGGTAATGCTATACAGCCTGGCCCCGAGATCCTTCGACTTGACAAATATCCTCTCCGTATCTGTGGGCCCAATTTGCCCTCGAGTGATTTCTAGCTGTAGCATCCCAATCTGCTCCTGCAGTGCAGTTATAGCCGATACGTGCTTATCTCTGATAGCGTACGTCTTGTCAGCCAGTTCTGCCCATTTGGACTTGTCAGAAGGCGAGGTCCGAAGGACTTGATCCTGCAGGTCGAGGAGCTCGATACAGGGAGCGATGATGGTCTTGGTAAAAGCGTTGAGGACGATGTGGTTGAGGGTTTGAGGGAAGATTAGAATGACTGAGGCGATCGCTATGGCAAAGAAGCAAGCGGCTGGTAATGCCAATTGTTTCTACGACCCATACAGTAAGTGTAATGACGATCGTGATATCTTGAAACATACTGCCAGCGTGTATTGTTCATTTGGGAACAGGGGACCGATTGTGCACATCACTGGTAGCTTCAGGTCAATTCAGGCGAACTTGTGATAGGAGAATGAACTCGCAATCCAAGATGATGGTCGCAAACACACATCCGAGAGTACTAGGACGACATCAGTCATATACTCGGTGTGGTGTACCTGAAAATCAACGGAATGAAACGCACAGCTTGGGACGAACAGCTCGTATGAATCCGAGGCCGTAGGCTCCTACAAAGAGGAACACACCGTAAACAGCAGACGAACGCGGGTCAAGGAAAGCGCCCCGAAAGATGGATGCCGAATCTACAATGGCAACACTATCAGCGAGACTCTGGGCAGGGGAGAGCTCTGTCGATACCTACATTGAAGCTCGATGTTTCCACTTTGGTTATAACTGACGGCGTTGTGTCAGTCCAAGTTCCAGGACAGCAGATCTGAGTGCTTACCCAGCTTGCTCCGCCTGAACTTGTGATTGCAACAAGACCTGACTCCGGGCACGCATAGCAGCAGCCATAGCAGCCGCCCCCCACGCCCACCCGAAACAGATACCCAATACCATGGTCAGGATCACAAAGAGATAAATCCCCAATGCCATGTAAGGGGGTATCATTTGAGAGACCAGAGGCGCGAAGAAAGTTGCCTGACCGATGACATTGAGTGCTGATGCGTATCGTCAATGGCTGTTCATGTATGGGATGAGAATGGGAGGCACTCACAGCTCTGGCATACCAAAAGTACGAGTGTCGCAAAGGTAGCGAGCATGCAACGGATAAAGTTTTTCCATTGCCTCCGATCCGTCCAAGAGTCTTCGAGCCAGTCAGGGATATGGAGTTTCTGGGTCCATTTTGAAGATGTTTTGGCCTTTGCGACGCCTTCCGAGGTCTTTTCTTGGGACATGCGCAATAGAGACCAGCAGACTGGAGATGGGGCGATGGAAACGGCAATGCGGTGGTGAAAGTTGTGGATCTCAGTGAAATCTCCTGTTCGGGCGTACACAAACAACCCAAAGCGCCACATCGTCATCTGCGCGGAGACGGCCGCCGCCAGGAACTGCTACTGCGGCTGTGCGGATGCCCGACAACTCGAGATGGCCGACTTCCGAACTCAACATGTCCATCCGTCTCCCGCATGTCTCTCCGCGACTCGTCTTGCTATACCCTCACCATCAACCCCCACTCGGCAGACCCCGCCGTCGTCGAGCTCGTCGAGTCCTTCGGCCCCGCTAAAGGAGGCGAAGAGCCTAGATACGCCAGGGTCAAGGAGACCCAGGCAGGCGAGGGGTACTCGGCTGCACTTTATGGTAAGTTGGTGCCGAGCTGAGCATAGAGGTTCCACTCACCCATGCGCTGAAGACGTCGTTACTGGTGCAAGGCTGGCATCAGCTGGATATGTCGTGGAGAAAGCAAAGTCACGGCGGCTACAGCTGCACGGACCAGACGAGACGATACCCTTTGATTTCACAGGCAAGATGTGAGTACGGTTTGTGACTTGCAAGTATCCCACTGTCCAGTACTAACCACATAGACTTGCAAAGTAACTTTGTGCGTTGACGGACGAGCTCGAAATGTTCCTGGACGGTTCGCTGACTTGCGCGTTTTCCAGGAGTGGACGTTCGTCTTTCAAGAGTAGGCTTCCCTGCGATCCATCTGTCCTATCGACTGACATAATGTGTGGCCAGCAACAAATACAGATGGCGTAGGGAGCTATACGGCAAGGACTACATCTGCACACTCGACCGAAAACCTGACCCTTCAGTGGAGATCTGCCTGTAAGCAGGCTTCAAGTCCTGAGCGCCAACACAACTTGACAATTTGCAGTGCCCGAGAAGCGTACAAACGGAATCCGGCAAGACTGCAAATTCTACACTACAACATTGACCGTTTCACAAGCGATATCAAGGACGTGCGTGGGCTGGAAACGTTGCTGGTTACAAGGTGTGTAATGAGATATGAGAAGGGCTACTACTTCAGCAGTTGATTTATTGCAGCTTACTGTGCCTACTTGACGCATGGGAAGACCGTGGTTCTCTGACGAATGCCAAGAGCGGTCCATCACCTCCTATCAAAGAATCTACACCAGTGGACCCAGCGCTTGCCAAAGTGATCAGCGAAAATGATTTTGAGCCGGCAAGTTCTGCCTACCCGACAACGCCGTTCATGTGCTGAGCATCTCGCTAGGAAAACCCCAATGAGATTTTGGTAGGAACACATACCAATATGGATGACCATGTTGCGCGTGCTATCAATCTGCTCGAGGTGCGCTCAACGGGTAACAAATTGTCACGCCACAAACTGATAATTAGCAGGATCCAAACATTCTCTTTATTATCATCAGGACAAAATCTTCCGACGCTCATCAGAGAGCTCTCCAAGTTTCTCTTGCGGTCAAGCGGTGCGTCTTGAATGGCAGATGATCCAGACAACTGACGACTATGACGGCAGCTTCCGGCACCGTGAAAACCTGTCCGACTTGCACCAATATATCATTGAAGAGGAGGACACTGCCCAGCCCGTTCCTTCCAGCAAGGGACCGAAAGTGATTGATCTGAACGACCCCAAGTACGCTACCGACGCCTTCAGTCGAAGAGGAGTTCCTGCTGATTGCCAATCCCCAGACCTGTTCCTCAGCCAACTTCCTCCAAAGCATGGACCCCTCCCACACGTATGGCCATCTATCTGTCCACTATCGTCCTCCCCGATTTCAACCCAAGTCGCATGGCGTCTACAAGTAAAGAGCCCGCGGGTAATTCGCGCATCCAGTCGAACAAGATGGGAGAGCATGCGGGCAAGGCCCCCACCAAACCACCAAAGCCTGGGCAAACACTACCAGGATCCACATTGAAAACGCCAACCCCGCCGCCACTGACTGAAGCAGACAGTGGAGGGTCGGGATGTGGGTCCAAATCGTCTTTGCGAAACTCTACCTTTGGCAAGTTGTTTCGGTAAGGCTGCAGATACAGTATGATTATTCCAAGAGCAGCTTGTATAGATAGACCGAGAAATAGATGCATTTTGACAGTGTCAAAAAGATAAAGATCTAGAGAAAACCAAAGACCGTTTTTAATGCGTATACACTTCTTACCAAATACCTAATTAAACAAACTCCTAACAACTCCCTCGAAACTAAGGCTCGTACGCTTAGTCGACCTCCTCCATGGATCCAGCACCGACCTCCTCAAGAGCGGGGGCATCCTCGGCAGAAGCAGCGGCGGGTGTGGGCTCGACGGCGTCGGCGTCGATGGAAAGACCAAGGGCGATCATCCTGTTGATACGGGAAGCAAAGTCCTGAGGGTTGGAGAGGGTGAAACCGGAGGTCTACGACAGATATCAGCCACGATCGTTATTTGAGTAGGTGACTCGACTTACCAAGAGAGCAGTCTCGAACAAGAGGTAAGTAAGGTCTCGGACGGTCTTGTCAGACTTGTCCTCGGCAACTCGGCCCTTGAGCTCCTTGACGATGGGGTGGTTGGGGTTGAGCTCCATGGTCTTCTTGCTAGCCATGTAAGAGGACACTGCGAGATTGTTAGCGAGCCGCGCAAATAAAGTACACGTCAAGACTCACTGGAAGAGTCACGGAGAGCCTGGGCCTTCATGATTCGCTCCATGTTGGAAGACCAACCGAATTGGCCGGTGACAAGGACACAAGGAGAGTCGGAGATACGGTTGGAAACAATGACCTTCTCGACCTTGTCGCCAAGGTTCTCCTTGATGGCGGAGCACAGACCTTCAAACTCGGTAGCCTCCTTCTCCCTGGCAGCCTTCTCCTCAGCAGTCTCTTCGAGCTCGAGACCCTCCTTGGAGACACAGACAAGAGTCTTGCCGTCAAACTCCTTGAGCTGGGTGACGGCGTACTCGTCGATGGGGTCAACGAGGAGAAGAACCTCGAAGCCCTTCTTCTTGAGGACCTCAAGGAAGGGTGAGTCCTTGACGGCCTCGAGGGATTCACCGGTAAGGTAGTAGATGGACTTTTGGACCTCGGGCATTCGAGTGATGTAGTCCTTGAAAGAGGTCATCTCGTCAACAGACTTGGTGGAGTGGAATCGGAGGAACTCGGCGATCTTGGATCGGTTGGTGGCGTCCTCGTGAATACCGAGTTTGAGGTTCTTGGAGAAGGCAGCGTAGAACTTGTCAAAGTTCTCCTTGTCCTCGGCGCACTCGGAGATGAGGTCGAGGGCCTTCTTGACAAGGTTCTTTCGGATAACCTTGAGAATCTTGTTCTGCTGAAGGGTCTCACGAGAGATGTTGAGGGGAAGGTCTTCAGACTGCAAACTTGTCAGCTCAAAGTCAAACAAGGCTGTGAGAGACACTTACGTCAACGACACCGACGATGAAGTTGAGGTACTCGGGCATCAAGTCCTCGTTGTCGTCGCTGATGAACACTCGTCGGACGTAAAGCTTGATGTTGTGCCTCTTCTTCTTGGTCTCGAAGAGGTCGAAGGGGGCACGCTTGGGAAGGAAAAGCATGGCCTTGAACTCGAGCTGACCCTCAACAGAGAAGTGCTTGACAGCGAGGTGGTCCTCCCAGTCGTTGGAGATGGACTTGTAGAATGAAGCATACTCTTCCTGCGTGACGTCCTGGGGGTTTCTGTGACGAGTCAGCGCTGTTGAATCACCTATTTATGAGACTTACCTGGTCCAGATAGGCTTTTGCTTGTTGAGCTCCTCGTTCTCGGTGGTGGTCTCCTTGATCTTCTTGGTCTTCTTGGCCTTCTTGTTGTCCTCGTCCTCGACCTCCTCGATCTTGCTGTCATTGTTCTCCTCGGCCTCCTCGTCCTCGACCTCCTTCTCGGTCTCCTTGGTGACAACGAGCTGGATGGGGTAAGAGATGAACTCGGACTGGTCCTCGTCAGCGCATGTTTGTCAACTCCGCATAACAAGCAGAACTCACGTGCTTCTTAACGATCTCCCTGATCCTCTTCTCCTCGAGGTACTCCTTGAGGTCCTCCTTGATGAAAAGCTTCATCTCGGTACCTCGGCCGAGTCGGGGACCCTCAGTGTCCTCAGTGATGGTGAAGGTACCACCAGCGGCAGACTCCCAAGTGTACTGCTCATCGTCGTTGTGCTTGGTGGTGACCTGCACTCGCTCGGCGACAAGGTAAGAAGAGTAGAAACCGACACCGAATTGACCTGAGCGACATCGTTAGCATGAAAGACTCTAGAGGAACGTACAGACGACATACCGATCATGGAAATATCAGCGCCAGAGCTCAAAGCCTCCATGAAGGCCTTGGTACCAGACTTGGCGATCGTACCAAGGTTGTTGACCAAGTCGGCCTTGGTCATACCGATACCGGTATCCCTGATGGTGAGGGTGCCTTCCTCCTTGTTGGGAATGATTCGGATGTAAAGGTCCTTCTCAGAGTCGAGCTGAGAGGGGTCGGTCAAGGCCGCGTAGCGGATCTTGTCGAGGGCATCAGAAGAGTTGGAGATGAGTTCTCGAAGGAAGATTTCCTTGTTGGAGTAGAAGGTGTTGATGATGAGGTCGAGAAGCTGAGAGATCTCGGCCTGGAAACCAACTGGGATGATCGTCAGCGTGTGGACAAGGGAGTTGAATAGCGTGGAATCGCATGGTAGGACGGGCGACGAGGGGGTGGGACGAGGGGTACTTACACGTTTCGGTGGACATGATGCTGGGAGGGGCTAAGCGTGTGTGCAGGGGGCGGTGAGAGACGTACGCTGGTGGTAGTTTTTTTGGGGGTGGAAGAAGAGGAAGAAGAAGAAAGAACGGAGGCGTATTTATACCTCGTGCGGCCGGCGGAATCCTCGCCTCGACGCCTCCAGAAAGTTCCATGCGTTACGTAATACCCGTCTGATCCCGCGCCGCGCCTACCCCACGTCACACAATCCGACTGTCCACTCCGACGGCTGAGCGGAACGTTCCAGGCAATCCATATATGCAATATCAGGACCTGGCATAGACTGTAGCGGACCAAATACATCTACACATGCAGTCGTATAATCTACCTTCTCGCGTCTTACAAATCTCAGCCTTCTTATGCAAAGTAATGGTGCTCCTTGGCCTTTCGTGCCTGTACCTCCAAGATACCCCCGTGGAAATGCTCGTGTGTCAACTGAGTAGCGTTTTGTCGAAGAGCCAGCTATACCAAGAGTCAATAATGGAGCGACGGAGATGTGATTTGCAACATACCATGCCCGCTTCGACGCAAACCGCCTTCAGCTGAGCACCATTCATTTCTTCTGTCGATCTCGCCAGCTCTTCAAAGCTGAGCACTGTCAGCCGCAGCACGATATAGCATCTGGGCACACTCACTTGACATTGTTGTGATTGAGCTTTCGTGCGTGAATTTGCAGAATGTGCTCTCGTGCTGATTCGTTAGGCAACGGGAACTCGATCTTACGGTCCAAACGACCTGAACGAAGGAGGGCAGGGTCAAGGATATCAATTCGGTTTGTAGCGGCAATGACCTATTGGGAGTGAGCGCCTGACTGGGCCATCATGCGTGAATCTCACCTTGATCCGACTATCACTCGAGAAACCATCCAACTGGTTCAACAACTCCAACATGGTTCGCTGCACTTCCCTGTCACCACTCTTGTCACTGTCGAATCGCTTTGTTCCGATAGCGTCCAGCTCATCAATGAAGATGATGGCGGGCGCCTTTTGTTTGGCGAGTTCAAAGGCGTCGCGGACAAGCTTGGCACCGTCACCCAAGTACATCTGTACAAGGGCAGGACCGGCGAGCTTCAGGTAGCAAGCATTGGTTTGGGCAGCACAGGCACGCGCGAGAAGGGTTTTACCGGTACCGGGGGGACCGTACATCAAACAGCCCTTTGGAGGAGTGATACCGAGGGCCTTGAACTTGTCTGCTTGTTGCATAGGCAAGACGCTAGAAAATGTCAGTGGATAGGTCAAAGGGTGAAATACTACGCACATGGCTTCCACCAATTCCTCGATCTGTTTATCCAAACCACCGATATCCGTGTAAGTCTCTGTGGGCCTCTCGTCCACTTCCATCGCCTTCACTCTCGCGTCGTACTCTGTTGATTTGATTAGCTGGTGTTTATGTGGTTTTGACCTATACGCACCATCGGGGAGCTTGTCGAGCACCAGATAAGAGTCCTTGTTCACACCAATCAGATCACCGGGACGCAACTCATCATGCGGAACCAGACCAATGATGGGCAAGAATACTGTCTGTCTCGTGGATGTCTTGATGACTGCACATTTTGACTTTTTGGCATTTTGCTCATTGTGGGTGGCGCCTTCCTGCTCTTCCGAGTCGACGTCAAGCACCTTGCAGAGCTCATCAGTGCTGACCCCGCGCGGCAGGAATGCTACTCACCTCGACGACCTTGGACACCAGATACGGCAAGACCTTGTTCTGCTTGATCTTGGTCGTGTTGTCTGCAATCTTTTCCACCATCTGCTCTCGTTCGTGGGCCAAACGCAGGTGGTCTTGCTTCATCATCTTGATCTCGTTGTCAATCATCCTAGCCTGCATCTTGATCTCGTTCACATCGCCCTGGAACCAAGAGTCAGTCAGGCCACATGTCATCCCGTCGAGACTGACCTTGAGAACGCCTTCTGGCACGTCATCGAAAGTGTCCTCCTTGGGAGGCTCCGGTTCTTGTTGCGGCTCAACATTGTTCGCGTCTGTGGACTGGGTGCTGCCCGAAGTGTTTGCGCCGGCGTCTTCGGGTTTGTCTTGCTGGTTGTTGGCGGGCGGGGTGGGGGGAGGGGGGTCCCGAGCGGTGGCAGACATCAACATTGTTCGCGTCTGTGGACTGGGTGCTGCCCGAAGTGTTTGCGCCGGCGTCTTCGGGTTTGTCTTGCTGGTTGTTGGCGGGCGGGGTGGGGGGAGGGGGGTCCTGAGCGGGGGCAGACATGGCGGGGGCGGGACGGCAGGGAGTGGAGAAAGACAGTCTTGTCGTATTCACCAGTCGAGGCCGCGCGCACTTCGTCAGCGGGAATTTGATCCCGCGGCCTCCACCTGAAGTGATGACGGCACTCTGAGCTGCAACTGAGCTGGACTGTTCTGTTCGAGTACTTGTATCCAGCCAGCATGGACTCGCAGACAGTATTCTCCACAAGGAACGCATTTTACCTGCGTGTCTCCAACTACCGCATCATCCCACTTTTCCTGTATCTCGATGAACGCCATGTCAGTATCCGCCTGCATCCCGTCTCACACTGACCCTCTTCCAGGTCAATTGGATGACAGACCGCGTCTTGCAGCTGGTCATCGCAGGCCTGCAGTCAAAGTAGGTTCACACAGTTCCAGAACTTTCCCTGACAGAACCAGGCTGCCCGAAGTGCTCTTCAGAGCCAAACTCGAGAAAGACAAGAAGCACAAGGTGCATGTCGAACGCGGAGGTAACTCGTCAGGTCGTTATTGCAAGTCATGAAACTAACCCCGATCAGAGGGATACCAGTTCTGCTACTTTATGAGGACCACCTCGCGGACAGAGGTTGTTTTGCTAAAAGTGCGTGCATCCGTCATGGCAAGCAGTGCTGACATGATTACAGAACAAGGATGTCTCTTTGCGGCCGCCTACTCCGCCGCCTCCTGTACTATCTGAGCATCCATCATCGAAACGTAAATCCTCGACACGCCGGTCTGCAACAGCATCCGCCACACCTCGGGGACGCGCATCAAGGTCCCGTTCTCGCTCAGTCACTGTTCGACCTGAAGAGGACGAACCGGTAAATGAACAGTTGGAACAGTTCACAGAAGATTCCGTTAATGTCCATGTGAAGCCCGAGCCAATCGATCCGGACGAAGAAGACGAGTATGGGGAAGCACAAAACATCAAGGACTGGAAACCAGACGTAGACGTCTCCTATCGAGGTCGGTGGCGCCTACCTTCCCCATCACATGCTGACTCGCTGTAGGCTTTGGGACATCGTCGGTCCAGCTAGTCTTGATTATCGAGCCCTACCCACCTCTCCCTCCGTCGCAATATGCGCCCCCCGCTTCCCGTCTCTCTTCCCGCTCGGCCTCTGTCGTCTCCAACTATTCTCGTGCTCGTTCATCGCAAACCCGTCAAACGAGGGGCGCTGCTTCTCGATACAGCTCAACCAGCCTTTCTCTAGCCCCACAGGGCCAAGACAGTGTTGGGAGGAGAAGTGAAACTGTCGCAAACATGAGGAATGCATCGCGAGCGCCGAGTGTGGCAAACTCACAAAGGGGTGGAGAGTCGGCTACGCCATTCAGAGAGGATAGCACCACGCCGGGCCCCGGTGAGGCGCAAGGGCGGAGGAGAATGTCACAGACGCCGCTGTTTATGCCTCGCGACACGCCGTTTGACGAGGATGAGGAGGACGAGGAGGCGCACGAAGAGTACCTCAATGCTCTGAGGGACGGCAGAAGCCGATTGCCATCAGTCTTTCGTCCTTCCGGGGAGACCAAGAAGGGAAAGGGAAAGAGAAGAAGAGATGAAGAAGACGAGGACGACGAAGACGACGTTCCAGAGAGTCTCGAAAATATCGGCGCACGGCTAGTGAGGAATAGTGAAATCGAAGAGGGAGTCGTGAGAGTGCAAGGAGGCTGGGAAGAGAGAAGCGCTGGAGAAGAAAGCGCGGTGATTGGCCGAGAGGAGCCAGGTGAATAGAGGAAGCGCAAGCATGTACCATCTTTAGATATGTATCTACATTGATGACTCGTCACGGGATAGGAGATCGGCATGATTATAGCCTGAGGGAAATTGGACAGGGGAGAGAAAATGCTACACGAGTTATGAACAGGCGCAAGGGAGATCAAGACGAAGGGACTAGAGGGTTTTGAGGGGAGCGTCATTAAAGAATGATTTTGTAGAGGGTTTCTAAAAAGGAGAGGGTGGGGTATAGACAAAAGGGAGATGAGAACGTAAAAGAATGATAATCCACAAAAGGCCCTTAGGAGACACGACCTCGCGACCGCCCACGGCTACAGCTACAACTTCAAAGACAGCAGCAAGTCCGTCGTTCCTTTCTTCTTCTTCTCTTCAGGCGACATTGGAGATGGACTCTAAGCCCCTTCCTCGTACAGGTTCTCCATCCAGGTCTTGGCGGCCTTGTAATCTCGCTTACAAGCCCTCAAAAGACCAGCGATGCGCTCAAGGGCATCGGCAGGTTTGAGATCAGCACCGGCTTCCTCGTCCCGGAGGTTGCCATAGTGCTGCATCTTTTCGCAGGAAGCCTGCACCTTGATGATGCCCAAAGCGGCGGAGGAGCCCTTGAGAAAGTGACCGAGGGAAGAGAGTTTTTCGAGGTCTTTGGCGGCGCTGCGGATGATCGTGTCAGGGAGATGAACGAGACGGGTAGGGACGACACTTACAGAGCTTCCTCCATGTCTTTAAAAGTACCCTCTGCTTGGTCAAAGTAACCCCAGACGATGCCCTTGGAGAATGAATGCTTCTCCTCAGAGTCGTCGTCTCCGTCGTCCTCGTCCATGTCCATGATCTGCTGGAAGGTCTCCATGTCTATGATGTCTTCGTCGTCATCTTCGGTCTCGGACTCGCTCTGTTGTGTGGGACGAGAAACGGCGTGGTGGGGCGATTTCGGGTGGGTCGTTCGGAGATAGGGTATTTAGGCCAGGGCGATTGATTGATTGTATGACGGAGTGTCAGGAAGATGGTGTGGGAGGGATCGCGAGCGGGCGATGGGGCGATGGGCGATGGGCGATGGGGTAGAGGAATGGGGATTTGCGAGTGGGGCGAGGCAGGCGGCAACGAGTCGAGCAGTGAGTGCAGAGGGACAGAAAGGAGGCAGGGTCAGCGCGCAGTCTGGTACGGGTGCAGGACACTGGCGCGCCACGAGGCGGGTGCGCAGATCGCGGGCGGCGGGACGGGATATGGACGCACCTCTTGCTGGTCTGCGGGCTCTTGCTTGCGGGGGCTGGTGGGCGGGAGGTCTGCCTTGTGGTCCGCTGGGGAGGGAGGCTGGGGATCGGCGTTGGCGTTGGCGGGAGGAGTGTCGAGCTGGGTTTTGGGCTGTGTGGGCTGTGTGGCGGGAGAAGCGGGGGTGTCTGAGGGCATGGCGGGGGAAGGGCAGAGGGGGCCCGGTGAGAGAGGGAGATGCACGCAGTCTCAACCGTTTCCTGCTGAATTTGAAGCGCATCATCGGGCGATCGCTGTGCTTACGTAACACCTTCCACTGCTGCACCTGGCCTCCACTTGCGCTGTCCTGTCGCATCTGCTCAACATCTGCCGCGATGCCCTCCCCGGCCCCCGCCCTGCCGCCCCTCGCCGCCCTCTTCCTCGCCCACTTCCACGACACCGCCGGCCAGCACCTCCTCTACTACAGGGCCCGCACAGACCTCCCACCAGCCACCCTCGAGCACACCGTTCTCCCATCTGGCCTCCACAACCTCCACCACGATCTCGTCCTCTTCACCCACCACCACAAGTATGGTGCAGGCCTCTTCCGGAGCCGCGAGCGCACAGAACAAGACAATGGCGGACGCGGCAGGGGCAGGACCATGGGCGTTGTCGGCGTCGTGCTTGGCAAGTCTGCGAAGCACTCATGCGCCTTATTACTGATAGTACTGTAGAATACGGTGACTCGGCCGACCTCTTTGCTCTGAGGCCCGCCCTCGAAGACATCTACGACCAGCTCGAAGCCCTGTCCACACCGCCATTCTCAGCCGGCACGTCAGATGGGGCGGCCGATATCCTCGATACTCTTTGGGACACCTGTCGGGCCGATCATCCAGACCGGTCAGCGGTGGTGCATGCGAGTATCCAGCATGAATCCGACAGGATCTACCAGCTGGTAACAGAGCGAAAGACTGTTTCAGTGAGATAGCATGGTCATTTCTCAAAAGCCAAACTGACCCTTGCCAAGCCTGAACACCCTGTGGCGTATATGCCCCGTCTTCTCGAGACCCTTGGCCCCAACATCGTTCCCGTTTACAAAGCAGCACTGTCCGGCCAACGTATAGTGCGTTGCTCCTTCAGCCATAGTCTTGTCTAACAAGGTCCCCTAGCTCCTGTATTCGCCCCCGCCTCTCCTCCCTCTGACGGCACTTGCCTGGAACATCTGGGCTTGCTCGATTCCACCTCGCAAAGTGCTCAAAACAGGGGGGGCTGAAATTGCGCAATGGCTCGGCAACGTCGGACTGATGGACTTGACGAGTCTCCAGGAGCGCACCGGAGGCTGGATCGCAAGTGGGTCACAGGCTACCGCTCATACGCCCGTAGGCTGACCTGTCACGTAGCGACAAGCGACGTCATATTCAAATCTCATCCCAAAATCTATGATCTGTTTATTGACCTTTCTCTCGTGCCCCTGCAGGACGCCATGGACAGCGCTCCGACAGCTCCCCCGCCGTCCATCTTCGCATCTGCCCCCACAACGCCTCCGGCGCCCCTCACCTATGCCTTCTCCGACTTGCCGCTCTACCGCTCTCTTCTCCTCCTCACCTCTTCGCCCCCGACAGTCCACGCAGGGCTCTGGCGCCAGGGTGGCTGGTGGTTAATCATCTATCAAGTGCTAGAGAGGGCTTGGAATCTGTGCAAAGGTGTCTGCGAATTTGCTGTGGGCCAAGGGGCGCTGGGTGGGCCTATCCAGCTAGCAGAGGGCGAGGAAGAAGCAAGGCTTCTAGAGGACGACACTGAAGATGATCTGCTGGACCTCCTTTCAGAGGCCGACGAGCACGAGAGAGAAGGACAGGCGTCTGACCAAGAACCCGAAGCGGAGCCCACTCGCCAAGGCCGCCTCATCCTCCGCCAACTTGTCCACAACTCTTACCACACTCATACTCGGCTCTCATCAGTTCTCTCTGCCCGCCCAAGAGGCGAGCAAAGTATTGGACAGTTGAATGAGCAGGAAGTCAGAGAATTGGCAGGAAGATGGGCCGGCAAAGACGACGTGCGATTCTGGCGAGGTATTGCTAGGCGATGGGGCGTAGTGCTTGACCTTGATGAATGAAGCGCAGTCTCGAACGCTTGTCACAGCCATGCTTTGATATCATGCGGTACAAATCTACAGTACAAGACGGTCGCAAGGTTTCTCACGTTTGCATTACTGCCTCTGCTCCAAGATACTGTCATACTCCACCTTGCTGATCCTCCACGGCACACCCGAGTTACTGTAGAACTCTTCAGGGTCCTCGTCCTGTTTGGGATCATATCAGCGAGTGCCTTTTTGATTGAGAGTAAACATACAGCATCTAGGTTCAAAATGGTGCCGATTTGATGGAGCCTGGTAAACTTTTCCCTCGCCCCTCCGAAAGAGGTCAAGGATGAGAGGTAATTCACGATAGACCGGACGTCTCGTTCGTAGCGAATTGCACCCAGCTGACATTGACCGTGAGCAAATGTACTTTGGTGTATTCAACACTTACCTCGGTGAATTGCATGGAAAGGATCATCTTTTCCCAGTGTCTCACGTAGACCTCGACGGCGAGGCCAAACCACGTCTGGTAGTTGTGATCCGTAAAGCTCTCCTGGGTTCCTATCAGTTCTGCTTGAACAAGGCGTCGATTAAACTCACGCGGTACCCATCAATGAGGGCTTCCCAACCTCTCACAAATCTCTTCTTCACATACTCCATCTCATCCGCTTCCCCGAAACTGTCTTCGTCCAACAGATATGTAATGTTGACATACGTCTCATCCAACAGCGGACGCAGGCGAGGGCGTGTGAGCTGATTGTGCAGCTGCTCGAGTCCAGTCTTGCAAACGGATCGGAAACGGTGTGAAATGTCGCGCATCGCTTCCAACTCTTCGCGCACAGTGACGAGTTCAGGTTCCAAGAATACTTGGGGAAGGCGATGGGAGGTCTCTTCTATCAGACGTTCCATGTAGTCGGCAGAAACGTCCAGGTCGTTGAGGTAGATCTGTTTTCGGTTATTGAAAGACTCGAGCAACATTTGGCACTTGACTGACGATAAATGCCTCCCTCTTGTCCTTTTCCTTCTCCCGCCTCTCCCTCTCTGTACCGCTAGACGGAACGGCATACACCCCTTCCATCTTCATTCTAATCACTGCCGTGTAATCCCTTTCCACCACCTCCCCAAGCTTCTTTCTCATGCTCTTTAGCGTGTACACCGATCCACAAGACAAGAGTCTCGAGAGGACGAGCCTCAGCAGGTAGAACGTATCATCCAGTATGGATGAGAGGTGCGGCGTAGAGCCAATATCGGGAGAGTCGAGCTTGTGCGCCTTCTCGATGGACATGCGGAGAAACCACATTTCAAGAGGCTCGTAGTACGCGCGAAGGAGATTTTCTATGGCACGTTGGCTACCAGAGTTGTCGAGGATATCCATTTGATTTTGGTTTTTGATCTTGGTCTCTGGCGATTCGTCCGCTGTCGAGTCGATATCCTGATTTGCGCTCTCTTCCTCTTCATCCTATGACCCCGATCAGCAAAGAGATACAAAAGTGCACGACGACTCACAGCGATCCGGCTCCAGATAAACTTTCTGAACAATGCCCATCTCCCACCGAGAGCCACCAGCTCTCCCAGCACTTTATCCACATCTCTCGGGTCGGGCCCATTTTCCGCTTCATCTTCACTCTGCCCCTGCGCTTCGTTTTGGGCCTGCACGACAGATGGGGGCATGGGCTTCTTTCCGCCTTGCGTGTACGAGTGCAGCAGGTTGGACGCCGAAGACAAGTTGGGGAGCGCCGAAGTGGTGGTGTTGGCAATGGTTGCGAGCGTTATGGGGTTGGCGTTGGAAGGCAGTAATGAGGGGAAGAGGGGTGGAAGGAGGGCGGGGTTGGAAAGGAGCAAGAAGGACGATGATTTGGTGTCTGATATCAGACGCCCGACACGACGTTCTTCTTCCCACCCTTCAACGAGATTTCGAACTACACGATCGCTTTCGCCGACCAGTCTCTGTACTACAGCAGCCATACGCCCAGATCCATAATACTTGACCACGACCGACTGGTGCTGGTCGATGATATGAGCGATAGACTCGAGCAGGTTGGTGAGGGATGTGAGATAGTACAGCGGAGAGGAAGACTTGCCAGCCGTAGGGCTGCGGGCTTTGACAAGGCCGACAACAAAGTCGCCGTACGCTTCCAAGCCCTCATTTTCGGCACTGATGGCAGGCCACAGACGGAAAAAGCGGCTGACGCCTGGTTCATCTTTGCGGGCGACGGCGTCGTCGAATTCGCGTCGAAAGGTGGAGAGGAGGATGTCGCGCAGTTCTTGAAGGGTTTGGGATGGCGCGAGAGGGTATTGCGACGTGGGCTAGAGCAACCGTCAAGTGATGGTAGATGGATTGGATAGACAACGTACCACGACGTTGTTGGCAAAGTTGCCTTCGAGAACTTGCTTTCGTACCGACATGGCACGCCGGCATGCACGCGAGGCCGACTCCCAGTCCTCTTTGGCAATCGCTGAGGAAAGCGCCTGTAGGGCATTCTGTGCTGGGTCAGCTTCAGTCCACAGCACTCGGGCTGACCTCACCTTGAGTCCCAGCACCTCGGTGACAATGTCGGTTGATTCCTTGACCCTTCCCACTTGCTCGTCCAGGCGCCTGACCTTGCCTCCTACTCTCTCGCTCGTGTCCCAGACTCTGCGCACTCGCTCTACGAGTCCCTCGTCTTCGTCCGCCGGGGTGTGGTGGCCGTCTGTCTGGAGGCCGAGGCCCTTGACGTGGCCATTGGGGCGGCCGCTGCCGTCTACCTGGAGGAGGACGGCCTTGACATGGTTTGCGAGCTGTGCGAGGTGTGCGCGGGCGTGGTCGATGTGGCGCCTATCTGCGACGAGGGCGTTGAGGGCGAGGGAGAGGTCTGCGTCGCGCTGTGTAAGGCGCGCGAGCTGCTGGGGGATGTGGAGGGGGTCAGTGATCTCCCGGGGGTCCAGCGCCATCGCGGATGCAGAGACAGTAGAGCAGCCCACGTGAGCAAGTAGTCAAGTAGGGGCAGCGGCGGGATCAATTCCCCGGACGGTCCCCGAGATGTGGCCACTCGCCATCCTCTGTTTTTTCCCGTCATCGCTCCCCAGCCCACCCACCATGAGCAGCATCGACGGCGACCCCCACTCCCCCCACTTTCCCACAACCCTCGTCCTCTCCCGCAACGCAGCCTGCCACCAGTGCCGGTATGTCCCGCCCCCTCCCGCCCACGCTCACGCTGACCTGCCCGGCCCAGCAAACGTAAACTCGTGAGTGCGACCACCCTGCATCTCACAATCCGTGCCTCACACCCCATGTCAGAAATGCGATGCACAGAAGCCCGTATGTGGCAACTGCGCGAAACCCCGGGTAAGGGGGTCCAGACCAAGCAATGGTGATTCACCTCAAGACCCCATCAAGTGCACTTGGGACAGGCCGAAAGAGCCCAGTGCCCGAACCAAACGAAGACGGGAACTTGCCAAAAGGCAGGCAATGGAAGCGGACGACAAGAACATGAAGAATGACCAGAGTGGCAATGCCAAAGGAGGCAAAGCAAAAAAGACAAGGCTCAATGAGCCTGAAGGTCGTGAGTTCAATGGCCGATTCATGTTGGCTTTGGCGACGGCTGACTCTTCCAACCAGAGAGTGACCCTGGCCGCTTTGCACTTGACGACACGGCCGCCACTTCGTACTTCCCCGGTAGCAGCATTCGTGATGGACTCGCGAGGCGTCCAAATCTTGACGACGCGGACTATCATCGCAACGGAGCAGAGGAGTACACCTATCGACACCCCCCATTTTCCATCGGGATGATGGGAGATATACCATTCTATCCCGAAGGATCTCCTCGAGATGGCCGAGCGCATCAAGTGCAAGGTGATGAGGGAGATTCATTGAGGCCCTGGGCCAGTCTCAACGGCTCCATTGATTCGGCCGTCAGGCTGGAGCCGTCAGATGGGAGTACCAGGTCATTCACAGACCTCAATGGTCACACGGACAGCGTCCCAAACACTACAAGCGGCGATATGGATGAGGCCCTTGGCGTGTTTTGGCCCGAGTAAGTAGCCGCATCGGCCACCTTGATTTGCGCTGACCATGAGGTCACGACGTAGTTGGCCCAGGGCGCTTCCCATGCCGGCAGTCGTTGATGTGTGTTTTCCTCACTTTCCCTGGGATCATGGCTAACGCCCATGCAGCATGCTGTTCGTGTATTTTTTGACAAGGTACCAACACTACCCAAGATGCTCAACAAGAGTCAATTGCTGCAAAATATCTCGCGATCCCCTTCGCATCCCAATTTCCCTGTAAGATGTGTCCGTACAATCACAGACCTCGCATTGACAATACTTAAGTCCACGTCTCTTCTACACTCCATCCTTGCTATTACCGCCAATTTTATATCCGAAACATCTCTTTCCTCGCCCTCCTACTTTCCCGTCGGCACGCCCTCTCAAGCCCATACTCATCCCATTGAGGACTTTGACATTTCCGACCACATCACCAATCGCAGCGTACAACCGCAACATCCCTCGCGCGGTCTTGATAAGAAATTGTCTCCCGTGACCTCAATGGCGAGGTTTCAATTGTGGCATAGAAGGAAGGCTTTCGAGACATTCTATCATTATGTGGACAAGGGCGAGAAATTGGTGCAATGCTTACAAGCGCAGATCATTGCCACTACTGTGGATCAATATAATGCTTGGTGAGCGGGATTCTTCAAGTCAGGAAACTCGCTGATGAGCACAGGTGGACGGATGTCTGGATCGAGACGGGATCTTGCGTAAGGGTAGCCACACCCCTGCGTCTTCACGAATCACCCCGTACATCGTTCAACCATGCTCCTCTCTCACACCGCTGACATCTCCTGCAGACGTCCCCGACAGCTCACTCCAAAAATTTGCCCATCTCCTTCTCGCGCCTGCCAAGACGGCCATGGATCAAGCCGAGCGTGACCGCACATGGTGGTCAGTTTTTGAGCTACATACAGAGACTATATAGCATCGCTGACATTGCACCGCTAGGATGACATATCTCTTGGAGCGCAGTGTCACTGCTTCAACATCATGGCCAACAGCCCTCATCGATGATGAGATCACGGTTGAGCTACCGGTATTGCAGAGTACTTTCGATGCTGGATATGGAGACCTTTACGGGACACAGACTCTACAGTGAGCACTTTCGTCTTGTTTTCACCGAGAAGGGTATTGACGGGGCATGTTTATAGTGCTCCTGACTGTCTGACGCACCGTGAGTGCTATATGTATCTGTCATCACCTGTATACTGACATTGTCCCAGATCCCCCGAAGCATCGAGACGTGAGCCGACATTTACGAAAGCGACTCACCACTTGGCTGACTGCAACCCATAGAGCCTGTGCTTCTTGATCAAATCTATAAAACTCCTGAGTGAGGTCAATGTCTTCTTTCGCAAGTACTCACGGGGTAGCCATAGTTTAGCGTAAGCATTCGAGTCTAGCTACGACTACCCAAGACTTATCCGGCTTGCAGGGGCTACGTGACAAATCCCACGTTTCGTATATTACTCTCTCAAATCAATTCGTTCCGAATGTCGTTCCCGCCCGAGTATCGTCGCCCGACTCAGAACATCTCAGGAGGGGGTGCCAATGCGCTCGATAGGGATCTGATCATGGCTCTTTGGGTCACTCATAGGTACGGTCTCTTTGGGTTTGCAGAGCCAGTCTTTTTCGCATACTAACAATGGAGACAGTGCCATAATGGCCCTGGGAGAACCTCTCATCACCAAAGACTCGTGGATGGACGAAGGAGCTCGCGTGACACTGTCAGCTATCCGCGCAACCCTGTCGTTGCTGTACGATGTCACATCGACATCATTTGACCTATCGTTGTTTCCCCCTTTTGCGCCCTTTGTGTGGTCGATGACCTGTAGAGGCTTGATCAGATTCATGGGGACGGCCATGCAAAGCGGGGATATGGTCTCCGCGGCCGTCTTCAGGTCGGAGGTGGAAGTTTTCCGGTAGGTCGACAGTAGCAGTACGCGTGGTGGGCCACGCTAATGAACGGAAGACTTGCCATGAAAAGGTATGGGGAAAGATTCCCTGTTGGAAACAGGCATCTGAAAGTGGTCGACGATTTTCTTGAAACCACCGAAAGTAAAGGCGAGGATCCTGGACACGGTACCCGCTTTCAGTAAGTTCTTACATGGCTTCTCTGGGTATCAATCTGATCCACTCGCACAGGTGCAAATGCGAGCTCATCATAAAATGTGGCCGCGAGGTTGGTGCCTCAATAATAGAGGAATTGTCGCCGTCAAATACAACATCCACTAGCATGGTCACACCTGAAGCGGCCCTGTCCGAGTCTAGCACCTCCGACGCACGGATGTCTACGGCGGCTTCTGCGTTTGCAAGCGCAATGGGTGGTGTCAGAGTGCGTGAAGTCCCTCCTGTAGAGGATGGCGCAATAGGAGAGGGCATCTCAGCACTTGCTTCTAGTGGATCTGCGCTGGCAGGGTCCACAGAGGATGGCGGTACCCATGGCGTTGGGACTACGGTCGGCTCTTTCAAACAACCCCGGCCAGTACCTTCGTATCCCGGCTCGGGTCCCCATCCCGAACACCTCCGCCGCTTACCATCACTCACATCATTCTTCCCGCCCAGTCTTGCCCCAGACCCCAACGTATCCACCCCTGTCCCTCATGGTGATACCACATCTCCGCATAATCAGCCGAGCCCCCCCATTTTTGACGCCAATACGTTGTGGAGCGCTCCTCCATATCTTGCAAATCTGCATTCAAGCTCCAACATGTTTTCAGCCAACTCTTTCATGAATGGTGCCGGTCCCAACGAATCTTCTCATATCAACCCCACATCTCCTGCATTCGTGAGTAACAACACTCTGCAGGATGGTACGAGTTGGGATATCAGTAGTTTCAGTTTTGATGTGAATAATGTGGCTGGGATGTTTGAGGGCAGCGGGGCGACGTTTGATGGCCGAGACTACGGGTTCGGGACGATGTAGGCGTCAGTATTCTTGTATATTCTTGTATATTTATGACTGTAGGGCTATGTAAACCTTCCCCGTCCATCAGACACCAATCCTTGCAATGCTTCGTAATTGCTTTTTACAGCTCTTATTCGACCTGCGACGCTGCAACATGATGTAATGCAAGAGTATAATAGTATTTACTGATGTGCAATGTTGTGATATCGGACCAAATACTTGTACACAAGTTCCGAACGATATGTACTCGTACTCGTACAGTACAAACTGCGCTGGACCGCTCTGCTAGTACATTAGATCTTGACAGTCAACCACGCTGGTTTCTCGACTCCAGGTCGGATCTTTTCCGATCCTTGCCTCGGCTCAAGCATCACTGCATCTATCAGCGTCCAAGCCAAACTATAGTGCGGCGAACTTACGACTTTTTCTATACAGCGCGTCAATCGATCCACTTCCCCGCTCAGTGAGCACGTTATTGAGGAAAATTTGAACGGCTTCAACTTCATGAAAGTTGTATGGCTGCAGATGGTGTGAGCATATTTGGTAATGTGTTTAAACGCCCGACTGTACCTCTTGGTACCGCCTGAACTCTATGGCAATCTTTCCAAGCTTGGCGTATTTGTCAAAATTGATGAGCTGTACATCTGTGGCCGTGTTGGATGCACGAGTACTTGGGTTGCCATCGGAAGTAAAAGTGATGCTTTATAATAGTGTCAGCTTCTGCCGTTGGACCACTACAAGAAGGCTCACTCTGTCAAGATCAAACCAAGGAAGGGTAAACAAGGTGGCGACGCTTCTCTCAATCGAGCACGGTATGCCGCGTGATTCTTGCTATGTTCGATGATACTTCGAAGTCGTTCAATGATGACGCGGTATTTGGCTGAAAGGGCCTGCGTCCGACATGAGCTCTTTTCAGATGCGAGAAATATCCTGTACGCACATCCCAAGTCTTTTTGAGTCGAAGAATTGTACTACTATTGAGTCCCGCAAGAACAGCAAACATGGAGAAGAAATTGTTCAACATAAGGCATTTCTACAAACCGTCAGCTTACGCTCGAAATTTCTCCCCAGAACTCACATCAGCCAGCTTGATGAAGAATTTCAAAAGTCCCGCCCTTTTTTTGGCATCGCCTTCATTCAGAATACTGTCCGCGACCCATCCAGTGACCTGATTCGAGTGCGTACTCAGAGCCGTAAGCTCCTTCACTGTCCTCTTTTTCGATTCTCCCGCCGAGATCAACATCTCCTCTGGCTTCACATCTCTAAACATCTTTGAGACTGTCACTGTCAACTGACGGGCGAGTTCAAGAGTATCGAATTCGGCGATGGATATGCGTGTGGAGGACCCTGTTTTTCGAAGAAGGGCATGAAGGTTTTTGGAGATGACTGGTGTTGGTGGGAGAGCGGCAGACAACGGAGCTGGAGGTTGTAGCAGCTGCGCAGACGTGGGTGTGCTAAGGGAGGCGCTTGACCGGTGGAATTTCGCCGACACAGCCGATCTTGGCTCCCTCCTCGCCCTCGCCATTTGCACCAATCGCGGCCCCATGACCGGCAGCGAGCTGCTCATCTCCTCTTGCCCAAACTCTTCCAGGTCCCCCAAAACCACATCATCGTCTTCACTCCTCCAATGGCCTTCGATCCAAGATTTGAGAAAGTTGAAGACTCGCAGCTGAATGGGCAAGCGCTTGAGCTCATGCCATGTCATTTGGTCTTTCTCTGAGAGATGAACCATGTTGGGAGGTTCCAGCGTAAACCTATTTCTCAGCGCCACCACAAGCTTCTGCGATGTAGTGAACATCCTAAAGGTGTAGAAAAAGGTATCACTGAACGCCGAGTCCACCAGTCCGTCGTGTGGCGTCAACTTTTCAACCAAAACCTCGAGGCTTGCGCCGACCATGACCCCGTCGGGATTGAACACGATGTCGGACGGCTTGTAGTCGTGGGCTTTGAGAAGAGTGGCAATGTCGCCAGCGGGAGCTGGAAAGGGTGCAGTGTGAGTGCGAAGCGCGATTGGCCGGGTGGGAGTGGGTGGTTTGAGGGCTGCTGAGGGTGGAAGAGGTATTTCAGTGGGGTGGTCTGAAAGCGACAGTGCCGCCAAAGAACTCGCGCCTCTACTTGGAGGGATCTCTACTCTGAGCCCTCCCTTGGGTGACTTGTCCCGAGGCCGGGGCGCGACTGGCGTCGTATGATCTCCCTCTGCGGAAGTCACTGAACTCTGATCACTCTCCATTGTCCTCAACGAGCTCGCGTCAGTGGAGGACGACGGTCTTCCACTAGCAGCCAGCACACTCCGAGGGTCCCGAAACCCGTACTGTCCAGGGCCGATAGTGACATCGTCACTTGTGAATTTGTCGAGGTCTGCAGAGCGAGACGGAGAGCGGTGCTGGATGCGCGGTGTCATGGGAGAATTCAGACTTGAAGAGCGAATGCGAGGGCCCAGGCGCCCCGTTTCGGAATAACCACGTAGCGCCTCGAGAGATGGTCGGCGAGGTGCCACATCAGATGCCTGCATCGATCAGTCATTGCGCCCCGGCAATCTAGGGGAGACTCACTGGGAACGCCACAGTACGCATAGTCATATCCTCCTCCTTGTCATCAATAACCTCCTCCTCTTCCTCTCCGTGTCCCTCATCGCTCGTTTCCGAGTCTCCTTCTTGTGGCGCCGACTGCACCATCATGTCGTCCTTCCACTTTCGCTGCAGGTGGTCCAAGCTCGTGGCTTTGCGATGCAGGCCCGAGAGCGTATGTACACCCCTCGCTCCGACAGGTTTATCTCGTGAGACGAGCGGTGATTCATCACTCGGTCTCGGCGTAAGCTGGCTGGTCGTCCCACCAGGCTGATGCGATTTCAACGCCGCACTTCCTACGGCAAAGTTGACAGCCTCATTTTCTGGGACCACTACCCTCACCAGCCGGACACATTCTGTCCCTGTGCGCAATGCTCCAGTAGCCGCTCGGAGGAGCATAGTCTTTTCCTTGTCGTACCCTTCTTCACCACTTTCACCCACGACATCGGCGACAATTTCAGCGCTTTCGACGAGCTTCCCTGCTACCTCGTAGAGCGCATCCTTGGCAATCCTCAACGACTCGATATCTTTTGGCCGTTTCGCTCGAATGAAGGTATGTCGACCGACTGTTTCAACAATAGTCAAAAGATCGCGGACGGTGTCTATCGTTTCGCGAGTCATCTCGATGAGATTAGAGTGACTGGACGGGTGCGAATTGATACTGTGTGAGTGAATATGGCCTATGAACGCCGCTATGATCGATAATAGGGCGTCCTCTGTTTGGGTCACAGCCCTATGTACATCGGCGGGGGAGGTAAGCACCCGGGAAATCGTGGGTTGAATAAAGGGCGTGGGGACGGGCGTCCGATCCTCCCATGGCGAAGTGGGCTCTTCTGATGTCGCCAGAGAACTATGGCTAAACACGCTATCCATACTTCCCTGCATCCTCCGCTCATGGAGAGAGCGCGCGGAGATAGGGGACGATGCCTCGGAGGATAACGAGAATGCTGCCGAGATGGGCGTTGTGACTTTGGAGGACTGCCTGACATAACCTGGGCGGTACTGGGCACTGGTGGTGGAGGTGGGAGATGGCATGGGGGGCGGGCTGGAAGAGCGCTGCTTGGCGGCACGCAGGTCACCAATACTGGCAACTCTGCGTTGAAACGCTTCTTGCAGGCGCGCATTGCTCCCTGGTGGAGGTCGAGGTTGGACTGGGGCAGTCACCTGGGCCGAGACACTCGCAATCTCGCTCGCCGCAGAGCTCGTGACAGACATTGGGATCCCGCTCCCGCCTCCTAATGTGGGCTCGACGGCACACTGGTTGGCGAGTTGCAGGAACCGGCGGACACTGGCAAAGACGCCCCGGGCGGCCTTTGCAAGGTCCTCCAACTTTTGGATATCTTCTTCGGGGTCCCTGATGACTTCGGCGCCCGCTTCATTCATATCGCTTGCCGCACGAGCGCATCCGACGAGCTTGGACAGTTCTACGAGGACGACTTTGCGTTCCTTTGCGAGGATTGGCCATGCGACGAGGGTCTTTGATTCTTTGCCGAGGCAGTCTGTCTGGGCCAGAGCTGCGCGGATGGAGGATATAACGCATGCCGTGGAAGGCTGAATATGTGATTTATGATTGCTATGAATGGCGGTATCGAGCAGTGATAGAGCCTGGACGATCGGCTGAATCAGGATCTGGAAAGGTTCTGGGAGGGGCGCAATGTCGTGGTGCGGCGAGGCGAGGATCTGGGATATGGAGGAGCCGGTGGTGGACGCCTGGGAGAGCTGGGACGCGACGGATGCATGGCGCGAGTGGGAGTGGGACGGGTGCTGGTCGTTGACGGTGTGGGGGCTCTGAGCCCTGGTGGAGGCGACCGAGTCTGATCTGTTGTGGGACTGTGGAAGGGTGGGCGGGGACTCTGGTTGATGAGACGGGGGACGTACGCGGGCTGGGTCTATCTCTCTGATGTAGTTGCTGGGGAACCACCCGCGCCGTACGCCTCTATGGTCTGCGGGCTTTGCCGTAATTTCGCCGTCCCACCATCCTGTGGGGTCTCTGACGTGGACGCGGATGAGCTCGCCGGCGTCGAAGTGGAGGTAGAGGCCGGTGCTGGAGGTGGAGGTGGAGGCGAGGAGGGAGGGGTCGAAGTCGTGGATCGCCTGCGCGTAGAGGGGCGCCATCGCGGTCACTCGCGGGAAACAACGACGAAAGAAAGAAAGAAGCCGCTCAACGGGCCACACCGCGCCCAGGCACCTCACGTGCCCCGCCCCGCGCCAGGCCACAACAAACAAAATCATTCCATCGCACTTTCCGCCGCCCTCGCCGCCCCCATGTCCCTCCCCGTCCCCCACCATGCCCGCCTCAAGTGCATCCAGCAACCCCCGCCCGAGCATGGGCCCATCTTCCATGCCTACCGCTTCGTCGTCGACGTCCCTAGGGAGCAATCGGAGGCCGGCGCATTCGGCATGTGGAAGCAAGCCCAGTTTCTCCAATACTCCTCTCTCGACCATAACAACATCCCGACCCGCAGAGTAGGGCTCGCCCGCCGCGGCACGCTCGCCAAAGACGCCAAGCTAGAAATAACCGTAGAACCCCTCGTCAAGCAAGAGCCACAACATTGGCCTAACCACCTCTTCGACAGCGCCAGGAATGAACCCTATCCGTACGCGGAATGGTACACTCCCCAGGGAAGAATAGCAGACCCAGGCTGTGAGGAATGGATACAAGAGATCAAATTCCATGAAGAGATGCGGGACGCGATGGGCAGACCCACGAGATATGTCAAGCACAAAGAGGGCAAGAGTAGCGTCTGCTTTCGGCACAAGGTCATACCGACGGAATGGTTGAATGGACCGCCTGTGTCTAGTGCCGCGGCTTCACGTCCTTCCACGCTTCGTAGGTCGTCTTGGAGAGTTGATGGAAAAACCTTACCCGCGGCCACAGCCACTCGTCCTCCTCCCTTGCACCAACTTCCAAGTCCCTCTGACACAGATGTCCGGCGCGGTCCGGAACCACATCAACCTAGTACTGATAGCAGTGAGTAGATCGTGTCTACCGTGGTACTAAAGGCCGCTGATACTTATCTTTCCAGCTCGCGAGGCGCCCGGTCTTGCGCAGAATTCTCAGCTTCGCGGACCTCCCGTCCCGCATCGTCTCCCTCCAACTGCTCCCCATCGTGTTCTTTTCTCAGAGCATCGCTCTCCATCTTCCGGCTCGCAGAAGCGCGACTACAGACGCTCTCCTACAAGAGATCCGCCTGCGCCGAAAAGACAAAAGTTCGATCACGGTAACTCTTCTCAGAACTCGCGCGAGGAATCGCTGCTGCGTGAGCATCCCATCTGGGGGCGACCCGAAGCTCGAGGCAGTGAGGTCAATCAACTTACCCAGACCTGCCCCCATCTATCGTATGCTATGGCTTCTGTCACCCATCCTGCCCAGGCTTTTTCGGAGACAGATGGCCCCAAGCCTACACACCCCAGCATCCATGATCCATCCTCGCGGTCGAAACAACCTACCCCTGTTCCTCCCACTCCCCCGCTTTCGGCTGTTCTCTCTTTACCTGCTGCGCCTCCTTCCCGTCCCCTGACGCCTCCTCTGCCCCCCGCAGCCCTTCTTCCTGCGCCTACCTCTACCACCTCAGAACCTGACGCTGATCTTGACAAGATCGTCCACGACCCCAAGTCTGTTCGGACCGGCCCTCCCAAGCCCTCGGCTCCGGTGCAAGAACGCCTGGCGTACAGACAAGCTCAATTGGAAGAATGGGAAAAGATGGCGTGTCAGTTTCCGGACCTAAGAGAGATAATCGAATGGCAAATTTCAAAGGTGGGGAAGCAGTTGGAGGTGTTGAGGGGCGAGATGGAACCATGAGATCGCCTCCTAAGCTTGTTGTATATTTTGTCTCACTTTTGAGCGAACGCCCATACCAGTCTCTTCTACAAAATGTTTCTATAATTTAATCCCTGTACACTGTATCCTTGGCCAATTTGTTGGCTGGTCCCGCCGCAAGCGAGCTTCACTGGGCCCATATAATGAGCAAGTCTTCCCATCAGCATGCATCCCATGACCCACCAAGCTTCAAAGCCGTTAAGGGTTGTTGGGCTGTGGGGCAGGCTGTGGTTGAGGTTGAGCGGGACGTGGACGAATTGGGGGCACCGGACGTGCAGGGCGCGTTGGCGGGTCTGTGGGTGGCGAAGGGGACATCTTGATGTTCGAGCGTCTGTTTGTTCAAGAAAGGGGATGATTACGCATACTTATATATTCCTTATCCGCGAGGATCTACAGGGTGAAAGGCATGTATCGAGTGCCGTTCGAATTGATCGAGAAACCTATTGATCCGATCTTGAAGAATGTTGTGTGATCGCCTTATGGAGCGTGGCCAACCACGCGTCCCTGGCAGCCTTGCAGTCCCATGGGCTTATTATTGATGATCCAGCATCCAGGGCGGTATGTGCTCTGTGATGACTGAATGCGCTTGCATCATTAGGATAGATATAAATAATTACAATCTATCATGCAATGACTCCATCAGCGCGGATCGGAACATACTGGCCAATGCCAGTGAGAACACACTTACGTGAAGAGTCGGTCATGAATGATCGTATACAAACTCGAACTCATGAAAGTCGACAGTACTCCTCAAGATTCCCGAAGTGTGCCTCTACCGTTCGTTCTTCATCTCGTTCAAGCATATACACATGGCAGCCATCAGCGCCAAGTCGACACCGGGTGCTACGGCCACATAATACTCATCATGAACCAATCAACATCGAAACATTATTATCTCTGTAGTGAGACTCACTGTCTGCTGCCCTGCAAAGATCTCTCTCGCATTCAAAACATCCCTATAAATCTGAGCAATGACAGGCCCGTTGACGACGCTTATGTCGGCTGAACCTCCCCAAAAGTCGCCACGCAGCGAAAGAGCCATCGGGACGTTGGTGGCGGCGTCATGGAATGTTGCTATCGCTTTGGCTCCGACTGACCAGTTGCGTCAGTTCAGCCATAGTTGCATTGCCGAGCGTGCTCACAAGCAAAGTGTTTTTGCACTCGGAATAGTTCCTGGCCATGTTCGTCCTCGGCAATAATTGTTTTGAAGAACGTCATGATCTTGTTCCGTAAGCAAAACAGAAACTTGCCACTGGAATCTCTGATGACTGTATGTGGAATGTCAGTATAATGGTCAGTGTCATTGGAAGAAGGATGTTCACTCTTGCGATCTCGATATGAGAATGCCTGCCCCTCACACCGTACAACCACCCATCCGGCAAGGTCTTTGACGGCAAAGTCATCCTACAGAAAATGTCAGTCGTGCTTTTTGATCGTCTATATCGTTGCTGATTCACGCCACTCCAAGATATCTTTTCCTTAATATTCAATGCTGTGGGCTCTTTCGCGTAGAGATAGGGAAATATGCCAATGGGCGGGTTGACGGGGTGTAGAGGGGCTTGTGCTGATGCTGTGAATGCGCCCATAGAGTAGAGTCTTTTCTGGTCAAGATGGAGTTGCGGTTGTGAGTAAATTGAGGTTGTGGACGAATGCACCCGACCCGGACTGTTATATAAGCAGGCAGCTTGGCAGGTGCTGTGCAACATCTGCGTCATGGCCGAAGAGGAGGAGAGGATAATAGGCGCTGAGGGGGCGAGGCGGTGCATGCCGGGGGCGTGAAGTTACAAACAAGGAACAAACAAGAGACGGAACCAATCAATGAGGACAGGCAGCAGTAGGCGCCCCTCGCCGCCGCGTGCCTTTTGTGCGTGATACTTCTTGCTGTCGATTGGCCAACCTTGGGCCAACCCTCTGCATCCATATCCCATCCGCCATGTCCGTCCTCCGCTCGGCCCCCCTCGCCCGCCTCCCCCGCTCCCTCCCCCTCGCCCTCAGATCCTACTCCACCCCGCCCCAGCCACCAAAGCCCCTCCAGCAACAACAGCCAGACGCTGCCTCGCCATCCTACCTCCAACAGTCTCCAAACGTCCCCACCACCTGGTCCAAGGGCCAGAACCCCAAGCCCCATGCCGTGGACAATGCGCGGTTCGAGCAAAACTCGTGGAGACACCAGCCCAACCAGCCCAGCGCCATGGGCATGGTCGCCGAGGACCCTGTGAGGCTGGTCAATGGAAGGAAGGCTGTCTGTGACGGTGGTATGTTGTTCATCGCGCTCGCCCAGTGACATCAACGGCTGACATGGTCACAGGTGGTGGTGCTCTTGGTCACCCCAAAATCTACATCAACCTTGTAAGTTTCTGTCATCGTGTACGGATGTTTGAGCTGACAATGTCTTTCGCAGGATAAGCCAGGTATGTCCACAAATAGTAACCGATCCTTCGAGTGTACTGCTGACTGTTGCCCCATTACCAGGACCCAAGGTCTGTGGTTACTGGTATGTTGCAATCCAGAGTGGTCCTATCAGCGCTGATCACCTTGCAGTGGGACTCGATACGAACAAGCCCACGAATCTCATCATTAGTTGTATCAACACGGAGCATTGGGAGGGTCAGGATGCATGGGTTATCACTTGGATGAGTTTGGGGTCACACAAAAGCAATTCTAACGAAAATAATTCGTCCGAGTAATCGTCGATATTCAGTCACAGACCTGGTCGCCTGGGTCTTCGTCCCACCCCATGTTCCAGCCGCTCTCCATCAGAAAAATGCGAATGCGGATACCGATCGAGAAAAGAATCCGAGAACAAGTCTTTGCCCTCTATAGGCATGAGCGCTGCGACTGGATCAATTCCATGGAGAAGGCAGAAGGCGAAATATTCTTGTTGCTGATCGTCCTTTGGTCTTTAGACCCCGATTTAGCACGGCTCTTGGATCTAATGGTCCACAAGCAATGACAGTGCATACGTAGCCAAGATGTCACCTCCTCGGTCTACCGCCATACGCCTACACCCATGCCCACATCTGGGAATCGACCATATCCACCTCTTCCTCGTCATACCAACATACCCCTAGCACATGGGCCATGGCTTCTGTCCCAATCCTCGTCGAAACTACCACATCGCGCCCTTCCGCCCGGTTCCACGCGTGTACCAGCTCGGAGGCGGGATCGAGTCCCCATACTTCGCCTTCTGTCCATGGTGCGCCCGAGTATTGAATTACGCCGTCCAACGATGCCAAAAGCGAGGGCAACAATCCCGGTGTGATATTCTGCATGTATGTCACGCAGAGGCGCGGTGACGCTGCAGAGTTGTACAAGCTGAACAGGACAACGGCTTCGTGTTCCCAGCCTTGTCCTTTTGTGGCTTTGAGACGGATACCATAAGGTAAGACTCGGGTTCGCCAAGTCGGCTGAGGACTGTACGACCCTCTTACGGGAATCATGGTCAGTGTCCCGGGTGAGGCTGGGTCGCACAAGAAGGCAGGCTTGTCGGTAGTCTGAGCTTGGGAAAGCTTGTGCCGAGAGTTGGCCGAGACAACAGGATATATGTCCTCCAGGTCAGACTCCCAGATGAACTCCCAATCAGATTGACTTTCTGGTGACCCGTTAAGCTTCCAAGTGAGCGTGTGATTCCATTCTTGTTTGCTTTGAAACCCTCGCCCCTTAAGCCCCAGGGTACAACGTTCGTAAACTCTCATCAGAACGTCAGACCACAACATACTGCCATCGGCTCTGGGCACGTAGGGCACCAGCTCATGAGGTATGGGTGGGGGTCGCTGCCCCCAGGATGGAGGAAATGGTGGAATGGCTTGGGATATTGCCGGTTGAGTGATGGTAGGGGAAGGCGAAGTGAGGATGTAGTGCAGTAGGCGGATCAAATGTGTGGCGTACCCTTGACCTGCTCGGACGTTAGTCTCTCGATTTGGTGCTGAACCTGGATATACCTACCACGATGCTTGTGAGGGGTCACAACGGCAGTGATTACATATACCCAGCCGTCCCTGACTTGACCCTGGCCTTTGTCCTTGATGAAGCATTTCGTGCGATGGCTGTGTATGTAGCGTGAGCGACGGATGAAACGGGGGTCAATGCAGTGACTTGCGTCTCTAAAGCAGAGTAGATCTCCCCCTCATACCCGTCCCAGCGAACCAATACCCTGAGAGATGTGAGTGCGGAGTCTCCGTCGCCCGGGACGACTCACCAGCCAATAACTCCATGGTCTTTTGCATACTCTGCATCTGACTGCTCCCTTTCGGCAATTGCGTTGAAGTCCTGTTTATGTGTCAGCATATAGTACATGATACCCGTTACCAGTACACACCTCCAAAGACATCCTCGCTCTCCAATTGGTCACCTCAAAACAAGCTTTGCCGTGCTGGAGGGCCTGTCCATCTGTGGCTGGGCGTATGGTGAATTGTTCGGGATTGAGCAACATGGTGGTCCAGGTGCTTGGAATCTGTTCGCTTTGAAGGTGTTAGAGCTTGAGGGATCGGTCGCCAAGCTGATGACCAATTGCTCCTTGTAGACTATTTGCTCGTGAAAGGACGATACCGCATTCAAGGAGGGTCCTTTTATCGTCAGTTGCCAGCTGAGAAGACTTTCGAAGCCCGCTACCTGATAATCAAAGCAATTTCGCAGCAGAAAGAGAAGGCAGGGTGCAGTTGACAGAATTATTGGGGCTGTCTCAAACTCAGGCTCGATCAAGTGCCATGACCAGGACCTCAGGTCAAGTTGGCTTGACGGCAGGAGAGCCGTCCAGAGTAAGACTCAGCTCACCGAGAAGCTTGCAACCCTCGCCATCTTGGCCGCACGGAGCCAATCAAGCGTGTAACATCATTAATGTCATTGCATATAGAAGGCCTTCTCTTGAAATAGTCTGATTTAAATTTAAGCCTGGGCGCCAGCAGCTTCGATCTGGTCAGCAGAGTGGATCATATGCGGAGGAGAAATCGAAGACACACCCTCAATCTCGGCGAGGTAGTTCTTGGAGGACTCGTCGTCAGACTTGCTAAGCATCTGGGCATATCGTCAGCATCCATCAAACTCTCCAGTATAAACACAGAAACTCACCTGCTTCAAAAGCTCGACGTACTTGACCTGAGCATCCTCCTTGCTGAGGCCAGCAATCTTCTTCCAGGCGTTGTACTTGGCCTTGCCAACAAAGTCAAAGACACCAGGAGCGGGGCCGGAGACGTCGCCCTCGTTGGCCTGCTTGTAGTGGGCGTAGAACTGCATTGGAGCGAGGATCAGAGTGCATCCCGAATAGTAGAGCGAAGAGCAGCCCGGGTGACTCACAGCAAGCTTGTCCTCCTGGGAAGGCTTGATGGGTCCGTCAGCGGGGAGACCCTTGACGATGGCGACTGCCTTGTCGAACTGAGCTTTGGTGTTTACCATTGTGGGTGTGGGTGTGGTGGATGTGAGAGATGCAGATGAGAGATGTTGGATGAATCTCCTAGTGCCATGGGGCGAGTACGCGATACGCGTGGGGAGGTACGGGGCGGAGGCCACCGCTGCTCGGTGGGCGTCGCCGGCTGTTGTTGTTGCAATTACTCTGAATTTGTTGTTCAGTTGTCAGTTTCGCGTGCTGAGAGGACTCACGGGCTCGGGGGTCCAGCTCTTGCAGCTTCCTCTATACACTACTCGCACCTGTACTCGTCACCCGCCTCTCCAGCCAGTAGCAAACATGCCCTCCCCTGCTCGCCTATCTGCCCATTCCACCTTCTCTGAACCGCCACCGCCCCATGGCCCCATCCATGCCTCGTACCGCTTCATCATAGACATTCCACCCGAACGTGGCCGTGCTGTCTTTGAGCTCTGGAGAGATCAACAGTGGATTCGGATATCCTGTCTCGACAAATTCGGGCTTCCTACGAGACGCATAGTCAGCATGCTAAGACAGGGCTCCATGATCCGCGTTCATGTGATACCACTGAATGAACAAGACCCTCAGAGCTGGCCCTCTATTATGTTCGAAAAGCAGCAGAACTTGACATACCCAAAGGGCATTACGCCAAACCATGTGGATGACAAATGGGTGAAGAGAACCATCGAAAAGAAGGAAGAACGGGACAACAAGGGAAAGCCGAAGTTCTGGGTCAAGCTGGAACATAAGTCTTCACATTACGTCTTGCGATGGAAAGAGAGATCGTGGGAGGAGCTCGCTACACAAGTCGCTCAGGACGCCGCGACTGGTGAGTATCACTCCTATATCGGTGCCAAGGATAAGGCTGATGCCAGACTTGCAGCTCATGCGGCACGGCTGGCCGCCACCTGCGCCAAGAGCGAGCATCCGTATTTCAAGAAACGCCGGCAGGATGCGGATCACGTGGGAGAAGTCATTTCGTCCCATTCGAAGGATGAACATCATCACAAAGCGAGGAAAGTCAGCCCTTCTCCGCCCAATCCCACTCGAGCGCCGGCTTCGATGGACGAGACTAGATCCCGGCAAGGCGCTGAGGGGTCCGCTTCTCGCGCTCAACGGGGCAGCAGGGAAGCAGGCAGGTCGCCGGTTTCTCTTATAGATGACACCTCCGACCCTCGCCCCTTTCGCTTCTGCGCTACTCCCATCCGTCCTTCAGCACGCAATCTTGTGCGAGATCCTCCAGCTTTTCGATCTCATCCCTTCAATTCCTCAAAGATCACCAGGCCAGCGGATCCCCGCCTTTTCCCACGGGAAAGCGCTGCTCATGCGCCCTCCCATCCCACTCAGTCGCCCTCGCCTTCCACAACACCCTCAATGGACCAGTGCTTTCCCCAGCGACCTCCATACCCTAGGACCCGTTCGCCACCTAGGGCTGAGGAGAGCTCTGGTGCGATGACGCCAGGGAATTATACGTCACCCAGGACTGTGTTTACTGCTTTGCCTTCAGATGTGATACTGGATACGGTATTGACGGTGCGCAGTGGTATGCCTTCCCCAGCAGCAACACCGCCGGCGGTTTCGATATCGCTTGCTCTGGCCCAACAAAAAGCTGCGGCATCCACGCCATCTTCGTTGGACTTGGAAAGGCAGACATCGACTTTTGAGTCAGAACTCGCTTTCCCTGGCTCCACCACCCAGCCTTTGCCATCTCCTGTAGAGATGGAGACAGGTCGCATCCCGCCGACAGGGCTGAAGCGCCGCGTATGCTCTGATTCTGGTACCGCTTCCACATCCTCGTATATGACCTTCGCTCCATATCCGAAGGGGCGCCGCTGTTCATCTTCATCTCAGATCCTTCCACCCGACAATACCACTCCTTATATCGACTCCCCGGTGCCATCGCAAATTACCCGAGCCCAATCGAGGCCGTCAATGATTCTCTCCTGCGGCAAAAGCCTCGACTCTCCTCTGCATACTGGTCTCCTTCCCCCGGGAAGAATCCTTCAACCTTCAGCGCGCGTTGTCATGGACGATAATGATGGTGGTACAAGGATGGCGATGATCAGGAAACAGATTGACAAGTGGCAGGAAGTACTCGAGGAGTTCCCGCAAACGAAGATGGATTGTATGAGACATGTGGACAGGTTGGAAAAGGAGATGGCAGACATGAGGGATAGATGTTCGGAGATCTGATAAATTGGGGCATTATGTAGATTCAAAAAGGCGAGCAGGACGGTCGTTCTCACGCGTCCGATTGGCGATGATGACGAGATTCACGACACGAGTATGTAGCCTGTATATATTTCCGCCGCTTACATGCGTGTAGTATTTTGTTGTAGATACATGCAGAGCTGATTATAGCACGACGGCATCTTCAGCATCCCCCAGCAGCAGGCTTATGCAGAAGCCGAAATATGCCACTCGCATTGCCGTTGTCAAGGGCAACACAGCAACAGCACGGCGGATGCGTCGCAGATAACACACCCCGCATTCTGGTGCGTAGTGCGTCTCTTTCACCACTCTTGTGCTGCTTTGCTTTCGATATCTCTGAACACCCAGTACAGCGTCTGCTTCACAAGACAAGCGGTAACAAATTCTGGACATGCACCAAGACGCCAGGCTCAGATCGACCAGCCCGGGTCGCGGCGAGTGAGTGCTTGCCCGAGCAGCCCCTCCCTTTGCCTCTGCTTATCAATATATATAGCTCTTCCACTCCCACTTCCAGCCCTCCACCACCCCCATCGTACAAGACCATCTTTTCCCGCCCCCCTGAGACCGGCATTATCCGAGACCGGTACCACTACACCCTCACTGTTCCTCTCTTCAGCAAAAAGAAGCTGGGTCGCTCAGCAGCTCGGAAGCGGTACAGGGACTGGACAGCAAGGATGTGGATCAAAGCGTCCCAGCTTGACCATTTTGGGGTGCCGACCAGGCTCGTGGTGGATTGCTCTCTGGAGGGTGACCAGCGGACTTTGGCTGGCGAACTCAATGTCATTGTCGAGCCGTTCGGTGACAAAGGAATGCCCAACCCTGATACTTGGCCTTCAGCCATGTTCGATATGGAGGACTTCTTGGGATTTCCTCGCGACATTGATGGTGATCAGAGGAAAGAAGATGAATGGATCAGGCAGTATGTGGAGAAGGTGCATAAGCGGGATGTTGGTGGTAGGCGGATCCTGTGGCTCGGGATCAACCGAGTGCAACATGGGATTACGGTTGGCAGAAAGCATAGATCACAGGCAGAGGTTTATGAGGACAAATGGAATGGTGGGTGACTTCTTGAGCCATCCACAGGGTAGTAGACAATGCTGACAAGTTTGACCGCAGAAGCTGTATCTTTGGCTCCAATTCCCCGAAAGCGATCTCTTCCTTCTTCTCCTAGTGATGTTTCTCAACAGCAACACACAAAGAAGCAAAAGTCAGATCGATCGCTCCTTCTCTCAGCTCTTCCTCGTCCATCGATTCAGATTACCATACCCTCGTCGGCTACGACAAAGGCCGGACAGAACCGACTGCCCGTACAAAGAGCACCCAACCCACTCTGTTCATCGTCCCCTTCGTTCAGCCCATCCTCTACCAAGCCGCCCAAGCGGCAAGGAGCAGAAACTGAGATGGCGGATACGTTTCTGGCATCGTATGAAAAGGAGCTGCACCAGACTGAGTGTCGCGCTGACTCTATCCCATCCCCATCCCTCAGGATGACTCGGGTAGACGAGGAGGTACATGAAGACTTCGCAGCGAGAAGCCCGCACAATGCGAAGCGCGAAAGACACGTTAACGTGCTTGCTCCAGCTGCCTTTTCTCACCAGGCCACAGACTCTCACAAGCTCCCGTCTTGCTATGTCCCTCGGAAAACCCCCGAGTGCAGTGGCGCCAACAGACTAGGTGACTCTGAAGGAATGCCACAAGCAACATACAAGGTCCCACTTGACACTTCCTCGATTCTTGCACTTTTGGTCCGCTTCCAGGCAAATGAAGTATCTTTTGCTTCGTCTTCCTGCGTATATCCCGGGTGGCTGCAAGACCTTCAGAAGTGCTCGGCAGGAAAGATGCAGCAGCGACAGAAGTGGGTAGAGATGATTGAGGATTTGCCTGATCTCCGGCCTGTTATGGAAAAGCAGCTGCAGAGAGTGGAGAAGGACCTGGAAGTATTGATCAGTGATGCGATCCGACTCGCCGGACCCAATTGTCTATCGCAAAGCTACACGACAAGTCGGTAGTCCACTTTCCCCATTCGAGTGTACGATAGGTATGAAACATGATCTTCACATACATGCACACAAGTACATTATTCAACCATCATGATCACAGAGAAGAGATGATTCGCAGTACCATATCGCCTCCTCGTTGTATCAGCACATTCAGTTACTCGTCATCGATACTTCCTTTTTCGATCTCAGCTCTTTGGTATATCCGGAAGACGCGGCATCCTTTATCATATACTCGGCTACACAACACTCCTCACTGTCTCTAGTACCTGGTGCTACTGTTCTAGAGTCCGGGCGATGAAGCGCAAGCCAGTCTTATCTTGAGCCCACTATTTTCAGCTCTCTCTCCAGCATCGGGGGACAAGAGCTGGCTGTTGAAGAAGGTGAAGTACTGACAGTGTCCCCGTCGCTATGAGCAGAAACGATCAATGGTCGAGTCTGAGGGAATTCACTAGCACTCTTGAGCGCTTCCTCGATGCCAATTGGCGCCCCTTCGTGCTCCAAGATCTCTGACTTGTTGCCCTGGGCGTCATTGCCGTCCTCTTGCAGTTTGATATCTTCCTCGGGTCTGGAGACAGGGTCTACTTCCAATCTGGTATCCGAACTATCGTCTGATAATCTTCGTCGCCTTGCCCTCTCTACGACTAACGTCATGATGCGGGTGGCCTTCCCCTTCTTCGCTTCAGCGCTTTGACCGGGCAACATCTTTGGACATTTCTCGGAGCAGCATCTGGAAGCTACTTTTCGTTTTGTCCGATTGCCAATTCCTCCTGTATAAGACTCGGCTGTCATGGATATAATGTCCGGGAGAGGAGCATGCTCTGGGAGAGTGGGCACATCTGCGAAAGCCTTCGAGAGAGAGGCAGAAGATGGACGAAAGTGAATAAGACCTGGAATGAAGTCGTCCGGAGTAGCAGAAGGGTGTACAGACTCGATATGATCTACAAGGTGAGAGAAATTCTCTCCAACAAAATCGCACTCTGTGCACTCGTGTCAACTTCATAGACCTTTAGCCGGATACTTTTGACTCACGAAACAAAGGGCATCTAGCTGAAAAGTGCCTCATATGCACCACCAACACATGGCGATAACATTCTTCTTGTGTTCTGAAAGTATTATCACACTGGTACCATTGACATTGAACGTCTCCCACTTTGTGGAGGCTGTGTTTCAAGTGTGCATGGTGAACATGCTTTTCGAGCAGAGCCCAAGAGTTGAGCTCAGCTTCACAGTCAGACCACGCGCATCTTGTTGGCCTTAAAGTGACGAAATCAGCATACGGATAGCTTGGATGACTGAGTTCCTTCTGGACAGGAGCACCAGACTCACCTGGCGTGTACGAATACTTGAAGTTGTATCATCCTTGTCTTTTTTTGATCTGTCTCTCGTAAGTCTTCCTTCCTTCGCCGCTTCTCCATGTCCTGATGTGCTCTCATTTGTCGCACGCGCATGATCGCAGCGGACTGCTCGGCCCGGAGTCTCTCTTGCTCCTCCGGGGAGATGGAGCTTGGATATCGTGCTCGCATGCTAGCCCCAGTCAATGGCTCGATAGTCATCAAGGGTCCAGGCATCCTGCGGCGGGAAGCTGCTGCTGCCGCGTCATAGGAACGTCTGCTGCTGACGGCCGCTGGAGCAAGGCCATCATTGTTAGAGCTTTTTCGCTGTTGAGGGTGTAGATGCATCCGCTGAGAATATTTGGCGTCTCTGCGTGCCCCTTTGGAAGGCTGGTACAGCGCCGACGGCCTTGTGGGCTCATAAGATTTGGACTTTGTGGGTGGAGAACGCTTGAGTGGACTTGGCGGTGAGGAAGACGACACATCAGGGTGATGATGGTGATCATGGGCAGGATAAGGCCTGAATCGTCTATGAGAATGAGAAGCGGCAGATGCTCTTTCCATATACGGTGGAAAATGAGCGGTATATCCTGTTCGATATTGGTCAAGCTGCCTGGCTAGCCGTTGTTGTCCATGCTCGCTGACCGGGGGGTAGGTCGGCGCGGGCGGGGGGTAAGGATTGTACTGAGGGTATTCTCCATCATCTGAGGGGTTCAAGCTGTTAGCTTTTATTCTCAAATCAATTTGGAGTGACGGGATATGAGACAGAAGGAAGGGGTATGCTGAAGAATAATATCGAATCTGATAGCAAGAAGTAAGGATCAAAGGAAAATCAACATTGTTGAGAACAATTTCAGGGACCATTGTCTTGGCCATGTCCATCATGTTGCTAGACGAAGGCGACATCTTGGCTCAAAATCGATAGAGGAGGATATGTTCGAGGCGAGGAACACAACTCACACGGGTGACTGTTCGCCGGCTCTTTCCTCCCGGAGATATGTCGAGGGAGCTCCCTTGGTGGATATGCGGCTTGGGCCATCGTGATTGCTCTTGTATTATACTCGAGGACTCTACCACTGAATTGTGAACTGGCTGGGGTTTTCTTCGGGTTTTGGGATCAGGAAAGATCAGTCGTTCGCAAAAACAGCAGAATGTTGCTTGCACCAGTAGATGTGGGCGGAGAGGCCAGGTATGGCGCTGCCGTGCTGTTGGAGAAGCAGGTATGGTCTCTTTATTACAGACTCGAAGTTTGTTGAATGTGGTTAAACCAGATGATTTACGTAGTTTCAAACCGAGTGGGCTCAACCTCTATGATCCTGGCCATGATTGCCTTCTCCATAAATACTTGCCAGTCCAGATGAATGCCCTAGACACTACCTCAAAGCAAGACCTGCCTTCTGAAAGGATTCACTTTTGCCCCTTTCTGTCCCCGGAAAGCTCAGTCGGTAGGCTTCGATAGACAAAGGAGGGACTGGGTGCATTATTCGCTCCCTAGTGGCATGCTATCAACAGTTGATAAGCGAAGCAATATATGTAGGTACAAAGGGTACGGGCTCATGCGAAGCTCCTTATCATTACAGTGCCGCCGAATCAGATTCGAAATTGTATGCGCCTTGCGGGATTGTGCGCAAAGACACAGGATTACTTTGCCTCTTCTAGCGGAAGTGATGTAAAGGCTTGAGCATAGAAGAAGATGATAGGGCATTGTCTATCTACAGACTATGTCACATCCATGAATCGATAAATGAGTGACATTCCATCCGTATCTATTGCATATATCACTACATAAACTAGACTGCTTCATCATGAACCTTGGACTGCTGACGTTGGCAATACAGGTGGCCAGACTCTGTCTGAATACGAGGAGCCTGAAATTTCCCTACGCTTTCTGACCGCTGCCGTGAGCTCTGTGTTCATGGGCGAAGTCTTGCGCTTCCCACTTGGCGAGTGAGCAGATGCGTTACTGCTCTCCTGATACGTCTCAAGGCTATCGCTGAGTGGGCTTGTAGAAGGTGGGCAAGATGACCCGACCGAGGTGGCCGAAAGAGGAGATGATGAAGACGCCGACGATTTTGCACGGCTCTTGGATCTCGTGCGCTTGGACGACCACCCCTTCCGCGTTCTCTTCTTCTGCTTTTTTCTTGTTGGCTTTACGGGGAGAAGGTGTTTGACGCTGATCAGAGGGCGTGAGATATGGCAAGCACCAAAGTCTGCCCGTACGCATGCCCAGTATTCCGTCAGCGAGAGCTCAGGTCCGTCCTCCCACCATGGGGCTGCGCACCCAGGAGCCTCGCCTTGGGGCTCTTGGTGAGAGTCGCGGAGGCGAGGCACATAGCTGGCTGCAATTATAATGAGACATCTTTTCGGCTGCCATAGTCTGAAAGTTGGTCTCTGCGATAAACTTGGTGGTAGTGGCGATCACCTGGCGAGCTCTCTGAGATTTGCCAGAGCCAAGTATCTCAGCGACGCTGATGATGTTGTCGCCGTCCACATCTGCTGGGGCAATAATTTGCGACATGATGTGTTGCCTAAAGTGTGAGTAATCAACAAGGGCAGCATGCGAGCTATCCAGGTCATCTCCTCTTCGATGACGTAGGCGGCCTTCATCATAGAAATACTTGGGTAGGGGCGGAAGAGGGCCTAGCTGAGGCCTGAAGGGCAGAAGGGCAGGGCGTTGCTTTGTGAGGTCACCAGCAGGGGAGGCATGTAGAGGATGCTTGCCGGTCTGTACGACTTTGAAATCAAGCTTGAGAGTACGAGTAGATCGACGCAGAGAGGGAAGATACAGAGCTTCACTGTCAATACTCAGCGATTTGGGTGACAGATCTTCGAGTGATGGTGGGATAACACGTTCGCGTTCAGTGTCGTGAGATAGGATTTCAAGAGCAGTAGTGCTAGGTAGAGCCGGCGAGGTGAAAAGAGGTGACGTAAGGGAGTGATTTTCTTCCAAACAGTCTACATAGGAGTGAGCCATTGGTTGCACAATCGGTAATGTAGAGCTCACCATCCTCATCAGTCGCTAATAGAGCCTGCAGTCCAATAGCCCAAGGGGCGTCAGAGTAGGACACGAGTTCTTGTTTGCCCATATCTGAACAATGATGTGTATATAAGCAACTTGAACAGAAGATGTACTCTCATAGAAAAGAAGAAGGCATCCCACAAGAAAGACCGCCCCCGGTTCGCCGAAATGACGACGGATACTACAAGACGCGAGGTACAGTATGTCCGCTCCGGATATGGAACTCGTTCCGAAACTCGAAATGGCCAAGGTGTAAGGCGGGCGTGACGAATCATTCATTGCAGGTGGATCAGTGAGGATCTGAGATGGCATTGGAGACTTATACAGTTACATGAAAGAGACACTCACGCAACTCCAGGAACTGAGTGGGCGCGACTGATTTTCTCGGGCCCGGGCGGGTGATGTCGCCTGTCAGGCAATGTTACGTAAGCCAGATCTTTGGTAAGGGGTGTTTGTTCTGTGGGCAACAAAACATGGATGCGCATCTCTTCCACCCACCCTCCCGCCATGCCCCAGTAGCCCCATAGCCCTCCTAACGCCCACCCGAGTCACTCATTAAGTCATATCCCATTCCCCATCCCAGCCGCCCCGCCGCCCCATCGCCCCATCGCCCTCCCAGACAAACACCCAGAGCATGCCCAAACATGTCCTCTCTGCGATATAATACACACCACCCCTTTCCTCCCACCCCCACTGCCACCCCAGAGGCCGGCAGGATCACCATATCCGCCCCCTCATCTCTCTTGATGGCCTCGAACGGGTGGCAACTACCGCCAAACACCCCATCACCGCCTCCGCCCTACCGCTCCCCCTTCCTTAGCAACCACCCTTACCAACTTTCTCCTTTCCATACTTCCTCCAGCGCCAATTATTCCACCCGCTCTCGTAAGCTTCGGCCCAAGTCTTTGCATACGAGCGCCATGTCTGTCACCGGGCAGAGTAGGGATGGCCCGAACAAGAGACAGCCGCAAGATCCGGTGCCTGCTGAGATAGGGCTTGGGGGCAACGTGGAGAGCGATATGCAGTGGGTGGAACTGGAGAGGGCTCTTGGGATGATCGACGAGGAGGTGGCCGGCCTGCTACGGAGGAGAATCAGAAACATGCAGAGTTTAGCCGAGAGGCAGGCCCGAGGTAAGTTGTTTTTTTGCTGTTGCGAAATCGCCACTGACAGTGAGTGCCCCAGCGGAGACTCAGAATCGTATCGCTCGTCTCGAGGATTCTCTAGTAGAAGCACATCAGACTATCAAGCGCCTTACCAAAGAGAAATCAGTTATGGAAGACGAGATGAAGGAGGTTGAGGAGCGTGTTGTGGCGGAGTATCGACTCTCCGTCAAGGGCCAAGAGCGCAACCGCCCCTCAGGTCTGCGGCCTCTTGGACTCTCTTCAAAAGCGAGGCCAGCATCTATCATTGTCGAGGATGCTGCTCAAGCGAACAAGAATCGCTTGTCCGTCAGCAAAGCGTCAGAGGACGAGCGAAGAACCTCGCGCCTGCTCAATCTCCCTTACCGATCCTCCACAGTCCCTGCGCCTACTCCTTCCTCCGCCCGTTGCCCCGATACCCCTCCCTCTGCCTCTTCAGCAGACTCTTCGTCTTCTTCAGATTCTTCGTCCCCCTGCACCCCTACCCACTCTCCCATCCATAAGCCGAGACAATCTTATCGAATCAGTCAGACATTTACCGGTCTTTCGTCCTACTCGGTCAACGCTCATGCGTACGAGGAGCTTGAGCTTCTTGTAGTCTCTCCCCCAAAGTCTACCTCTGAGAGCAAGTCGATGTCTTTGAGCATGGCTCCTAGTGGCGATGAGGGCAAGCTAGTCGCTGCACGAGTCAGGAGAGGCAGGCCCCAAACTGTTTATGGCTGGGCGCCGCCTACACCATCCGAAGACGTCTCCACAGGGCTGATTTTGGGGGATGCTACCTGCCCCATTACTAGCACGTATAACAAGCTTGTGGGGACTAGTGCTCCAAATCCGGCCAGTAGTCATGGGAGGAAGGCCAGGCTCAGAGAGAGTCTACCGCCAACGATGGAGGAGGTGATACCCATACAGGGGCAAACAACAACATCTTTCAGAGCAGAAAGGCGCTCTTTGATCGAGCCCCGCTCAAGCATGATATACAAAGCTCGCAAGCGGTCTTCCGTCGCCCTTGAAGACCCGCACGTTCCCGAGAGCGGAGAGGCCCAGCCTTCCCTGCTTGAAGGCTATCGTCAGACTCAACGCTGTACGCGGCGGAAGACGCTGCTCATCACATCCCCCTCTTCTCCTCTACCCCTCATGCCCAGTTCCCCAACAGCAGCTCGCCCGATCGCCCCGCGTCCCCACAAACGCCAACAGCAACAGGGACAGCTCAAGCTTTACGAGACCAGTCCGGTAAACATGAACAACCCTAGGCAGATGACGGCGCTTTTGGGAGGGATCGCGAAGGCGTCAGGATGGATGACAGTGGTCGGATTCGCGGGGCTTACAGTAGGAGGGTGGATGAAGAAATGAACCACCGGTGGCGTACGACGGACAATTTCGCCCATTGGGGTCTTCTTTTCACGAATTATAATGACCCTGCATTTGTTGGATCCTGGCATTTCGTCCATAGTCTCTCTCAGAACTTTTAGCATTTCCCTTTCCCTTTCAACAGCATATTCTACCGTCCCATAGAGCCCTACAAATATCCTTGTTCATCCGTGTCTCCACTACGCAGTGTACTCCTCTGTTTGCATTAATTGTGCATCTTTCGTGTGATACATAGACCCTTTGTTGCTCTATACAACCGGTGTTTGATGCATGGCCTAATCTCGGATATGCCCTTGAACCATGCATTGCATCCATCTCCGCGCATTCAATACATTCCCGCCACACTCTGATTTTTCATCTCATAAAAAAAGCACATAAAGTGATATGGTAAGCAAATCGTTCTCGTCAACAAAAGTTTGGTCATCGGGTTGGTCGTATTAGTCGTCAATTAAAATCATGTTTTTCCCTTCTGCAGAGACTGATCTAGAGAATCGAGCCGAGTTCCATCCTCTCTCTCTGGGCCCGGCCCCTTTTGGCTCCCCTCGGACTGGAAGACACTCTCGACCATTTATCGGGACAAGCAATGAAATAGTGGCGCATGGCACTCTCAAAGCGCTCGCGATATTGATCAGGAGGAATCTGTGCCTGTCGTGAGCCTCTGCTTGATGTGAAGGTATAGAGTTGATAACAACTCACAACAGTAACATCTCCCCCTCTGTTCAGAGCCATCTTTCCCCTACTTTCGATCGTCTTGAACAGATTGAAACTTCCGATGGCATCCACTAACCCCACAATCAAGGTTTTGTCCTTGGCCCGCCTCATTGCTTCCACTTGCTCTTCATATGTGGCAGGCTGACCAGCAGCAGTTGCGGATGAGGAGAAAGCGCGCGATGAGTCGTCGATACCGAGCAGGAGCGAGTAGTCCATGATTGATTGGGAGGCGAGGAACTTAGTGTCGAGGGCGATAGCGTCCAGAAGGATCTTTTTAGCGTCTATCGTGTGCTATGTCAGTTTGTAGTCTGCGCATAAAAAAAGTCACGTACGTGGTTGAAGTAGAACCAGGTCGTTTTGCATATTCTCCAGCCAATCGGCATCGAAAAGTATTCCCGGACCTTTGACTTCGGCAGATTCAATCTCGCCTTCAGTCTTCTTTTTGACCACCTTTCGGCCCTCTGGGCAAGTTGTCAATTGACGATCCTCTGATGGAACACAGACTCGACTCACCGATACCCTTCAGATCAAATGTTTGAGAGATGGACTGGCTATAGAAAAGGTTTTCCATCACCAGCAAATCCAGCTGCCTCTTGGTACCGGAGTGTAGATCTTTGATCGTGACTGTACTCGTTGTCAGTACTTTGATATGCTGAAGCTCAACTGGACTTCGAAGTAGGCTCACCTGTGTAGAAGCCGACGATCTTCGCCAAGGATGTAGCTCTATTGTGCGTACCGGCCATAAAGTTGAAATATGCCGGCGAAATCTCCAGCAAAGCATGCCTGCCAACCAGTTTAGCCACATAACTTCGCCAACCCCGAAAATCAATTCTGCCACTCACATGTCACTGACAGTCCACTTGCTCACTAGCTCTTTCACGATGAACTTTTTGTCCTTTGTCATCCAGAATCCCGCCTTGCTTTTACCACCGTCGGCATTCCACTCCTCTGTCTCTTCGAGACTTTCCACCAGCGCCTTGTCTACCGCACACCTTCGCCTGAGCGAGTCAAAAGCTGTAGCAAAGTAGACTGTACACGACAGATGCAGCTTATCAGGCAGAGTGTACTCAAAGTAGAGGTGTGGTCGAGGATCGAGCTTGGAAAGTGACGTATCCATACCGCCCAATGGACCAGCGATAAGCGACTGAAGCGACCGGTCTGGATGGCGCGTACGTATAGACGAGAGTGTGTTTCCCACCTCGGAGCCAAATCTCCATATAGAGTTGGCAAATGATGAGGTTATGCTACCACCCCAGCCAGCGCTACTGGGGGTATCGGGAGGCATCATTCTGGCCGCTGCAGTACCTGTCTTGGAAGAAACTGTGGAGACTGGCGTTTGAGGAGAGAGAAGGCGAGGGACTGAAGATGTGGACAGGTTACGGCTGCCCCGGAAGCTACTCGGTGGAGCATCGCTTGACTTGGGACCGCGGGGAGAAGCTCGGGACTTGTACAAGCTGCTTGTGTCACTTTCCGATACACTTGCTCTCCTGCTCGGTGCCAATCCGTTGATGCTGTTGGACAAGATGGGATCGTTGCCCGTGGCCTTCTCTATCGTCCTGACGATTTCTTCCATCCTGTCTGCAGACTGGCTCACGCCTTCCACGGCCTCTGTAAAGACTTCTGTAGACGGGGCAGCATTGGGGATCGACACTGCTGGGGGAGCGAATTTTGACTTGTCCACTGACAAGGAGGCGTCGGAAGGTTTCTTTACGATAGAGCGAAGGGATAGAAGATCTCTGGGAGAGTCTCGGCGCTCGACCTTGATACTCCATTCAGCCATCGAGGACGACTTTGACTCCGGTGCGCCGACAGACGCAGGGGTCTCGGGCGTAGATGCTTCGTCGGTTGATTTGGACGACGCAGTCAACTCTGTAAAATATGCTAAGGATCTTTTACCCGATCAGCGTATGTATATTGTCTTTCAAGCAACTCACGAAAGGGTATAAGCCACAACACTGGCTGGCTGATCTTCCTTGACCAGGACACTACTTCCGGGAAGAGCGTAATCGTTCGAAGCCTTCTTTTTGTGATCCGGCAAGTAGCTTTTCAAAGCAACCAGTCCGTCTTCTCGGCCGTCCTGATTCAAGTAGGTCTTTTGCCATTCTTCGAGCGCCCCGAGCGAAACCTTGATCCTTTCGGTGAAGAATTGGCGAGCCTCATCGATGGGCTTAGCTGGTGCCGCAGCGAGAGTCGCCATTGTCTGTTGTCTGGCCTCAGAGGATGTCGTGGAAACTTCGGTCAAGCTGGATAGTTTCTTTTGCAAATCCGGTGTCGTTCTTTCTGGTCGTAGCTCTTCGCCAGCTTCGTATCCGGCTTCAAGTCTCCCTCTCTGATACCGTGTCAGTGTGTTCCGCACTTGACACTTATATTACTTACGAGCAGTGCAACCCTTGAATCCAGAGCGTCAAAGAAAGAAACAACTTCTGAGCCTCTAAGTGCGTTGTCACAATCTTGCTCTGAGCTGTTCAGATTCTCAGGGGTTCTGAGAAGGTTGTCTTTGGCGCTCTTGCGTTTAGGCACGTTGGGTCCTACTTGAAGCTTGGGTAGTCGCATGTCGAGAAGTGAGACTTTGGAAGTTGCCAACGAGATAGCTAAACCTGGTGTCCGCAAGTAATGTGTTTGCACAAAGGGTACCGAGGAATGTGGACAGATAGATGCTTGAAGACCGGTGGTATAGATCAAACTACGTGTATTTGATCAGTCACCTTGCCTTACATGTTGACTGAAATTCTTACAACTCAAGCACTTTTATCCAAGGATAGACTCTGCAGAAGTCGAGTCAGTACTGATACATGACCTCAGCCACCACATACCTGGCACCATCATTGAGTCGTCTGGGACTGCTCTCTGATCCGCACATGTCGCACTTGGACCAAGTCTCTATATCATCTCCTTGTGCCTGCGTTTCAGGTCCCGCGTGGCATCCAACAATCTGAACGCCAACTTTGGTGCCGCCGTGTATAAACCAACGTACGTGCTCGCTATTTTCGGCTTCGCATCCCACTCTAGGGCAAAGCAAATTTTCCTCTGCCAGCTCGTCATAGAGACCCATAAGATAGTCTGTGATAGTCATGTCATGGGACAAGGTTTGCAATTTGGGGGGCTGGCAGATGACAGAGCCGCTCGGTTCCTTCCGGTCATCTGTGTTGGGAAGGTGATTCAACCCAACGCAATACAGCGTGGAGAGTCGCTGAAGCCTTATCCAACCATCAAAGGTCTCTAGCCCAGAAGCAAGAGAGTTGAGACCTGAACGTACATCTCCACCAAGTCGATAAGCCAAAGCTCGCCCTCGTATAGGGTCTGGACCGTCGCGAGCCATTGGATGGGGTCCGGGGAATAAGCTGCTCGTGCTCGCATCGGCGGAACTATTTTCTCCATCAATTTCAACTTGTGCTTTTGCACGACGAGTTTGATCCTCGTCAAAAAGTCGTAGTAGGATAGAAGGCATAGGGTATTTGAGACCCGGTGTTGTGGACGGCAGAATTTTACGTAGTGCCCCGAGTGTTTGTAGATGGTGGCTATTTGAATTCGTAATGTGGCCGTTTACAAGACATGGGGGCAGATTTGAAGGGGATGGAGTATCATCCTGTGCCTCAAGTGGTGTTTTGGGTGTAGTCGGAGAAGGCAGCAATGATGGGCTAGATGGGAGGTCCATTTGGTGGATTAGGGGACTGGAGTGTTGCCTAGAATGGTCACGAGATTTCGTAGAGTTGGTACGACCCAAGAGTCCTTTCCAAACACCTTTTGTGTCCCTGGTCAATTTAGACAAGAAACCTCTCTTTGACTGTTTCTCCGTCCACGGAGCGTGTGGAGAGACACCACGAGACAGGTCACCCTCACCAGGTGTATTGGACAGAGGAGTCGGTGGTTTGGGAAGCACAGGTGGCTCATCTTGCTCGCGAGGTATACGGAATGAGTCGAGCAGGTCGAGTTCGAGAGTCATGGTGGCAATGGTGTAGACCTGTTGTTTATGAATACCACTGCACACACAATACCAGGGACACTTACGAGGGCCTCGAGAACCTTCACCAATGCTTTCTTCTCCTCATCTCGTCTTATACCGCGAATGACGATCGTGCCACCGACCAAACCAATATTGCCCCGTGCGACGGCCTCCTTTGGCATATCGTTCTCTTCCCCGCTAATGATCGCGTTGTAAGGCATCCCAACAGATTCGTGCCCCTGCTGTGTGCTGGACTGGACCAACGATGCTCCATCAGAGTCGGATTCGTTGTCCGTCTCGGAAGCACTCGCTTGGGAATGGATTGCGAGTGAACTGGAGGTCGAAGAGAAGGATGCTGGCACAGCCTCCAAAGCTGAGAAGACGGACTGGCGTCTTGAAACGCTCGACGGCAGACTCGACCGTCGCCGTCTGACACTGTTATATGGGGATCCAAGCGTTTGGTAAGGGAGCGCAAACTTTCCTTCGACGAAATCAACTTCAATATCACCCCAATCGTCTTCGTCGTAGAATTGTGATTTATCGCCCAGAAGATCACTCCATTTACTTCCGGAGCCGGAGAACCAGCTTTTGCCCCTCGTAGACTCCATACTCGTGGTCGAGCGACCAGAGATGGAGCGGTCGCGTCGAAGACGAAGAGTGGTCTGACTTGTACTTGCTTCGCGCCGACGGCGTCCCGCCGATTCAAAAGGGATATGTAAGCAGAAGACAGGTTTCAACATGTCAAATTCTTCGACTGCTGGGTCCGACTTGGTGGTCGACGTAATCGGAAGACCGAGATCGGAAAAGGGTGATTGATGAGATCGCACAGACGATGGAACATCGATGGAATGGCGATATTCGTGACCCGATTGAGGGAATGCTCCCGGGATTCCATGCACTGTCCCCTTAGGTATCAAATCGGCTTGCTCATGTCAGAACGATGTGGATCTTGACTCTTGGACGACTCACCGTTGACAGTTTCCCAGTCTTCACGCTTGGGTGTCGTAAACTTTACGAATCCTTTCAAGCTTCGAACAACCCTGCACCAATCTTCCAAATCCTGCGCCTCCTGATCTTCTTCTGCTTCCCTTCTGACCGCATGTCGTTCGAGTCGGCTAAGAAGCGTGGTGTCGAGAGGAGACGACCCTTCCAGGGAAGCAATCGATGAAGTTCGAGTGCTCTGTTTACTTGGCGTCGAGGCAGAGGCAGGCATGAAAGGTTTGGGTATGGCTAGTCTGCCTCTGTCATTTTCGCTAGAGGACGCCTTTCTAGAAGTCTTGCCTTTTCCCTTCCCTTCCTTATCAGCTTGAGCCTCCTTCGCTCGCCTCTCCGCTAATAATTGCCTCCCCTCCTCGTCCATCTCACCCTTCCAAGCATGTATTCTCTTTGTAGATCCCTTCACCCATCCATTCCAATCTTGCTCCAGCACCCCGCGCTCGCGGCGGGAATCCTTGGCAGGAGCAGTTACCACTGCACCCTCCCAAATAGCGCTTTCCACCCGGGCCAAGCGTTCCTCGGACCACAATTTTTGGCCCCCCGGGCCACCTTCGAGCTCTTGCTGAGCTAGCCATTGATGAAGGAGGGCGCGCAGATGTTGGAGGTACGTTGGGGGAAGGCCGTACAGATTGCGGCGGGGAGACAGGGGAGGAGAGGTGGAGCGTGGAGGGAGTGGCAGGGAGGGAGTGTGTCGGTGGGGGGAAACAGGATGGCTGTGGGGTGCCGAGTGGGACATGGTCAGAGTGCCATGGATAGGGCTGCTGGGTGCAAAGATGGTTCGAGTACAGTGGAGATGGGACGAGACGCGCCCAAGTGCAAGTACATGTGCGCTCTTGTGGAGGCGGCGGGCATCTCCGCATATGAAGGCGAGCCTGAGCGGGGTATGCTATGGTGAGGGGGGCGAGTCGCCGCCAGAGCCCAGCACCCATCCCTGCCCTGCGCCATTGCTATAGAGTCGTAGCGAGTCATAGCCCATGCAGGGGGCATACTGGGCCAAGTCGAGCCCATATACGCGGTTACGTAATGCACATTTGTTTACGACGGTGTGGCCTGGTGTGGTGAGTGACGGTGGGTGTCCTCCTTCGCACATCTTCTCCCTCCTTGCTTTTCGCTTCTTCTTCTCTGCCATGTCGGCGCACCACAAGAAAAGGTACTACCCACCGCAACCATCACGCGGCGAGGACAGAGACGCCACAAGCCACACCACCTACTCCGCCCGCAAAGTCGCCATACAAGGCCCTCCTGCTCTCCGGACAGCAAAAAGCTGTTCTTATATTTCTCCCGCCGACAGGAGCAATTTGAAAAAGAAGGGGAAAGGAATCATGAGCTGGCGTGGGGCGTATAGCGCCTCGGCTGGGGCTGCAGCACAAGAGCCATCCGGTGGACCACCTCCATGGCTGCAGCGCAAGACCGACTCCTCGTCAGCCACACCTTTCGACTCTGTTGGATCCCCCAGATTCGCAGCCTCTCAGAAACCGTTGGGGGCCGAGGCCGGTGGGTCGCATTGGAAGAAGAAGGTGCCCACTGGTCCAGCTGCTATGGCGAGCCCACCTGTCCCGGCGGCTCAACCCAGTCGCGTGCAATGGGCGGCCAGAGAACCACCAACGCAGCCAAGATCTTTATTAGACTCCAATCCCCCTGTATCGCCGTCCACTTTGCCTCCCATAATGGCGAAAGCCCCTTCGCCAGATTCGGTCGATCAACCCTCTTCCAACATGGGCGAGACGCAACCTTCCCAGCCTGTGGCACCGCACGACCACATATCAACCAATCTCTCCTCTCATTCGTTTCATCAAAACCCCCAACCATCCAGCCACCAACTCTCCCTTAATGCATACATATCAATGCCGGCGCTCTCCGCGGCAAATTCGCCGTCTCCTCCATCTCCACCATCGCGACCACCCGCGCTTCAGCGATGGTTCGAAGCGAGGAGACGTGTTAGTACAAATGACGGCCAATCTGATGCTTTACAACAAAAGCCTTCAGAGATTTCAAACATCGACAAGCATCAGGAGGGCTCGTCCCAAGACGTGACTGGCGGGTTGACTACAGGGCGGTCAGAGCTGGGACTGGAAAACGCTTCGACGAGTCAGAATGTGGAAATGGACGATGAAGAGCGAGATGTGAAGCCTAGTGCCGAAGCGTTGGAAAAGGCTTTGGAGCAGGCTGTGCCGAGAGTGAAAGAGGAAGATCGTCTTGAAGGTTGCTTGGCGCTGACGTGAGTACCCGCACTTGGTCACTATCCACTTTGCTGATCGTTTGAATCAGACGCGAGCAGCTCCCAAAAGATGTCTGGTCACCCAACCCATCGATTAGGCGGGAGGCTCGAGGCAAAATACGCGAGCAGCAAGAAAAAGAGTTGATCAAGATGGGTCGGAAGCTCGTCAAAAGTCGATGGATGAGCGACGGAGTGGCATATGACTGGAAACTCGTCAAGCAAATCAGCCTCGCTGAGGATCAAGGCTGCCAGATTGTCAAAGGCGATATCGCCGTAACTATCCCCGGCTTGTCTGCGATGGACCCATCTGGTGCCATGGATGTGGACGCTGTCAGCCTCGAGACGGCCTCTGGTCAACAGGAGATTGAGACCCAAGTCGACGGATCAGGTAGACATTCGTCAAGGCGTAACGTCATGGCGCTGGCTGTGTCGGCAGCCGCCACCCAACCAGCGCCTGTCTCCGGGCTGCCGATGTCGCGTGAGAGCTCGCGGGATAAACGAGAGTCTGAGAATGACGTGGCAACAACGGTATCGCCTACACAGACTCCCATCGCTGTTATCATACCTTCTGAAACGACCACGAGTACTTTCAATCGCGTGCCGCCGTCTTCCATCCCGGCCAAACCCGTCACAGGAGCGCCTGCGAGCATAGAATCCACGTCGGTCCATCTTCCAAAGCCTCCTTCTTCTTCTAATCCGAGTCGGGCTATAAATCCGACTACGAACCCTTCGGTCAAGCCAAATACAAAAGCCGAAGCCAAATGGGGTCCTGTCATCATCGGTCGACCGCCCAAAAGCGGTCCTATCGACAGGATCTACAAGTACGAGCTTGAAATCCCCCCTTATATTCAAATCACTGCGGCTGGCAAGTTTACAGCGCAATTCCAGACTTGGAAGCTCAAACATCGAGATGACATGTCGGACCAATCCTCTCGTGGCTGTCCATCACGAGAGGTCTTCTTGAACCATGATGGACCAAACAAGTGCAAGAGTTTGCAAGTCCGAGTGGTACCCATTGACATGCAGGACCCCTCTTCTTGGCCTTTGTCCATGTTCCCCGACATCGTCGAGTACGTGATCCCCGATCACGTCAAACCTCGACACGGCGAGGTCAACCCTCGCTCTGCTTTGTTCCGGACATGGGAAAAGACTTGCATGGACATGGCTTCGAACCCAGATCAGTGGGGTCGCCCCACGAGATGGGTCAAGTCCATGTTCTGCCCGAGTATGAGCAAGGGTAGTTTGAGGGTGCGATGGCGAGCAAAGACGGCGACAGCGATTGCGAGCTATGAAGGTGCACCAATCGTCTTGCCCGGGAAGGGAGATCACAAAGACAAGAGTTTGAAGGACCGGGAGTTAGAAATGGTAAAGGAAAGGGAGCAGGGAAAGGTCAAAGACAAGGGGAAAGCCATCCACGGTGATTCTCAGCCCGAAAAAAGGCTGAGGTCAGAGTTTATGGACGATCAAGACTCTTCGAGGAAGAAGTCAAGGCGAGTGTCAGAGTCAAATGGCGAGCGCGAATGGGATAAAGGCAAGAGGGAGGGTGTCTATCTTGATGAGGGCCCCAGGAGTAGGCGCCGTGAGAAGGAGAAGGAGAGGGGCACCAAGCCCTCTGGTGGTGGGAGAGGGAAGGAGAAGGAGACTTCGCGTGAAAGAGATAGTGGATGGAGTGGAATGGATGCTGGGAAAGCGAAGGAGACTGGAAAGGAGAAAGAGAAAGAGCGAGTTGGACGCGAATCGCCGTCAAGTGAGCCTGCTTTTGCTTCTCAAACCTTTCCGAAGCTGACAACATCACTCCCGCCAGAGGCACCGCGTCCCACGGCTGCTTCCTTCTTCGATGATGGACCCTTTCCTCAGGCAGGTATTCCTGCCACCCCGGTTAGCGGGACGTTCTCCTCGCCATCTGCCTACGCCCCTGCTCTGCCACCCGCTATGGCGATGGTCAGACAGCCAGTGGCCACTACTTCTCTCATTGCAGAGCATTCAAGCTCCAGTATTGCTGGTGTGTCGATGAGTATCCCCGCTACTGTCGCCGCTGGCCATGAAGCACCACAAACACCGACCAACCCTCATCCTTCCGTTTCCATGGCCCGACCCGCGCCGGTGTCTTCTACCCATTCAACCCCCACAATCAGCTCACCTCTCTTAGATGAACTTGCTTTGGGAGTTCGTCAAAAGATGAACGAGATACAGACTTGGACGCAGATGTTGAACGATTTTCCGGATATGGCGGACCCCATGAGGGTGCAGATCGATAGGACACAGACCGAGATCTTTCGGCTCTATGCCAAGATGGGACAGGAGAAAAAGAGGTTGATGACTGGGGAGTAAACAGTGGAAGGGAGAAGAGATGGGGCGACCGGTTAATCTTTAGAAGCGGGGATGGACGAGGGTCTGTATTATTCTTACGACATTATCGGTGGGCAAGAGAGACGATTCACGACAACATATAGTATTTCCTGCACAGTTTATAGTATCATGATTTCCCATCGTAGACATTACGACCACAAACATTCTGTACAAGTACCATCGCAGTCACATGCATTTTTGTGTCAATATTGCAAGCTATACAGATGTTTGCTGAAATGCAAGTGCACACAGTATTTTGCATAGACACCCTTTGATGATACACCTAGTAATATGATATGATAGAGATTGATCGTTCCCGCCACATCTGCTGTCACTCGGCATATCTATTTGAGCCCCTTCTCAAACTAGCCCTCAATCGGTCCGTCATCCTCCTACCCTTCCCTTCTTCCTCTCGTATATTGCTGTCGTAGCTGACTCGATCCTCCTTCTGTCTTTCCCGCTCCATGGCAGCAAGCACCAGATTCTGCTCCAACACGCTGACCGCGTCACTTTCGACCCCAACACTATTCCTCCTGCTAAGTTCACCGTCCTCGTACGCATACTCGCCCTCTTCGTACTGCTCACGGCTCGAACGAGACTGAGACTGGAACGAGAACCGGCTCATGGGCGAATTCGGCTCGTCAATATGCAAGTCACTCGACTTTATTGACATGGCGTGCTGCTTTCGAGGGCTCATGTCACCCGCAGTGATCTGGCTGATAGCCGTGGTGGGTTTACCTCGAGAGGAAGAGGATTGGGGCAAAGGGAACGATCCACCGCGAAGGGTGTGAGTAGATGTTGATGATGCCTTTTTGCGCAAAATATTGTATTTGGAAGGACTTCTAGAAGGGCTTTTGGAAGGACTCTTGCTCCCGCGAGACGAGCTTTGCTGCACGCTAGACATTTGTGAGGAAGTGTCGATTCTGGGCGAAGGCTTTTCGGGAGAATTGGACTCGGACCGAGAAAGCGTGGCGTGCGATCGATCAGGAGATATGAAGGGCTGGGTATCCATCTGAGGCGAGTACTCCTGGGGAGGTGACTGTTCAATAGTGCTTAACTCGCCAAACCCAGTACCTCTGGGTGACAAGACACTCTTTTTTGGAGTCAACCCCATATTTCGCACTTTGGATACCAAGGAAGACACGGCAGAGCCAGATCGGACATGAGGAGATCGAGGGCTTCTGGTCGACAGAGGTGAAGAGTAGGAATTGGATGTGTCCAGAGACGTGGCAGACCGGAGGGACGTGGTAGAGCGCAGCACATCAAAGCTCCGGCGGGAACTATCGACACTGTAGCGATGATGAAGTGGTGATCCGTGTGACCCTATCTCACTATTCATCGAGGCAGCAGACGGGGTCCACCTCCGCGCCCTGTCATCTGAAGATGGCGTCTTGTAATCATACGCCATCGATGCAGCAACGGACTCGGAACGGCGCAAACCTCCCCTCACCGAACCAGCTGGTGTAGCCGGCTGCGGCACTTGGCCATAGCCGCCAGAAGACGATCTGACCAGTCGTGGTATGTCGAGCATGACTCTCGTCATATCTCTCACGTTTTGGTCACTAGCCTTACCCGCATCTCTCAACAGCATCGTCAACGCCGTGTAGCCCTTTCTGACCTTGCCAGGATTGTCTTCAACCGCAGCGTCCAGCGTGATCTGGTGGGCAAGGTTGTAAGCTGCCTGCAGCGTGCTGTTAACACCTTCCGAAGAGCGAGCAGCAGTATTGAGGGCTGTAAGGGCGTCATGTTGATAGGTGGGAGAAGAGGGGTCTTGGTAGCCAAGCTTGAATTCAAGAGAGCGGTAAGCCTCGAACAAAAGATGGGCATGCTCGCTGGAAGCAAACAATCTCTGTTCCATGCTCGCGCTGGTTGCGCTTGAACGCCCTCCCAAGCTTGTATAGCTCCTCTTGTGTCGTGGCTCTGTCGCCGGCATCCCGCCCACTCTCGACCCTCCACCTCGCCCGTATGAAGGACTGAGAGATTGTCGGCCGTTCTGAACCTCTATACTCCTTCGATCAACTGGCGGTGCCGTCTTGGGAGGATTCTGGTAAATGTCTCTCATAGAGGACATTGATGTGCTGGAACGAGGCATATGGTCCCAGCGCTTTCTCGAGTCCGCGCGTTGGGCTTCTAGTTTTCGGATGACGTCGAGAGGATCCTTTGCAACAGGATTGGAGGGATCCCCACGTTCGGAACGTGCTCCAACAGCTGAGATGGAGTCGCCCGGGGCGAGTGGCACCATAGACGCCAAGCGCGAACGGTCGATGAGGTCGCGCTCGCTGACGAGCATGCTCGACCCGCGTCTGAGGCCAGTACTCAAGTCGTCTCCCCTTTCAGGCTGTCCTCTGGGGAGGTTATTATAGCGTGAACGATCCGCAGGATTGTCCAGCACTGTGCCGGGTCTGAACCTATCGACATTGCTCGGCGGGCCTCTGCCATCAAGACCAAGTCCCGAACTGTCTTGCATTCGGGGCAAGCCAGAAATTGATTGTCTCCAGGCCCTCCGAACATGTGAAGAGGTATCGTCTCGCCCGGACGTAGTCGACTTCTGATCGAAACTTTCTGTGCGGGCTGATATAGGGTCAAAATCACGGCTTAGACGTGAGGTCGTGGAGAAACGATTTGGCAGGGGCGAGTGATAGGTGCTGGGGGATTCAACTGTTTGGCGAAGACGTGAACGAGCAGACCAAGGCTCATCCTGTCGCTGAGGGCTAGGAGTGAACTGGGATAGTGTCAGTCGGAATCCGCCCCTGAGACTTGGAACACATACGAAACTCCCGACTTTGAAATCGTTTGGCAGTCCCGATCTCTTCCTACTCCTTCCTCCGCTACCACCGCTTCTTTCACCGCTCTGTAATCGCTCGTCTTCTTCGAAATTATCCCTGTAAGATCCCGACCCATTTGCGAGTCTCCGCGGACTTTCTCCGTGGACATAAGTTCTGGACGCGTCGCCTGATCTCTCTACTGGCATCCCCAGCTTCGAACCAGCTACCGAAGACGCGGTCTGGGTGGATGTCTTGGAATAAGAGTCGTGCCTTCGAAGCTCACCTTTGACGGGTGTCTGGACTTTCGAAGGACTGCCCATTGCAGAAGCACCATCGACAGAACGTCTTTTCCTGTGCGAGCTGACTTGAATGATCTTGTCCTCGACCTCCTTGATCTTTTCATCCAATATGGCTCCTTGAGAAGATCGACGACGCTGTTCTTGAGGATCTGGCTCTTCCTCCAGCGTTTCTTGGTTCGGTGTTCCTTGGCTGCTCAGGCGGCGAGCAGACCCTCGAGCAGAACCACTGACAGGAGGCAATTTCGCCGTCCGTTCAGGTGAAGCAATCTTTGCTCTGGCCTTGGCTTTTGGTGAAAGGTCGAGAGAAGGAGGTGCTCGACGTCGAGGGGATATTGTCTGCCGACTTTTAATGCTTGTCGATGAAGACTGACTCCTGGACAGTTCCGAGCTAGGGCTATAGCGGGACCCGCCAAAGATCTCGGCCCTCTTCCGAGCGCTCAGAGACGTGGACTCTGGGCTTTTATTGTGATTGAACGCGATAGAGGTGGAGGAGCTGGAACGAGACATGGACCCACCAGGCCGGTGAGAGTGAATGGGGCGAGCAAGCTCTGGTGTACTGCCGGGGGGGTGGGGATACGAGTCGGCACGGCGCGAAATATGCGAGGATGACGAAGATGTGGTTGAAGGTGCACGATTGGGAGTCTACAGGACCGTATCGGACGGGCGCGTGGTAGTCAAGCAAAGCGGGGAAGGCATATCAGCACAATTCAGATTGCGAGGAGCATATCTCACCTCTATAGACTCGCCCAGTCTCCTGCTCTCTTGTCCCAAAGCACTACACTGTATTTCCCGCGGTGCTGCGATGTCGCTTTCCGTCCCAGGAGGACTGGGCAACCCCGATGCCTTGTCGACGAAACTTCTCCGCGTATCCCTTTCGCGCTCATCTCTCCCCTCCGAAGCCCTGGCTTTCTCTCGCGCATCCATCTTCCTTTCTATGGTCAACGGCCCTGACCTGGTGCTTGAGGAAGCACTCGTCTCGCGCCGCAGAGTGCTATTAGAACCCGAGCTTTGCCAGTCGCGCGCAAAGTCGATCTTCGGGCTCCCAATGCCTACGTGGATGCTGGCGAACCCCGTAGGGAGCATTGACGCGTGCGTTGGGGGTGGAGATGGGGATGGAGATTCGGGGGGGCTGGAAGGCGGTTGGGTAGGGATAGGGGATGTTGATGGTAATAAGAACGCGTCACGGTGCGCGGGCTTTTCCTCTGATTTCCTCGCGGACGGCGAGACCGGCTCGTTGTGGAACGTTCTGTGAGAGCGAGGGAACGACTCGGCGAAGGCAGGGGAGCCGAGGGAGGAGGGGGAGGGGCTCGGATGCACCGAGTCGATGGAAAGAGAAGAACTGCTGGTTTCTGTTTTTGAGGGGGATGACATTGAGATGGTGCCTTTGTCCATGTTCATGCGGCGTCGCTTGCTTAGACGAGACGCTGAGCAGGGAGCGGTGGTAGATGGGTGCGGCAACGAGACTGGTGGCGGGCAGCTGTAGATATGTATGTAGGTCTGGAGAGCATCAGTAGAGTCCTGCTTGCCGTCTTGTGCGTCCTGCTCACCTCGCTCTGCGTACGCGTGCTATGGCTACTTGGTGGCGGGGCTTCGCAGCAGCTGGTCGGTCTAGGGGAGGCCCATGGTGGCCATTGATGGAGGGGAAGGGGTGAGGAGATGTAAATGTGGATGATTGGACTGCCGTCAACCTGTCTTGGAACGCGTCCATAGATCGCCCACTCGCGTTTTCAATTCTTACACTCTACAGTCCACAGTACTCGGGAGTAAGAGCTGGAGTTCCAAATCAACCCTCAACTACTGTGATTAGCCCGGTAAGAAACATAGCTCAAGGTTAAGTTATGCATGACAATTAGACACCGCCAACACAGCGTGGAAGGGCCATCCTAACTACGTATGTATCTCCTAAATCTCTCCAATTTCTTGCTACGATATGGTTTTTGTTTGTGTACCGGTATTATAAGACACCCGAGCGTTCTTCACAAGTGACTGATGTCAAACGCTGGCCCCGGGTCGGCCTGAAGAGGCTGTATATCCCCTTTCAACAATCAGATCAAGCCTTCTCTTCCTCCACCTGCGACTCGTTCCTTCCAAGCTCGGCGGTCCTCTCGACGTCTTCGTGAGTAGAGTTGGTAGTGGCGGTCTGGTTGAGGGGAAGGAAGTTCTTGAGCGGTCGAGCGGCCCAGAGGATGAGGATGAGGATGATGAGAAGGTATTCGAAGATCCCGAAGAAGACTTCGTGGGTCGCAGCATAGCCGTACGCGCCTACAAAACGATGTCAGATCATCTTTCCTGCGCTGATAGGTGAATTCGAGTGAATTCGAGGCGACTCACCTTGGGCACCCTCGGCAATGCGCATGATGAGCCTGACAAAGAACAAGCCGAAGGTGATAAACACCTGCGTCAAGGCCGGGTGAATGAGAGGGTAGTTGTCAATGTCCTTGTTGTTGGCCAAGGCAGTGTTTATGATTCGGGTCGATCGGCGGTAGATGACAAAGGCAAAGATGGAGACAATGATAATGGTGATGGCTTGGAGAACATTGCCAGCGAGGAAAATGAGGGTGGACATCTGATAGCAGGTCAGCCTTGGGTGTAGGACGTTTCGGGGATGGACTTGCGCCAAGGGTGAACATGGCTTCGGCGCCAGTGATTTCGGCACCTTCAGCTGCGGCATAATAGTACTGGCCAGCGACCTGCATAAGAGCCCACACAACATCAAGAATGACAAACACTGAGTTGATCATCAGCTCGGGCCACCCTCTCAAAACGAGGTATACTCACAGACAAGCATAGACCTGGGCCTTATGGGCGACATGTGGCGGCCTTCCGGGGTGTATTTGGTGAGTCGTTGAATGCTTTTGTACATGGCGGCTGTGAGAAGGATGAGGGCGATTTGAATAAGAAAGATACCGATCAAAAAGGACATGCCCTGCGTTGTTGTGAGTATAACGCTATATTCGAGGTTTAATATGGCTTACACCGAAGGGCTTGCGGTGAGTATAGATCCTTGCACCGTAACCCAAGGCCTCAATGATGGCAGTGAAGAACAACAGACCATGGCTATGATAAACGAGTGTCAGTCAACTTGGCGCAGACCCCAAAGTGGCACCCGACTTACACACTCCTGGTGCCTCTGATCTTGACAAAGAACCAAAGATGGGGACCAGCCACAGCGATGAAGGTAATAACACCGATAACACCCAAAGCGAGAGAGGGAACATAGCCATAGCTCCAAAAGGCGGCGTTTCCGCTCTCGGGAGAGGGGACGGTAGGTCCGGTGTATCCCATTTTGAATGACTAGTGGTGATGTAAGTAAAGGAAAAGGGAAGGCAGAGAGGCTGGATGATATGACAAAGAGGTATACCCACATGTATATATGTCAAAGATTGAGCCGCAGATCGATGTCTTTGTTCAAAAAGCCAGGTGTTGCGAGATCTTCTTGTTGTCAAGCTACAGTCGTGTGTGTGCAGCAGTCGCCCAGGCCGAGAGATGGAAGACAAGGAGTGAAGATCTTTGAGAAAAGGGAGATACCGGGATTGAGGGGGAAAGGAAGCCTCTTATATGTTTCGTGGAACAGCTCTGAAATTATTCTCGGACGAGGCAAGAGGGGCGCCCCACCCCAAGCATATCAGCTGCTCCCTTACGCGTTACATCCGATCGTCCCTTGTCTGTGTTGGCCTGGAGCTCGGAGCGCATGAGGGGGACAGCTATGGCCCAGCTCACGGCGTCTGAGTGCGGGGCAGATAGCGAACGATGATGGAATAAGCGATCACAGATAGGAACCTTGTGCGCAACGATCAAGGGTGTTGAGGGTCTCGAGGTTCGTGCTGATGAGAAACATCTTTTGCCGAAGTTTGCCGAAGTCAGGACAAGGAACAAAGGCATCCTGGGGCCTGTTGCAAGCTGAGCGGATAAACGATGTAGTGCCTTTTGTTGCAATCGTGACACGGAAGGAGTGCTTCGGCGGTGCATGGGGTGGTATGCTCGAGACTTCCAGATGTCACCCAGGGGCTAGATGCAGACAGTATGGTGGGGGGAGGGCGATAAATTATGGGTAGATGAGTGTGATCACGGCTACGAGAGCTTAGCACGGGAAGAGAATGCGGAATACGGGCCATACCTTCCTTTGTCAACTGCCCTTCCGGGCCTTCCGCCCGTCACTCCGTCACTCAACGGACACGTCCAAGCTCGGAGCGGATAGAAGCTGGGATGCAGTGCAAGACCCCGTTTACCATATGCATGCAGGCGCAGTGCAGCAAATGAGTATCACCACGTTTGAGATGGAATTCCGGAGGTAACCGCAGTGATCCTTCAGCACGTCCATCTGGTACCAGGTTCCATCAGCTCCCAGTGTCGTGCCCCGACACAGGTGCTCCGATACAGCAGGTACAGCAGCCCTCTTCCGCCCTCGGATCGTGACTAGGTGCATGTGGAATACAATTTCACCTGGAATGGAGCAATAAGCGCAGGCTGGCAGACATCCTCCCCACTCCGCGCAACGCCCTTGACAACGAGAGACACTACCCTCGCAGCGACCATCACTCACCGTGAAAAACGATCGTTGATTGCAGTAGATCACCTTCTGGACAGGACTCACAGGAGGGTACTCCACTGGCTTCCTCCACATCCTTAGACGACTGCAGTACATATCGGGCACTTGTGCTAGACCGGGATCTCGGGGCGTTGGGCGCTTGACGTTTGGCTTCTTTCCATATGTACCAGTGCACCATCTTTGATGATTGCATCTGATCATTCAGTTGAGAAGAATGGGTCATCCGCTTGATCAATGACAGTATTAATTGAAGAGGGCGCAAGTAGTGGCATGACAGATAGGCGTAAAGCGATGTGAAGTATAGGCTAGGCGTGTGATGAGCCTCCACTACGACTATGCAGAAAGACATTCTCGATCCAACTCACGAGTGGAGCCAATTCCTCGCATCTCTCTAACCCGCCGCTCGTATCATTAGCCGTTCGTATCATTTCTCCCCGGGGCTGTCTCTATCTCCCTGTGATCCCCGATATATATACCCTGCAGCTCGTGATGGAAGCCGAGGCCGAGAGCTGGCTGCCGCTGACCAAGCCTGGTGGGGGTACGGCAACAGCCCGTCGGCCATTCTGGGGGTACTTTGGGCGAGCTGGTTCTCTCCGAGCTGCCAGTATATATAGTACAGGTTAAGCACAGGTAGAGTCGGGCAGGCAACCCACGCGGTGAACATGTTGTCGACGTTCCACGCAGTCATCCACCATGACCACCATGTGGTCCGTTGTGCCTTTGTGACACTAGTCTGCTGTGAACTTTTCACGTTGAAAAGGGGCAAGTGCTCAAATTCAAAGTGGCAGGAGCTGCATCATACAATGGCGCTATATACGTTACCACTGGCTCGTCCGCAACCTTCATCGACATACCATCTTTTGCCTTTACAACTGACCAAGCATCCCCCTGGCCCTCTCTTGGACGTCCACAGCTCCAACAAACCAAGTCCGTCTTGACACGAGTCACGGCTCAAGCCTGGCGGCGAGCGGGTGATACGTACAAGTGACAGAGATGGCCTCGCAGAGCGATGGGTATCCTTCGATTAGGTAGGTTTATACGAGGAAAGCGAGCCGGCAGTCGAAAGTGCGAGGACTGGGATATTACTGTCTTGCCCGGATATCGAATGTGATGAAATGTCGAAATAGTAATGACTTCTACGCCACAATACCGCTCTCCAACCCAAACAAGTCTAATCCAAGATCTCCCCTCAGATTTCCATCCCATATCTCCTCCTTGACCTCTTGTCCTCCTTCAATGCCATCCACCAACACCCTCATCGCCTCATCCCAGTGCGCCCACGCGCCCTCGCCCCCAGAGAACTCTTCCAGCTGCTCACTACCATACTCGGACGTGGGTACGGTGATATCCAGCCCCGCTGCTTTGCCAGCGCCACAATCACCCTCGCCACCTGCCTCAATCGCCTCTCGTCCCTCGCCAACGCCACCGCCAAAGAACGCATTGAAGTAGCCCCCCTCGCCCGCTGCAGGGCCGCACCGAGCTTCCCTCGTGAGAGAGCGGCTGGTGAGGTCACCACTACTGCCGAGTGGCAAGCGCTGGGGTTCAATGATTCTTGACGAGACGCGAGGTTGGTATGAGAAGTGGGGAAAGATGAGACGGTGGGAGGGAGGCCGGGAGAGAGTGTAGAGGACAGGCCGGAAGTCGTCGCGGCGGACGGAGAGGTAAAGACGGAGAGCCAGTCGATGGGCGCCTGGGACGACAGGTTTGCCGGGGGCTGACTTTGTCCACTAAGGTTGGCGACAGCGACGACCTGCTTGACCAAATTCTCTAGCAGCGTGACTCTTTGCTTCAATGCCGCATTCTCGGCCTGAAGCGAATCCACTTGCTCGCTGGTAGACGCCATTGTAGGGCTGAGAGACAACGGCGATGGCTCAAACGAATCCTTGACATCTGCGGGGGGAGGAGCAACAGACGTTAGGTTGACGCCCCCGCCAACTAGCTGAGACGGCAAACCCAAGTCGTGCGCGAAAGAAAACATATCGAGATCGGATGACGTGGCAGGTGACGCTGATGGAAGGGTCGAATGGGAGACCAGTGGTGTTGGAGAGGCCTTGGGGTTGCTCTTGAGAGCCTGGTTCTCGGCTTCCAGCTCGACGACACGCTTCTCTAGGTGTTGCAGATGCAGTTTACGAGCATTCCTCGACCTTTGAGCCGATTGTCGATTGCGTATCACCTTAGAAATCATCAGTGGCAAATTCGAGCGTGATGCACAACACAACTCACCCTCGCCTCTTTGCGGGCAATCTTGGCACGCTCATCGTCACCCCCTTCGTTATCACTCGTCCCGCTATCATTGCCCATGTCGGTAAAGCTGACCGAAGCATGCCTAGGTCGTTTGAGAGTCTGTGATGAGGTGGCGGGGGAGGGGCGTTTGATGGAGGGGGATGGGGTGGCGAGGAGGGCGGTGGACATTGTGGAGATGAACGACAGGAATACGGGGATGGTGATACAACAGAAAGGAAGAAGATGGGAAGAGATAGTGGGTGGCGAAAAGGCAAGGAAAGAAAACATCGACATCGCGCTGGAAGAAGGCTGTCGACGTGGAACCAAAGGAACCAAAGCGGACATCGGGACCTGGTTCCTGGAAACTTTCTTGTTGTCCGGTCGTTGCGGACATGTCTGGCCCCTTCAGCGAAACCCAAGCGAAACCCCTGTACAGATTATATGTGGCTGATATGGTATTAGCCATGGGACAGGTTTACACGCACTCGCCAACGGCGATCTAGGAAACAGAGCGGTGGCGACCACTCCTCCACGACTTCATCACATTGCCCGCCGGTGAAATCCGAGAAAGGGGTTCTGGCATCTCCCATACTCGTGTCAGACATACAAAAGACATTATTGTAGACATTCTCCCTTCATTGGTTCTACCAGTGAGCGGCAGCGCCCGACAGTCAAAGCCCGACAACCAACGGCTGGTTCTCACGAAAGCTACAGCGGACCACAGAGGGCACGAGAACAAAGCACTATCATGTAACATCAGCAGCCCACTCCAGCTATAAACACGGAGTTCCTTGTCGCCAATTTGTATTCTACAGCAGTACAATTACGTCGAGACCAGGAACGCTCCCCCTCCATACATTCAAGATGCCCGAGACCACTTCCACCGCTCCTTCTTCCCTCGACACCAAGGAAAGCCACCAAATTACATCATTCCCTCCTGATAGTCGTATCGTGGGCGCCTTTACTGGTCAGCCAAAGCACATGTGTTATTGTGCTATGCACCTCAGTCCTTCAACAGGGGGAGAGTCTTCATGGAAGGGCAGTTTGCCTTTGACCAACTTCAAGGGACAGACTGCGCGTGTACGATTCAGCGATAGAAAGCCCACGTTGTTTGCAGAGACATGCTCAGGATCTGCAATCAAACTTAGCTTCCGCCGAAGATGATGAACAGCTTATTGGAAGCGTCACTGAAAGCAATCTTGAAGGCATGGGTCTTTGGCCTGCCTATCGTGACGGCTTCAAAACTGCCACAGGCGTTGAGACTGGCGTGCTCGTTGTTGGAGTTTGTCAACGTGTATCAAGGCTACCCGATCATGAAGATAGACAGCACACATGTTATTGATAGAGATGCATACAATGCTACTCACTATGTCTTCTGGAAGACGAATGTCTGGAAAGAGGAACTGGTGGAGCAAGTGGAATCAGGAAAGTTGGAATTGTGGTGGTGAGAATGACCGTCTTTGGTTGATTGAGAAGACCATATGCGTCTCCGCTCACTAGGGGTGACTGTCTATGCATGGTTTGAGCGTTGCCCAGGTGGCCTTGACTTACAATGGATACGTGCATCTGCATTATATTATTGCTGTGCACGGCTATAGGCGGCGGAGGCCGGGTAGTGGGCGGCGATGAGCGCCCGTTCACACATCTCGAGGTGTGTTTGGATCAGATTGTGCCAGTGCGATGCATAGTGCTGTTGCTGTTGCGACCTGCACCCCCAGCCACGAGATCCCACGGCAGCAGCCCACTATGCCAGACACAGACGCGGCTCTGCCGAGGCGACGTGAGTGCCGCATCTTCCGCCGCTTATCTCGACTTTAAGCTTACTCGACCCCCTCGTAGGCCAGAACGTTGCATGTGCAACTTGCAAGCTACGACGCGTAAAGTGCGACCTGTCCGCTCTCCTCCAATCCCACACCTCCTCCCCTTCGGACCCAGGCCCGTCTTTTGGCACGAGCGCATCTGCTCCAGAACCGTCCTTGGCCGACCTCATACGCCGAAACCCAGAAATCCACTGTACAAATTGTACAGATAGAGACATCATCTGCAACAAAGACGGGATACTCAATCCCTCGAGGACAAAGCAAAAGGGAAAGAGAATCACAGAGGCGAAACGTCGATATGGAGTGAACGAGCAGGGTGGTACAGCGATTGCAGCCCCGACTTGCTCTGCCTCGTCTGGCACGTCGCGCACCAGCCACTCGCCTGTCGCTCCCGAGCCAGATTTCAGCCCCTTTGATGGCTCGCGGCCAGATCCATACCTCGCCCAGGCGACTCGAGAGGACCTTGAACTGCCTTCCCTAGACTATGATTTCTCCCCTTCGACACTACCTTCGAGCTTCATGCCCAAGCCCCTGTGTCCGCCTCCACGCCCTCCTCCAACTCAAGTAGAGTTTAGTGGGCAGTATTTCAATGCTATCACTGTACCTCGAAACTCGGAGGCGGCGTCGATATGGTGGCAGTTTGCCAATCAGCCACAAGAGACCATGGCGCATATCACCAGAACAGGCAAGACGCCCCAGGCATCACCTGCTGTCGAATCTGCCACCAGCTTGTGGGATTCAACTACATTGGGAGGACAGGTTATGGATCACGTGGGATCATTCGCAAGTGCTCCCTCGCTGACCCCCCTGGAAGCCATCGCCCTCGACCGGTCAGCCTTCGAACGGTCTCGCGAGGCTTCTTCTGTCAACCTCGATCCCTTTGTCACCACCAGCCTTCAGCGAAAAAGATCCCGCGAGCCCTCATCGAGCCCGACCACTAGCAGGAAAACGTTGGCCCAAGCGCACGACCCATGGCAGCTATGGATGGGAGACGATGAATCACGAGCTATGTTACTTTGGGGTAGGGCAGAGGATATGCAGGAGAGATTGGCGAACAGGGCCCTGGGTACAGAGCTCAGTAGACACCTGGTGACCACGTTCTTTCAAGCGGTCCACTTTTCCTTCCCGGCTAGTCGTTTGCGTATAGTCAGCGGGCGATGCTAATCAAGACGACGCAGGCCATATCGCCCGAGTCATTCTATCTCGAATGGATGCGCGCTGGACAGCGATCGGATAGAATGACCCCCGCTCAGGAAGTACTCTGCTCGGGTATGGAAGCGTGGGGCGCGAGGTACTCTGACAACCCAATGATACTGGGATTGCAACCCCACATGGCCGGACTAGCCCCGAGAGGCGAGTCTTCATCTGTTATAGCCTGAAACCTAGCTAATTTCTCATAGTCATCATGTCAGACGGGACGGTGAGATCATCGCTCGTTTTCAAATCTAGTCCTGACATGTTCTATAGCTCAAGCCAACAGGTATCGAAAGAAGAAGTCAATGGGGCCGCGCTCGCATGCCCGCTTGTAGAGCTCTTATCGAGCGTACTCGGAGATTGGTGGATAGCACGGGCCTCATGCGAAAACCAAGCGTTACAGGCGTGCAAGCCCTCACTCTTTTTGTACAACTGCTATTCACCTCGGACGAATCAATCGGCGAGGCTAGGCTGTTGGAAGGTGTGTCCAGATACATTTATGAAAAGGCGCTCATCGTTCAACTCAGCAAATACTATACAATCCACCATTCTCGAGCAAATGAGGCTTCTGGGTCTCATGTGGGGCTCGGAGCAGCCGATTGCACATGACCGCGCAGAGCTTCCAATGACCTTGACCCAAATGAGGATGAAGCAAAGGTAACGAGTCTTGACAAAGCGTGATCATATGTACTGACAGTGAATCAGACGTCTATTCTGGACCCATGCTATCGTCGACGCATTCTGGTCTGCATCCTCTCGCTCTGCGCCGAAAATGTGAGACGTGAGCTGAGCAATTGAAGTTTTTGGTGGCTAACAGTGCAGTCAGTCTCGATGAAGACCTAGAATCGGCCGGAAAGTGGGTACGGACCCTACGAAGCGCTTTGCCGCCCTCTTCATTTGAAGCCCTTGCATTCTTCCTAGAGTATGTGGAATGGCAGGCGGGCGAGCATCGCTGACAGGACGGATCAGATGCAACTTCCGCATCGCCAAAGTCGTCCGTGGAGTGGCATTGAACATGGCCATTCCGAGCAAAAAGAAGGGTGCAATAGATGTAGAGCAATTCTGCAGGGACGCAAGAAATGCCTGGAAAGAAGCGGTCAGTGTCAGTCATCACCCAGCGCTTTATTTTGCTGATCATCTTTGGCAGGACTCTATCACTGATGAACTCAACCGACACACGTCTCACACGCTCAATAGCTGCTCCAAAGATGAGATTCTTGGTTTCTCGCCCTTGAACGTAGGTATAGGCATCTATACCGGGCACTCCACTAATCCGGACGCAGTTCTTTCTCAATCTCCGTCTCTCAGTCATTTCCCTTCTATTTATCGCGCATGACCTTATCCGCGAACAGCTCGAGTTCCGCAAAACCCTATCTTCCGCGTATATCGTTGCGAGCGAGGACACAGAGTCTGTTATGGGAGGCGATGTGCCGGAGATTAGGAGGATATGGAAGGCTGCGCAGAGCCATCTGGAGATGATGCAAGCGCTAGACCGGGAGAGTGTGGATATGTTGCTGAGCGCCTGTAGAGGCCAGGTGCACATGTTCAAGGTGAGTATCGGTGGAATCCGGGGATACACAGACTGACTTTGGCAAAGACGGCTATGCACACTGGTATCATGCAAAGTAAGGTTTGATTATTTCATGCTGAAATTGGAATTTGACGCAAGCTTAGCGGCCACTCTCATATTACGAGTGCTTATATTCACTACCAAGTTCCTCTGTGGGGTGCCTACAAACGAGCAAGGTTATCCGACAAGCACTGTAAGTAATTGCATTGACGTACTGTACACGGGCCGCCATCTGACCAAGGCTCAGCGAGGCGGACGTGACTGGACATGGGCGCGGAAGCAGGAAGAAGTGGGACATTGCGTGGAAGCTCTATACCAGATCGTGAGTATCGGCCAGTGTGATCTTTTTTGCTGCGCTGACGATCATCCAGGGATGGGGTATGTCTGATGGGCAAATACCTATGTGTGGCAACTGACCTTGTATAGCTTGGGGTGATGTAGGACCTGTCCTCGATGACATTGAACGGACCATGGAACGACACTCGCGGACGCACGAGGAGCTGTCAATGTTTCAAGGCATCCTACAAACCGCACCAAAAGAGACACCAGAGGCTGAAGGGGCGAGAGAGAGGAGACAGGAACGCAAGGAGAGTGATGAGAAGGCGATTGAGGCTGTGATGCGCTTCTGGCCGGCCATGTGAGTCTTGGTGGTCAATTCGGCTGGACGCACAAGTTGATATCTACAGATCTGTGCCCCAATTGATCGAGGAGGCTCTCAGACCGAGCCATCATCGGTCCCCGAGCTCACAGTCTTCCAGCTCATTCCAAGCTGGTCCCATTGAGCTTAATTCAGCGCAGTTCTCGGCAGTCATGTCATCGCATGGCTCCCTGTCTGCGGCTTTCTCGCACGGAAACCTCGAGGTTCCAAGTGCGACGCCTCCCTTACAGCACTTGAACCCTGCCGCTGTGCGGACTACTGCGACTCCTGCTTCCGAATCGTCTTCCCGTCAGACTATCTCGGACAATGGGTTCCCCTCACAGCCCGACTTTGACGAATTCTTGAAATTTCTCAGTGCCACTGAGGATGGCACTGGTGACGTATGGCAGGGGGCGCAGAAGCCGCATACACCCATCGTGGGCGATCCCAACGGAATGTTTGCTGCAATGATGCTTCAATATGCAGAAGGGTCTGACTCAAATAAGAATTTGGGTGGCGCCGGGCAAATACCAGCAAAATTGTCTTTGGAAGGTGCCAGTGATGATGTCAGTGTGGAGAGTATATTGAACGAGCTAGAGATGGGCGGCTTGCAACAGATGGGAGCTTCCGATAACTGGGAAGCTTCGTTCACGGCCAATTTTTTCGAGACCGAAACTAAGGGGAAGGGTGCGGGGCAGTAGAGTGGCGCGTCTTGTACATGATGCACATGTGTGAACAGATGTCACCTATACAAGGATGATTGAGCTGGCCGAGTCTCGGTGATATCATTCATAGCAGCTAGCAGCTACAATCCACGTACATACATACTGCACCACCGACAAGGGGCTTTGCCAAGCATGCCTTTCTGAACCTGCCTGCGTGCCCTGCGTCGAGCTGCCCGTAGGAATGCTGGCTCGGTGTGCGAATCCATTTCTAGGCTACTTCTACCTTTGTGCAGGCCCAAAGGCAGCAATCCTCCCCACTGTTGCTCCGCTGCCTCGGCCTCGGATGTTGCAATATTGCATTGGAGGAAGCTGCATCTCGTGACACACCACATGCAATATTTGGTTCCGGGGACCCTCGATCGGGTGTCAGGTGCCCCCTCTGAGCCGAAGAGATGCCCGGACTCGGGTGACCGTCTCAGGCACGCACCAGCAGGATGGTATTGGTCGCGCAGCTTGTTGTGGTTCGCCGGCCCTCGCCGCTATCGCATCTCTTTGTCTCCTCGTGCGCGTTCTTTTCATTCCGCTTCTGCTCCTGTCCCCCAGCGACCCCGACACCCATCCCCAACCCAGCCATGGCCGACGACGGGCAAGTGAAGAAACGGCGTGAGTCCTTCCCTGCACCGCTAGCGCCACTCTGCGCACCCATCAGCCATCCACTCCACTAGCAACCGCATCCACTCACCCATCACAGGCCAGAACGTGGCATGCGACGCCTGCAAGCTTCGGAGAGTCCGCTGTGACCTCTCCACTCTGCTCCAATTCGACCCCTCCAGTGACCCTGCCGCAGAGACCAGCACCCACACGCCTTCGCTGGCCGATCTCGTACGCCAGAACCCAGACGTCGAGTGCACCAATTGCACAAATAAGGGCATCAAATGCTCCACAAACCAGATTCTTAATCCAACGCGCCCAAAAAAAGGAGGCCGACGCATCGACCAAGCCAAAAAGATATTTGGTGGCGGCGACGACGATGCTACAGTCAGCGAGAGAGAGCCCTCTTCGAGTTCTGGAGGGTCTGGTAGAAATACAGGGTCGCTCGTAGACCCCGTAGCGCCATCTTGCATCCACCCAAATGCTCCGCCAGCAGATTGGGCGCAGGATTTGTTGTCGACTTATGGCCTTCAAACGGACTATCCCACTATCCCGCTCGACCCGTCGTTGTCGTCTACCAATGGTTCATTCACGTATCAAGCCTCGAACCCATCGCAAGGCGCAAAAATATCTAATCTCCATCCTCCTATGGACTTTCTGGGACCTCCGCCAGATTCTTTCGCCATCACGGGTAATACCCGCGCGATGACTCCCCGCTCGAGCGGCAATTTTGACAGACGTCCAAATCACGCGTCCGTTTTGGACACTCCAATATGTTCCAACAGTCCCTCTTTTGACAACATACCCGGCCGAAAGAGGCGACGCGACGCCTATCACACACCGAGTACAAAGGGCGCCCGAGATAAGGTCGTGGTCAGGCGTAAAGATCCTTGGCACTTGTGGGCGGAGGGAGGATCGCGGGCAGCTGTGAACTGGGGCATGGCAGAGCATGTGCAGGAACATCTGGCGGATAAGGCTCTGGGTGTGGAGCTGAGCAGACACTTGGTGTCAACCTTTTTCCAAGCTGTGCATCACTTTTACCCAGTACGGCTACACGCTCGCTGTTGCGAGTGCCGCTGACAGTGTTCGTAGTCTATCTGGCCCGAATCATTCCGCTCGGAATGGACAAGGGCTGGACAAAGATCGGATAGAATGACGCCCGCTCAAGAGGTGCTTTGCGCGACTATTGAAGCTTGGGGTGCACACTACTCTGACTCACCCGTCATTCTTGGGCCGCCTCCAGACGAAATCGAATCAAATACAAACGGTGCGTACTCGGACCTGTTGACTTTTCCATATGACTAATACGATGGACTGTAGCTGGCAACCCCAACGAAAGTGTATGTTCAGTGGCCTCTTCATCAGCAACTCGTATAACTGACAAACTGTCGCAGCGCCCTCCTGAACACCAGATTCAAGCGTACTGGGGGCAAGCTCGCAATAACGCGTGCATCGCGCTCATTGACCGCGCCCGACGTATAGCCGATACCAATGGCGTCCTCCGAAAACCCACCTTGACGGGTGTACAATCTCTCGTACTATTTTGTCAGCTGCTACACGCCTCAAATCAACCAGGAAAGGTGGAAGAGATACACATGGAGGGTGTGTTCTTATCGCTATCGAAAGTATCGTGCGCTGACGAATTTTAGCCCACATGCTACAGGTAACCATCCTGGAGCAGATGAAGGTTCTTGGTCTCATGTGGCAATCTGACCGCGCAATTGTAACAGACAAGGAAGAGCTACCGGTGTCTCAGACCGAGCTGCGAATCAATCAAATGTGAGTGATCCCCGCATGCGGGCGTCTCATGGCTAAGCGCGCGCTCATCTCATTGCAGACGATTGTTCTGGTCTCAGATGGTCATAGATACTTGGTGGGCAGCCTCCTATGCTCAGCCGTCCCGGATGTGGGTACCATCTGTCGCGTGGGATTGTGCTCATGCTGATGTCATTACAGCTCCGATGAAGAGTTTGAAGCTGCGGGTAACTGCATGGCGTTGCTCAAAGGCCGCATTCCGCCCATCTCATATGAAGGTCTCTCCCTCTTTGTCTCGTGAGCAGTATTCATTGTCGAGTACGGTCAAGGACTGACACTGTCAAAAGGATATACTATCGCATAGCGAAAGCCGGACGCGATGTGACTGTCAAGCTGGCGATTCCAAATAGGAAGAAGGGCGCTGTGGATGTCGATCAGTTCTGCAGCGATGTGCGGCAGATCTGGCAAGACTTTGTGAGTTCTGACGACGTATAGCTGTACTCATGCTGACCACTCTACAGACATCCATTTCCCAGGATCTGGACAGGCGAACGGCCTCGGTCCTCAGAGATTGCCACGATGAAGACTTTGTCGGCTTTTCTCCGCTGAATGTGAGGCTGCGTGAGGCATGCAGTACTCGAGCTGACCATGTCCCACTAGTATCTGACCCACAATCAACTCGCTGGACCATTCTTCCCTTTCCTTATCCACAAGATCATCCGAGACCAACTTGTATTCCGGAAGAACGTCGTTTCGTCCTACACCGACGCCAGACAACGCATCAGACAACCCGATGCGGAAGCGGCAAGACAATGGAGGAAGGCCCAAGACGATGTGGACAAGCTGGAGGCTTTGCAGAGAGATAGTGTGGATTTGTTGCTATGCTGCTGTCGAAGACTTGTGTCAGTGTCCAATGTACGTGGTGCCACCTGCCAATGGTATCTGACCTGACAACCAACTCTACTAGATTCTACTTCCTACGGGTGTGATGCATGGTGAGTCAAGGCATATGTCAAACGGGGCGAATTGTGACTCTGATCGATAGCAGCGGCATCGGTCGTTCTGGGAGTGCTCCTGGCTGGAGCTCAAGTGCTGGCTTCTGTACCGACAAATGAGCAGGGGTATCCTGCCGATACGGTAAGCGTGACTTTGACCGGTAGCAATGCCTTCTGACGCCTCTGAACTAGCCGGGAGGCTATGGGTGGACCTGGAAGACGAAACAGGAAGCGATAGTGTGCTGTATCAGAGTTCTCAATGAAGTCGTAAGTGCTCGTTTACCATCATTCGTTGGCCATACTGACCAGATTTGTAGGGATGGGGTATGTGCAGTTACAAAATCATTACATTACTGACAGACATGCGTATAGCCTGGGACGATGCCGGAAAGCTGCTGAGAGAGACTGTCCTGCCAGCAATGGAGCAATCTGCTCGCCTGCATCAAGAGCTGTCGATGAACCACCAAGCGTCGTTCTCTCAGCCTCCCCCGGATTCGGCGGTCGCACAAAGACAGCTCGAGCAAGACCGAGGGATCCAAGAAGCCTTGGATGCCGTCATGAGGTTCTGGCCCCCTGTGTATGTCTTGTGTCCATGATGATCGTACCACTGACGACATTCCAGCCGTGATTCAGACATTGCCGAACCTCATCAACAAGCAAACCACAATGATGAACTCTGGAGCGCAGAATTCTCTGCTCAGTCAGGGCGCATCGAGTCCTCTGCTACGCAGCGCAATGATGAAACAGGGACAGAGTCGGCGGAAAGAGGCGCGAACGCCGTCCCCTCCGACATCTGGGCAGGCGCCAGCTCGCGTCAGCCAGCAGGCTTTTCATCAGGCCTTGGGGCCTTCTATCCCAGCACGAATCCTAGCTCAACGTTGGAAACGCCGCCCCCAGCACTATTCTACAATTCTTTTGCCCCGAGTGAGAGCTTGTCTGGGCCGAGCAATGCCTTCTACGTGAACCCCATGGGGTTCTCTCAGCCTGCCCACATCCCAGCAGCTCCTGCCATGGGCCAGAGCAACGAGGATCTAGGCATGCATATGGACAGGGATCCGGCGGGGGGTCACATCATGAGGGACGCTGTGAATTCATTTCGCACGGGGGGAGCGGAAGATGGGCAGGAGCTGCAGAAATTTTTGAGAGATTGGGGAATGGGGCATCCTGGGCAGACACACCAAAATATATAATAGTGGAAGCATCGATGTCATCCTTTGTAACAATATATGATCATGCAGTGAACAACAGTTCACACCACGAGCACGAACAGCTGTGCAGTAGCCTCGAGCAACCACTTCAGACAGAGCTTACTGAGGTTGCTGCGGTGTATAGAGTCTAGGTGGGCGGGCGGTTCGTACATATAGGAAATCTGCATGTTTGCTTTGCTCTTACTACATCTTGGGGGATGATATGGAATGGCTATGTCAAAACCGGAGCATACTGCGAAGCTTATCCAGCCGTGATCTTTCTCTGACCAGGTTCAGACTGACCCCCTGTCAGAGATGCGCGGGGGCGGATGGCACCGTACCTTTCCTAGTAGTGACACCAGCATGCATGACCCTCTAGTGTGACTTGTACGATGCACCGCGTGGGTCATACATAGCAGTGCATATTCTGTGGCTGCAAGAGTGGATGGGGTGTATGGGAGTATATTTGGCATTGGTGCGTACGACGAAAGCTTCCGGGAGGCGAAAGCCCGGTGATCGTCGTCGGAGGCGAGCTGGGTGACGAGGTGAGCAAGACGGCAGCGGGGGTGTTGTGGCGCGGGGGGCTTTCTTCTCCATCGCATCCCCACATGGACCAGAAGAAGAAGAGGCGTGAGTAGGATGACTCTATCAAGCATGCCTGACACCCTACCACAGGTCAGAATGTCGCTTGCGATGCGTGCAAGCTGCGAAGAGTCAAGTGCGATCTCTCCGTCATGCTCCAGCCGCCCGCTCCAGCCGACCCCTCCGTGCTCGGCTCACCACAGCCAAGCTCTTCTTCCGCACCCTCGCTTGCCGATCTCGTGCGCCGTAATCCAGGCGTGGAGTGCACCCAATGCAAGAATAAAGGAATCAGGTGCTCGACGGCTCAGATTCTCAACCCAACAAGACCAAACAAGGGCGGGCGCCGCATTGATGAGGCCAAAAAAGCGTTTGGTCGAGACGAGGTCAACCAGAATCATCGACAAGAGACGGACCCTCTAAACGGGAGGGTGGAATCCTCAGCAAACAACTCTTTTCCACGCCCTCAATCCGATTGGGCTCATAGCCTACTGTCAACATATGGCGTGTTTGCTCCCAACAACGATACTCCCCCCAGCCACAATGCCCTGGCCTTTTCTGAAGTGTCTTCTTTACGAGCTACACAGGCCGACCTTGACAGTCAGAACAGCGTGCTCCCAGGCTTCGCCACGGGGACCAGCGCTCCCGACCACAACTCGCTACTTTCATCGTATCGAAGCTCGGCAGAACCCTCGTGGTATGACTCTTCTTCCAGGTCGGCGAGCATCCCGCCGATGTGGCAGCAGCCGCCTCAATATCACCATTCGGAACCTTTGGTAGATCATAACGCCACCCGAGAGGCTTCTCTACCTTCAGAGCCTCGCGAAACTGGTCACAATGACTACGCACAGCCAACTACAATAACTCCTTTCTCTGGAACAGGCTTAATCAGCGGTGTCGGCCTGTACCCCAATGGTCTTGGTCTCTTTCCACATAGTCTTTCGGGCGCATTCGACCACCAGGCCCGTCATCATACTGTGCCACTTGCCGAACATCCTCTCCCGAGGGCCCCTCACGACAGCACTCACATTTCCCGAGCCGACCAGAGAAGCAGCTCCATAGAGAGACGTGATCTCAGTGCTACCCAGCGGGGGCTGAGGTGGGGCAGGGCGGATGGCGTCCAGGAGAGCCTGGCCGATACAGCACTGGAGGTAGAGCTCAGTCGACACTTGATCAAGACTTTTTTCCAGGCCGTGCACTACTTTTTTCCAGTCAGTACTTTGAATAAATCATACTGGGTCACTTTCTCATTCTTATCACAGGCCATATCACCTGAAGTGTTTTATCTGGAATGGACAAGAGCCGGACAGCGCGCAGACGCAATGTCACCGGATCAAGAAGTTCTTTGCGCCGCCATTGAAGCGTGGGGTGCACAGTATTCGGACTCGCCCATTGTGCTAGGCCTGTCGTCAGCCACTTCTGCTCCCAAAGGTGAGTCAATTATCACATCGACGTACATGCATCCATTGACCTTTCAGTGATCGATTCAAACGGGACTGTGGGTCGGTTCCTACGCTCAATATCTGTTGTTGCTGACCATGGAGGTTGCTACAGTTTGCTCCTGCCTCCGAAAACCGTGTATCGTGGGGGCAAGCCCGTAATGGCGCCTGCAACGCTCTTCTTGACCGCTTGCGGCGTCTCATAGATCGTAATGGAATCATCAGAAAACCAACCATTCCTGGCGTGCAAGCTCTGACGTTGTGTATTGAGCTCTTGTTCTCGTCAGGCGAGACGGTCAAGGACAACGAGGTGCTCATGGAAGGTATGTGTCATTCAATAAAAGTTTGTTGCCTACTATACTCACGTTTCATGTAAGCACATATGCTTGAAACCACGATCCTGGAGCAGATGAGAATCCTCAATCTTCTGGGAGAGCCGGATCGTTGCTCTCCTGTTGTGACTGACTTGCGCGTACCTAGTATCGAACTGCGAATCAAACAGATGTGAGACTCATTTTCGACAAGCGCCAATGCACTGACCAGATATCTAGGCGACTCTTCTGGATTCAGGCCATCATTGATGCATTCTGGGCGGTCGAGTCTGCTGCCAATCCACGAATGTAAGCGGCATGGAGGAACGATAAGAGTGCGTTGCTGAACGTGATCATTCTCTAGTGCCGAAGATGAATTCGAGTCGGCAGGTCAGTGGGTGATTTCGATCAGAAAAGGAATGCCTGGATCCTCGTCTTGCAAAGGTTTATCTCTGTTTGTCTTGTGAGTTGATTTGAGAAGTTAGTATCACGTTGATCCTCATGCGCTGTGTAGGTCTCAGTATCGCGCTGCAAAAGCTGGTCGTCGGGTCGCCATCGACTTGGCTGTCCCTAACAAGAAAGGCGTCATTGGTGTACAGGACTTTTGCAGGAATGTTCGATCCATCTGGAAAGAGTTTGTAAGCGACCCAACAATCGCAACGCCGACACTTGGCTCACTAGATACAGGAATCAATCATCAAAGATCTCAACAGTCAAACTCCTGGTATCCTCCGCAAATGCCATAAGGGTGACCTCTCGGGGTTCTCTCCTCTGAATGTGAGCTTTTCCGCCATCTGGATCAATTGGCTTGTGTCTCACCACCATCTTTGTAGTACTTTACCAGTGTTCAGATAGCTGGGCCATTCTTCCTCTTCCACATCCATGAAATCATTAAAGAGCAGATTGAATATGTTCGCAAAGGGGGTGTTTCAACAGACGCGGTCATCAAGGACCCATATGAGGAGCCAAAGCCGGATACCAGCCGAAGTAAGGACGCACAGTCCCACTTGGACACCCTGGAAGCTCTGCAGAAGGATAGCTTGGATAATTTGCTAAAGACTTGTCGAAGCCACGTCAAGATGTTGGAGGTAAGCCGTGTGCGCTTGGGCCAGTAATCTTTGCGCTGACATGGTGCAGCTTCTGCTAGCTACAGGTATCTTGCAAAGTGCGTTCCGTGCGATACGATTTGTCATTTGACTGATGATGGTCAGCCGCCTCTGTGCTTTTGCGCGTCTTGGTCTCCTTGTCTAAGCTTTTGGCGGAAACGCCTACGAATGAAGAAGGATACCCCTCATCCACTGTGAGTTTATGTTCATGGATTCATCGCTCTTGTTCAATTGCTCAAGGATCTGTACACAGCCCGGGGGACGCGGATGGACGTGGAAAGTAAAGCAAAGAGAGGTCGGCATCTGTGTCCAGGCTCTCCACCAAGCAGTAAGTGACATGGGTTTCAGAAAGTACTCTTGCTGACCTATCATCCAGGGATGGGGTATGTTTCCAATCTGGCATGTGTCGCATTGCTGACTTTTTGGAAGCTTGGGCAGAAGCAGGTCAAGCTTTGGAGGACATTGAGAAGACAATGAAGAAATCGGCTCACGTCATCGCACAACTGTCTACTACCGAGCGTCATGACGCACCATCACATGATGATACAGCAGCAGCTATGGGATCGGAAGAGAGGGAAAGAGAAGAGGCACTCAAGGCTGTCATGAAGTTCTGGCCACCTGCGTACGTCTTTCGTTGTATCTCGCCCTATGAGTAATAGACACCTGACAACATTTTCTGGGTAGCCCCCCGGTGAACTCTGCTTTCTTTGTGGAGTCCCCGCCCTCCAAATGCAGCACTCCTGCTGCTGCTTCTCGTGATGTAACAAAGAAGGCTGGCGAAGACCATACAGGCCAACCGTCGGGGGTGATACAGGGAGATGCCTTTTTTCCTCCCCTAGGCAGCGACACCAAGTCGACACCCTGGGACTCTACTTCCGCTCGTCCGACTTGACACACGGCTACACGAGACACGTGTACCCTCTTCTGTTCCGAGACAGCGTGATCCGAGACGAGATGATTGGGGTGGACCATTGCACAAGTCCAAATGTCAACACGACATGGGCAGATCTTATATTGTGTACAAATCTTACCACTAGAGCGTTTGTAGTTATTCGACAATCTTGTTATGCAGGAATGCCTGTCTGAGATGTTGGGACTTGTTCCTCTGGTCAGAATGACGATTTTGCTCACGTCGGCATGCAGGATTTGCTCTGTAAAGGAATCTTGACCTGTTCATAGTTGATGTCGACGAGCTAGGCGGGTCGGTAGAAGAGTGCAGGTCTCGCGAAGAGGTATATGCATGCTTGCAGTATGATCATATATGTACCACTGAATCCACTCAACACAACACACCTCAACCCAACCATTGACGTCAATCGAAAGCTTATCTTATCTGAGTCGAAAACAGGATCCGGGCCTCCACACTGGACAAAATGAAGTAATTTCTTGACGCAGAACCAACTCTTGATACCATTCAGTACGCTCTGTCCACCCTGCACGTGTTCAAAAGTAAGCAAAGTCACAAAATAGACATACCAGATAGCGAATAAGTTACATATTACAGGCAGGAGTTTTAATGGTACTTTTGATATCGGGGTAATTACGCGCTCTTTGAACTTTACTTTTTGGTGGAGTATGCTTTTGTATTATGTAGAAGAAGGTTTGTTGTATGGGTACAATAGATGCGAGAAGGCGAAGATGCTGAAGAAAGGAAATCTAGTTGGGAAGGATGATGGTGACGCCTCCATTCTCAGTATCGAAGCGCAAGCTTTAGGCATTATCAGTACGCTCTTGTTGGAGAAAGAAAGACAGGAGGCTCACGAAGACAGGTCGTCGACAATCATATGTGCGCCGAGACCTTCGAGCGCTGTACGAGGGTGACTAGTGCAGACAGCGATGACCTTGGCTCCCGAACTCACACCAGCCTTGATACCCGTCGGCGCGTCTTCGAAAACGACACCTGTACATGACGTCAGCCACCCACCCGATGTATGACAGTCAAGAGACTCACACTCTGTGGGATGCAAACCGAGGGCAGCAGCACCCATGATGTACGGCTCGGGGTGTGGCTTGCCGCGGGTGACTTCGTCTGCGGTGATGAGGTGTGATGTCTTGGGGAGGTCGAGGGTGTTGATGGCGTTCGTCGCGTATGCGTTGGTGGCTGTACCCGTAGTCAGGAGATGTGACACGTCGCGAGGGATGAGACATACCAGAGGTAACGATAGCCCAACGGGCATTGTCGTCGGCGGGCGAGCTCAGTGAGAGGAGCATTTTTTCCACACCGGGCAGGAGGGTGATGCCACCCTCGCCTTCGCGCGCCAGTCTCTGGGATTCCAGAAGGACATCGGATTCAAACTTTTCCGTGGCAGCCTGAGAATTGGAGTCAGTGTGGAGCTCTCTCTGATGAAAGGACAACGGACTTCGAGCGCAATGGGGTCTGTGATCTTGAGCCAGTAGCGCAGGAGGTCCCTGGTGCGTATGCCGTGCGAGGCTAGCAGGGTCAGCTAGGCCCTCTGCGACAGAAGGGACGCACTCTTGAAGACCTCCTCGAGGTTGACGGGGTACTGTTTTGCCCACTGGTGCCATACGGCCTCGCAGACGGGGGTGGAGCCTGGGGGGTGAGCGGGGTCCCGGGGGTGGGGCCGTTTACTCACTGATGAGGGTGCCGTCGAGGTCGAAGAGGATGCCGGATGCTCTGATGGTGGTGGACATGATGCTGGGCGTTGTGATTGTGGAATGGAATGGAATAAGATTTGGAGAGGGAGGGTCGGGATCAGGGCCCATTATATAGAATTGCGTGGTGATCTGTGGGCCCCTTTGAGTGTGGAGGCGAAAGGAGGGCCGTGTCCTGGCAACGAGCTTCGGCTAGTACGGTTTCATCATCTCGCGCTCAGCCAGGAAGCCCAGCTCGGACCCCCCATCTGACACCATCTCCTCCTCCCCGTCCGTGTCCCAAAGCCCGGACGCGTCCCGCACACGCAGCCCACGTTCGATCGCCAGCTCGGTCCACCCCGCCAGTTCAGTGCCCGAAAAGTGCGGCCGAAGAGCACGCGAGAACGGGAGCAGATACAGTCCTGCGTTCGTCAGCCCAGTCCAGCAGTCGATGCAGCAACGCACCCTTGCATGCCCCCAGCGACGCCACAGCCCGGTAGCAGAGCTGCTTGGCCGAGGCAGCGCGGCCCATGTGCACCTCGAACTCGATGTACAGCGTCCACAACGCAGCACAGTAACGGCCGCTGTTTGTTCGGGCGAGATAAACAAGCACACGTGATGGCAATCATTAAATCATTGATTGGGCACACAGACAGTCAGTTACAGTCCCCATCACATGTTTTTCACTCACCGACTCGAATTTATACCCTTGTCGAGGGCCATCCGCACCCGCTCAGCCCCGCCCCCGCCAGCGTCCCAGAATGTTCGATGCGCAGCCACCGCCTCCGCCCACACCGCCCACAGATACCCCACCACTCCTTTCCCCTCAGCGTTGGCCGACGGCTCCGCCGTCATCTCTCCAATCAGCCGCTGCACCCGCCCATACACTCGGTTGTGCAGCTCCCCGTACATGTACAGCGATAGCAGCGCCGTGTTGTTGGGGAACGCCCCGAGGGCGCGTTCGAGCACATGGCGGGAAAGGTAGGCAGGCGTCGAGGGCGTGAATGTCGCGTGGCGGAACATGATCTGGGAAAGGAGTTGCAGTGCCTCTTCACATTCACCGCTCGACGTGGGGTGGGCGAACGCAATGTTGAGGAGGGCATCACATGTTGTGTCGATGCCGTCGACAAGGTACGTCAGGAGCGAGGAAAGGAGTAGCGCGCTCCCAGTGGGGGCAAGTCGGTGATAGTACTGAAACGAGTTAGCGAGTTGGCATGTTGGGTGATGGTGGCGTCAGCCACTCACCTGCCGCGTCTTGAGCAGGCTCAGCGGTGAAGGGGTAGACGTTTCATTTTGACCTAAACCTGTTTAATGAGCATGCGCTTTACTGCGTATGCACTTACTGATGCTGTCCTCTCCAATCCCCGCAGCCATGACCACGACGTCCAAGCACCTCTCCTTGTCCCCCTCCTCAAACTCCATCTCTGCCCATCCTGCCCATAGATCCATCTCGTCCTCCGTCTTTTCTCTCCCCTCTCTCTCTTGTTTAGCAGCTTGCAATGCGGTGATATAGACTGTTCGGGCTGTCGATGCATTTCCGCGCTGACGTTCAAGTCGGGCATAACCATCCCACAGCAGCAAATTGGTGCGATCCTGCGAAAGAATGGATTTGGCCGCTTTGATAGCACTATTCGTTGTCAGCCCTGTCCTTGTTTGATGGGTACCTACTTTTTGGGCGAGAGGGCAGCTTCAACAGCAAATCCAGCGAGCGTAAACCCAGGATCGGGCACCAACGGCCCCATGATCCTGAACACCTCTCTTACAACCTCCACGTCCACCCCTTCCAAATCGATCCTCTCCAAATCCCTGAACCATGCCCCGCTCCCGGTGCTCTTGGCAAATAACGTCGAGCGCGTTTGTGCCCAGTTCTTGACGGGGCAAGAAAAGGGCGACGAGATGGAGAGCGGGCGTTCCGGGTCCATTGGTTCGCCAGCGACAGTCTGCCAGTGTATACGTTTGACCGACGGCTTGGGCGGCCAGAACGACATCCTTGCACGTTGGTTGGCAGCAAGCAACCATTGAAAATGCGGATCCGCATTTGCCGGTGAAGTGCTCGGGACCCCTGGAGGCGTGAACGGAAGCCCAAGAAAAGTAAGGAACGCATAGATGAGCTGCAGCCGTACCTCGGGCGAAAAGATGGGAAAGAGAAAGGGGGAGAGGTCGGAAAAGACGACGATGTGGAAAGGGTCGTCTTCAAGCTCATCGTCTAGATCTGTCGCGCGCCCAGGTCGGGCAAACAACGTTTCAGCTCGCAGCTCGGTCTCGAGCCACCTCTCGTACGGATCCTCGGACTTGTACACCAGTGGATCCCGTGGGACAGAAGGAGGCGGTGGCGTATTTGCCGGGGTATTGCGCCAGCCCGTAGAGCCAGGCTCACCTATCCTCGGGGCTTCCGAGTCCCAGAATTCCTCGAATGTCGATGTGACCGATGTGAACCACGCTTCGCGTTGCGATGGATGTGGTTGATGGCGAAGGTGGTCCGGTTTGAAGAAGGTACTGTAGAATCATTAGCTCAGCCAAGGCGATTCTTGTCACTTACATTTCCATAAGCGCTTGGAATGCTGCAAGTGCTCTCTCTTGGTATCCTGCCTGCTTAATAAAGAGACACGCCCTCAAGAAGAAATACACGAGATTCTCCTCTCTCGCCAACGCATCCCCACCCATCCCATTCTTCAACCTCTCGATACACTCCACGTAAACGTCCACGACTTCGTCCACCCCACCACCACTCTCCTCCCCATCGCCTTTCCCAAATCCTTGTCCTTCCCTCCATTCGATATAGCCTAGCCAAAGCTTCATCATACCTTCTTCCAGCCCTGGTCTACGATCGCTGGCTTGGCCGAGCTCCCTGAGAACATTCTTCCATCGCTCAGTGACCTTACGGCCGGGCCAGATCTTTTCGGCGGAACGGATATACGCCAGATGAAGTGCGATAGAGTACCCATTCTCTGGTGTCGCGTTCAAAGCTCGAGAGAGGATAGAAAGTGTCACTTCTGCCTGGGCTTTGGTCGTTGCAAGTCGCGTCTGATCGACGCCCGGGACTCTTTCCGCCTCGGGCGATAGTTGAAGGTGAAGCGTCGAATACTCGATCCAGGCATCTTCGTCCTCCGGTTGCTCCTTCAAACGCCGCTCCATATCTACCGTCTTCTTTCTCACTTCCTGCTCTGCGGTAGCAAAAGATCCGATAGCATCTTCCACCAGCTCATACTCGCCGCCCTTGCCTTCGTCCGGCAAGTCTTGGTGGGTGATACTCCGGTAGCTAGGGAGGTCTGGCTCTTCCAGTCTCTTGGGGCGAGAGTCAAATGCGACAAAGGAAGTATCATAGTCGAGTTGCCGGTCAGAAGATGGGGGAAGGAGGATACGGTAGATGTGGGATGTGGCGGAGCGGATGTGTTTGTGGTACCTAGGGACCTATACATACTGTCAGCTATGCTTACGTGTCCATTGATCTATCTCACATAAGGACGACCTTTCGGAGCAAGCTCAATACCCTTCTGAGTACGATCTCGAGAGTAGACGACGCGTATACCTTCGTTCCAGCCCATCACGCGGTTGTCTGTAACGATCAGTCTCTGACGTGTCTACAAAAGAGACACTCACTTCCATCCCTGTGGTACCTCGGAGCAGAATGCCAAGTAGTTGCTCCATATCGAACAATATCTCTGTCTCCAGCAGTATCCAGGAAAAGCGCTTTAGACTGACATTCATCAGCCAAGATCGTCGTTGGACAACGCGACTCACAGGATCATACGACTTGTCACTACTGCCGGTTTTCTTTCCACCTCCCAAACTCTCATACCAGGGCGTACCATCGTCATCGTCCTTCACCCACCTCTCCTCACTCTTCTCTCTCTCTCTACTCTTGCTAGTCCTTTCCTCTGGCCGCTTGACATCGCCTCGGACAAGAGCCTGAGCTTCCTCACGTTCCCGTCTCCGGCGCTCCTCCTTCTTCCGCCGTTCTGGTGATTGATCTCGGTGGCCATCCTTGTCATGCCGGTGCCGGTCGCCGTGCCGCCGTTCTCTGCTCCGAGAACGTTCACGCTCACGCTCGCCATGTCGATTTCTCCGCCGCCGGTCAACCCTTTCTTCTCGCCCATCTTCCTTATCTTTCCTCTTTCGTCGATCTATCTTGTCCAGATCTTCTCTTTCATTATCCCTCTTTTGTCTATGGCCATCATCTCTTGAAAACATGGAAGGTTTCGGGAGGTCGGGGAAAGATGAAAAGGTTGGGACATGTTCGGCCTGTGGGTCCTGTCCTGCCTTACTGCTGGCAGCAGGAAGGTCGGGGAAAGAAGAGAAAGATGGAGGAGACGCCATCCCTGCCCAAGAGTCGTTCAAGTCGTAAAGATGTGAATGCGTAGGATTCTCTGAGGGGATGTTCTTATGCAATTCTTATGGCCATGCGGTGACCTGCCTCCACTTGAGAACGGAACCAAATTTCAGGTCAAGCGCGCCCATCACCTCTACTATATCATGATGCTTGTTTCTCTTGAACAGCATCTCACATGTCCAGCAGCAACATGTCATTCACCCCCATATCGCCTTCAACACCAGCAGACAACTCTGCGGAGCCGTTGATCGACAAGTCCGAGCTGCCGACCATCGAGCTCAGCTTTTCCTCGGGCCCTAATGGCGCATGGGACGATAGGGAGCTTATCAATGCTGCCAACTCTGCCATGAAGGAATTTCACGTGAGCATTGGTCAGACTCAACGTATAGTCGCTAACTTGCATATCCAGACGCATCATCCGGGACCGGGAAGCTGGCTTGACAAAGCTACAGCTGCGATGGCTGTTGGCAAGCCGTTGCCCGGAGCGAACGATTACGGCACAGCGTAAGTTTCTACTCCTGTCATCGAGTCTATAACTCATTGTGCTATGGGATAGATGGTATACAGCTTCGACACCCGTCGTCCAAAATCCCCCTGCAGCCGCAGCCCCTCCAAAGAAGAAGCGCAAAACCAACACCAACAAGACAATAAACCCATATGACCCTGCTGCTACCGCCTACATTTCCCAGACAAACGTATCAACTCCCATTTCCGGCCCCTCAAATGCCAACGCCCGAGCTGAGAGTCCTTCCTTCCAACCGCCCTCACCGGGCGGCACAGAAGATGCAGATGCCAAGCGAGCAGAAGAAGATGCTGAGGATGCCGAGTGGGGATATGTGGAAGAAGACTGGGAGGAGGAGGAAGGAGATTGGGAAGGAGATGGCCAGGAATGGGAAGGAGAAGCTGCGCAGGGTGCTCCTCAGGCCCCGCCGGCTTACGGCGTGCAGTCAGCAGACGGGGTGTCTCGCGAGGAGGCTTTGGGTCATGCTATGACAGCGCAATATTGGGCGGGGTATTGGATGGGTGTTGCTCAAGCAAAAGGTGGAGAAAGCGCAAAGCCAAGAAGAAGAAAGTGCAAAGAAAATGGTAGCGGCGAAAGAGAACTTGGGGCTACGTCGAGTGAGCAAGCGCCACCGGCAAACATGATCATTTCCCGCCACCAATATGACGGTGTCAACGGTCTAAAGCGTTAGTACAGCCTGCCATGCAGTCTTCAGTCAACTATAGTCTACATTCGTCTCGTGTCAATCGCTGATAAACTAAAAGACTACAAGGGTTGAAGCATCCCTCTACTACCGATGGTCACTGCCACTGGGCGGATAAATCAATCCACAATGATTTGAAAGACGCAACCTGTCGCAGCGGAAACATTGACTTTGCTTATCCGCACCACGACATGTTGAGCGATCGTTGTTCTCTTCCCGACCTTACTTCCGCCAATACCCTGAGCATGCACCAGAATGCGGAAAGATGTTTTGGTTTTAGGTATATAAGCAGGCGTGTGAAGCTAAGCAGAAGGAAGATGTTTTCTATCACCCATTCAACTCTCACCGGCCGCAACATAAAGTCAACAGTCCACCACCATTATCCCAGACCCCCAGCTCGTCCAGTGCCAAGCATTCACCAGCCCATCATGTTGTCTCCAACCTCGATACTAACTCTTATGGGAAAAATGGTCGCAAAGGCATCATCCGACAGCAAGTCTTTTCATTTGAGTGGCGATGGCTGCTGACACCATCGAGCGCAGAGGTCAAGTCGTCACCCCTTGCCAAGTACGTTTGCAACCCCCTCATGTGGGGTGCAGCCGACTGTCTCAAGGTCCGCACCTCTACTGGCGAGGCCCCGAAAGCACTCTTCATGTCACGCATTGGTATCGAGAATGAGGACGCCTATGCCACCCCCTCTATTTCCGCCTACCTCGAAGCGCACGTTGATGTCTTCAGTCCGCATCCCGACGGAAATGGAGAGCAAATCAAATATTTCCTTTCTGTCATTCGAAAAAAAGTGGCTATCTACATTGCGCAGCGCAATGGCAGCCGTGGGATCGCCCGTGGCAAAGTCAAAAAGGAACTCCGCAAAGGCAACCGTTTCCTGGTGACTGTTATCGAGGAGGTACTGGGCGCGTCCAGCAAGGACTTTGTCCATATAGAAGCCTCTGTCGAGGACGAAGAAACGACTACACCCATCTTCAAGAGCTCGCGACCTTCTCCAAGGAGCGTTAGGGAGGACAGCATGCTATCTGTTGATGAGGTCAAGGTACTCTTGCACAGGCCCTCGTGCGAGCCTCTCATCTAGCTCTGAAGATGTCCCACTGTTGTCCAAGGGTTTCAGGAGGGATAAGAACATGGGCGTACAAGCTGTATAGCATGACCGGACTGACCGGACAGGACTCCAAATCAGCTGCTTCTGATCAGCTAGCGTATTTTGTTTATTGCATCGTATGCCTTTCGAGCGTATCTGGTCACGCATGCAAGGGCGTTCGATCTGAGACCGCAGTTGCAGATCGTCATATACATTGTAGTGGCCCACAGCCAATCTGAAAGCCTATCCAAAGACCTTGCCCAGAGTGTTTTTGACTGCCCCACCAACGAGCTGCCCCCCGATACCGCCCAACCCAAAGCCGAACAAGTTGCCTGAAGCAATCCCGCTCGCCCACCGTTTCTGCGCATCGCGGTCGGCGTAGGTAAAGCCGACCAAATTGGAGAGGTTGAAAACCAGGGCGAGAGCGACTATGGGCAGGAAGCTGAGGCTCGCTGTCAGCTCTGGGATGAATCGAAGAAGCGCAAGGGACCCACGAGACGCTGAATTTGAGGAGTGACACGATGAAAAGGGCCAGCCATCCTAAAGGGTACGCGTATAGCGCGATCTGAAAGGCCTGTCAGTTTATATCCGTACTAGTCCAGGGAGAGCTCCATACCCAAAACATTCTAGAGATGAGGTCAGCTTCTATCGAGAAACTACGCATGATTACGAAACGACTCACTTGGCGTCCACAGGATTCGCTGGTCTCGATGGCTATAGGGTGCAAAGTAAGCTCACAAGTTGTACAAAGCAGAGATGAGGGCCTCACGTCACGGCACTCAAACACCCAGGAGCTTTCGCCTTCCTCGTCGACTTCGTTCCAATACCTCAGTCCCACAAGCGTTCTTCCTGCCACATTCTACACGTCTGTTAGTCAGATCACGTATAGTAAACACCAAGATCAGAAGCTTACCCTGGTATTCCAGAAATCTAATGACAAGAGCACTACGACCATCACAATCTGCTCTGGGCGTCAGCTACGGCTCTCGCACTGCCATCAAACATACACTCAAGACGTAGTTATCGGTGACTGCATAATCGTCAGCTTCAATCATGAACCTTTTGAAATGAATGAGCTCACAGAGACCACAAAGGACATATACGGCGATAGCAGCACTCCTGAACAGAAACAGAACGGCCAAAGCCATAGGATGGCTCGACTGTTTCAAGATACCCCTCTGCATCCCCGTTAGATTCTCATCTAGGCTTGGTTACAGGTGACTCACGATCCCTCCTTCTTCGGCACTTCCCAAACTGGTCTGTACTCCTCCAGCTTGAGTCCCCGGTACAAGAACGACCCGCTCAGCCGGCGGACGTGCTGTTGACGAGGACGAGCCGATGTTGCCCTTGGGGACAGAGGGGGCGGTGTCGTCGTCGGGTTCGATGCTGCCGGAAAGAAGGGGCGCCGAGAAGGACATCAGGATAGCACTGTTGGTATAGAGGACAGAAAAGTGGACAGTCGACTGTGCTACCCTTGTCTCGCTGCTGGACGCGTCGTGCAAGTGGAGGTGGTTTCCGGTGGCACCCCACTTAAATTTCCTCCTGCATCATCATTTCCTTGCATCTCTTCCTGGGGGTCTGTGGGAGATATGCGTAGTGCCGAGAGGAATGCTTCTCTGCGTATTTTTTTGCACGTCGGTTCAAAGTGATAACATGCAAAGTCAGGTTCAATGTTTCAGCTGTCACAGTAGAGTGTAGACCAAGCTACTACTGTAAGGCGAGGTCAGGAACGACCGTGCTTGGAACTATGGAATCGGAAGCTGCCGGATATCTCGACTACCACGCGACCAACAAAGCGAGATGGGGCGACTGCAAATTGACAGCTGGTAACGAAACAGCGATCAGCGATACAGATTGATGCATATATCCGCCGACAGATGATGACGAGTCGACGACGGACGTCGAGGTACTTGTATCGTACTAGCGATACTGAGAACCGGTCGACGACCCGTCAGGCATATATTACTGCCTCTTGAGTACCTCTGGAGCTTGGCAGCAGATGTAGAGTTGGCTAGGCATGCTCGTATGTATAGTCGATACCGGAGGGTGACAGGTCGGGCTGCCGCGCAAAAGAGCTCATCTGACACTTGGGCAAATCAAACGTCTTTGGCCCCGCGAAGCTCCTTCAAAGCTTTGATTCCACCGGCAATCTCCTTGCATTTCCTTTGAAACAGTCAGCCTCCTGGACGGTCTTCTAGATGGATACACTCACGAGCGCAAACGTTCCGTCTGGTTTTTCCTCTCCTCCAGCTCCTTCTCCATCAAAAGCACTAGTGTGGCCTCACTTTGCGCGGCACGTAGCTGATTACTAGCTACCATCATGTTGGCTGTCAAATTCGTCAAATGTTGTATGTACTTTTGGGGCGCATCAGCGACAGATCCAGTATGGGGCATGATACACTTACCTGATCGCCTTCGTGCGCCCATCCGCTAGCTGATAGTTCATCGGGGGTACGCGCAGTCATTGACAAAGCATCAAGCAGCATCAAGAGTGTGTGCAGGAAAGAATGCAAGAGAGGAGGAAGCGATTTGGACGGAGACTCGGAAGGGTCGATGAATGGTGGAAGACCGATATCTTCTGCTGTCGGAATCTTCGGTACAGTCTAATCACGGGAGGCAGTCAGTGCGGATCCACCTGAAAGTCATACAGATGCTAGCTCACTGTGTACATTGACCCAAAGCACATCCATCTTCCGTCTTCATTGATCCAGTCCGCTCTTGGTCTGCCCAGCTTTCCCTCGAGCTCCCGCTTCTCATTTTCCTCGCTCTCGTCCAGCATTCGCTCCACAGGCACAGAGTCTACTTGTAAATCCCCATTGTCATCCTTTGCAATACCACTTCCCTGCTCCGCAGTAGATGTGGAAGCGGTGGGTGCGAGGAAAGACGAGTCGCCGGTGAGGGCGCGATACCTATCCAGGGCCTCTTCGGCAAATGCCTGGAAGTAGGGGGGTGGTGGGGGGAAGAGGGTGTTTGTTATGGGAAGGCCGGCTTCTTGTGCCATCTTGGAAAGCGTTGTGAGTGATCTGAAGTGATATTTCTCGCGCAATGCACCACAACCGACCAAACCACAACCGACAGCAACTGAAGCGCGACAAATTCGCACGGTTCGCAAAAGCAGGGCTACCACGGCCGCCGGTCGAAATCTACTCTCTGTAACATACATATGCATACTAGACATAAGCCTTGATAGAGAGTGTGCTATGCTGTGAGTGCACTATATCGATTTGAACGCAATGCAACTTCAATCTCGAAGCGATCCCAAGACCACATCAAGACCTCTCAAGACCGGCAACGCCTCCCCGCTCGAAATGCACTCTACCATCAGTTCGCCCATCTCTTGCCAATACTGCTCTAACCAGATTCCACTTGTATGGACTGTACTACTCAAAAACAATAATCCAGCACTGACGCTTGTTGAATTTGCGTCCCTCGCAGCATCCCTGCTCTTCAGCGCGTACCTCAACTCGCTCATGATCAGTCCAGGCAAATCAGGGATCAAGCCTGGAATGGAATGAGGTTGAAGGATGCCGAGACACGACATGGTTTCGAGGACGAGAGACCGGTCGTCGGTGGCTTTGAGGGAAGTCGAGAGGCTGGCGGAGAGGATTTCGGCGAGGAGAGTGTTAATGGACGTTTGGTTCAAGGGGCCGTGGCGATCGCGAACTTCGGCGATGCGTGATAGATGGGCAACTTTGGAAGGGTAGTTGAGGGTTTCGCGGTTGATGGCTGCTTTGGAGTCCTATCATCTTGGTCAGCATTATTGACGATGACGGGTGAACAGCTCACTCGACTGATGACCGGGTTTCTCTCGACTGTCCCCATATGACCATATATGCCACTGACCAACGCCTTCAAGTCATTATCCAAAGTCTTGCCTCTTGCTCCACCAAATCTTGCATGTACTTTGATTAGCAGCTCATAAACATCCAGCCCCTCTTTAGGTACGCTCAAAAGGCTTGATATAGCGTTCAACGCGGCGTGCTGGCACTCTTTGGGAATCTCTTGCGTCTTCTCGAGAAGTTCTTGGGCGAGCTGCGACTGTTGGGCGGAAGCGTAGGTCTCGAAGCGGGCGAGGTTGGAAAGTCCTTGGAAGATGAGGGAGAGCGTTGGGGATTCGCAAGGACGATGGAGGCCGGTCATGATCAGTTCCTTGACAAGGCCGACGTACTTTTTGTGAAGACTGGGTGGAAGTGCAGGACTGGGCCACGGTCAGTCTTGTGAATCAGCAAAGAGCTGACTTACAGAAGGTTGCTGATGATACAAGCCTCAATGATGGCCTTTGTCGGATCGACGCTATGCAGAAAGTCAATCAAGCTGAGACTCTGTCGTATATGGCTCCAAGCCAGCGGTTGTACGATCGCCTTGTGAGCTGTCGTCAGATGCGCCAAAAGTTTGGCGGCAATGATTTGGATGGAGGGCTCCAGAGATTGATGGAGGGCTAGGAGAATCATCGAGCAGGAGCTTTCGTCGAGCATACTCGCCAGAGCGGGGTTGGAGAGGACAGAAAGGGCGGTATGAACGATATATGGATCTAGGACAAAAGTCAGCAAATTACCAGGGTTTAGTGGGGTATCTCACCGTCAGCCAACAATAGCTGGGCTACTTTGAACGTGAGACTTCGCATGACTGAGGGTGTAGCGATGATTGGATTTGTCGACAGCTGAAGAGCGGCAACGACGACCGCCTGCCCACTGTCTTCTTCCAGACTCCACAATACTAGCTTCTGGGCTTTTGCGGCTAGGTCACGATCTGGCAGATGTTAGTTTGGGCCTCGATGGATAGATATTCACATACCGCGTAGAGGAAATACATTCAGCGCATCCAACACGCTAGCCCTTCTCGACCCTCTGCCTTCGACATCGCCTTCTTCCGCCCCTCCCTTCTCCGTGAGCAGATCATCAATGATATCCGTCAACGTTTGGATAATCCTCCTGGCAAGGTTCGGCAAGAAAGTCGCAATCATCTCCAAAAGCTCGACGTCTGCGAGGAGGATATGATGGGGCGATCGGAGGTAGTGAATCATGATATCAAGCGTTGTTGGGCCTTGTGAGGCTAGGAGACACGCCAGGAGCCTTTGAGCTGCTTTTTGACTGCAAGGGATGTTAGCTTTGTATATGGGAGCCGCAAATTTCACCTACACGGCCTGTTTCTCTTCTCTATCTAGCACCCCCAAGGCCATCTCTCCGACCTCGTCCAAGAACGGCTCAAACCTGTCCAGCACAACGCTGGCCATCTGACCCAGCCCCTTGAGCCCCTCGGCCCTCAGACTCTTTTCCGTACCCAGCATAAAGCGGATGCTCATAGTAAACCATTCAGAGTCGACAAAGAGAGAAGTCTCCCAGGTCGCCAGAAGGGGGAGGGCGGAGCAGAGTGAGGCTTGTGATGCGGGTGAGAGGCGGGGACCGAGGGGGAGGAGAAGAGTGAATATGGGGATGGAGCGCATGGTTTGGGGGTACCGGTGGGCGAGGTCGTTTCGCAGCATCTGTGCTCGTGTCAGCTCTGTTTGGCGGCTGGCGGTATAAGGTACCATAGGCATATGCTCTATCAAGAAACAAGTCCAGAAGACTCCCTCTTCCGCCTTGTGCGCCTTCTGACAGAGATGCAGACTCGCGACAAAGATCGTATGGGTTGCTTGTAAGATCATTCGGCAGGATGATACTTTTTCGGAAGGAGAATAGATCTTGAGAGCGCGTATGAGAGCCTCTTGAGGTACCGATTTGTCCTGCACAAAGTCAGCTCGAGTACGATGATGCTATATTGGGACTTGCATCGCTGCCAAAAGCTGCCATTTGCACCTGCTGAAGGAGCTCTGGAAGGTGACTCTCGAATAGAGTCGGGCTTGAGCGCTCGACACCGAGGATGATACACAGTGCCAAGTTGGCTGCTGTATTGTCGCCTCTTAGAAGTCTTGAGAACGTGTCAGCCGCAATGCCTCGGTACGAAGGACGCACAAGTTTTCTATGGCCAACGTAACAGCTTCAGCCGTCAGGGAAGACATTGCCATCGCTTGGCCTGATCAAGTCAGTCCTCGTTCAGCCGTCCAAGAGCGATACTACATACCATACAGAAAAGCAGCAGCCTGCCCTCTCTGGTCGACCTTTTGCTGGTCAAAGATGATACTTTCCAGCGTTTCACACGCGTACGCATGGACGTCGGTCAAGCCTTTCAGCGCTGGCGCATATAGATCCAGAGTGTCTATGACTTTTGCTGCAGCGATTGTCAGATAAGCCAAAGTCGGGGAATGGACAAGATTCACCAAATATCTTCAAGGCTCGCGTCAAAGACTCGTCGCTTTTTTCTGCAAGGCACTCGTCTATTTTGGTCCGCTGCTGGAGCCACTCGTTGGAGAAACGTACACCTCCTAGGGATTGCTAGGGTGAGCGTCAGCAGGGACTTGAGCCAAAAAGCGGAAGCCCGAGATACCTCGGCAGCCTGCTGGTCAAGGATGGCGGGCAGGTGATTGAGAGCGCTGTGTGAACCTCAGCCTAGCTCTTGATCCCAGTGCAAGCCCACTTACTCGTCAGAGTCCATGAAAAAGTCGTACAGGTCTCTGATAAAGCTCGTCATGGTGTCAAGCCAAGGTTAGTAAAGATAGATCAGCTCTCTCGCTCCCGAGTTTGAGATACGCCCATACATGCGCCCGCATCTATATCCGCCTCATCTACTCTGGGTGGGAGGGCGCGCTCTTTTGAGTCTGGGGACAAAGGACTGGAGAGGACGAAACTGAAATAAGGAAGGCGCGAGTGGCCGCGCCGGGAGCCGGGCGAGTGGGTTCCCGGCATTTCCCGCGCCCATGACCTCTTTCACATCCCACTCCATTCCCCCTACGCATGTCCTCCTGGTACGACACCCTCACCTCCGCCCCAGTCATCATCGCGACCACCCTCGGCGTGTCTCTTGCTGCTGTCGTTGCTACACAGATCAAAGGCCCCCAGACGCTCGCGCAGGCTCAGACCCAGGTCCAGGAAGTCAAGGCTAGTGTCAACGCTGCTGACGTGAAAGGCAAAGCTGCCCAGGCTGTGAGTGGGACATGGTTTATGCATACTGGGCGCTGATGGAGTCCAGGGTGCATCCGTGATGTCTGCTCCTGCTACCGACCTCGCGCCTCCCAAGGTAAGTGTCTCGCCCCGGATAGCCATGCATGTGCCAACAGACGCTTCTAGGACGACCCCATCACCCTCGCCGAGCTCGCCAAGCATGACGGCTCTGACCCCTCGAAGCCCATCTATCTCGCCATCAAGGGCAAAGTATTCGACGTGACTGCCAAGCGGGAGATGTATGGACCGGGGCGAGGATACAATGTGTTTGCGGGCAAGGACGGGTCGAAGGGGCTGGGTGAGTATGCATGTGGCGTGTGGCATGTGGCAGGGCTGATGTGTGGGCTTAGGGATGTCGTCGCTGGACCCTGGGGACGCTGTGGCGGACTTTTCTGGGCTGAACGAGACGCAGATGAACACGCTGAACCAGTGGGAGGCCTTCTTCACAAAGCGCTACAACATCGTCGGGCGCGTGGTGCAGTAGTAGTTGCATGCAGCGGTGCCAAGCGTGAAAGGAGGGCACGGGCCATGTGCTGTGTTCCTTTGCACCCTTTTCGTTTCTTTGTTACAAATACAGACACTCTGACTCTCTTCCCCTCTAACACCTCATCGCCATGTCCAACGCCCAGTTCTACGGCGGTCAGCAGCAGATGCAGCAGTATCCTCCCCCCGGCGGCGACTACTACGCCAAGTAAGCATCCCTCACCGCCTCTCGTCGCACTGCTGACCAGACACAGCCAACAGGGACCCCCCGTGAGCACGCCGGCCCAGCTCACCCCCACTTTCACTGACACCCCTCACAGCCCATGCACAACCAATACGTCCCTCAACAGATGGACTACAACCAGGGGCCTCCTCCCCAGCAACAGAACGACAAGGGCGACAGCGGCGGCGGTGCCGGTGCAGCTGCCGCCTGCTGTGGGCTCGGTGCTTGTTGCTGTTGCTGCCTAGAGTGCTGCGCCTGTGCCGAGTGCTGTGAAGCCGTAGTTGACTGAGAGTAGACGGCGGCCATGTTTGGTAGGGAAGGGTGACACTGTGATGACCGAGGGAGATGGTTTACAGAATACATACCGAGGAGGATACCGTATGCAAATACAAAGACTACCCCGTCCATGTTACAACCTGCACGTCAGGTCACGCCTCGCACGCTCGCACGCTCGCTGTTCAAGCCTCCTCCTCTCCGCTACCCTCGTCCTCGGACGCCATCTCGTCAACCTCGTCCCCTTCCTCTCCGCCCTTTGCCATCTCCACGTCCTCGTCCCCACCAGCCTTTGAAGCAGCAGACTTTCGGGGTCCACGACCTCGACCGGGTCCGGGAGGCTTCTTGTTGGCCTTGGCCTTGGCTTGGTGATTTCGGTAGGCTAGGTCAACATTAGCCGTGCATGCTTCTCGACCAGGGGGCTAGGGGAGATGGCGTACCAGCAAGCTCTTGCTCCATTATCGGCACCAGCGCATCCGCAGGTCCAAAGTCCATCTCCGTAATAGCTTTGATCACATCCGCTGCCGTGACAGTCTTTCCACTCCTGGATGTTGCTTGGTCGTGCGCACTGTGAAAAGTGTCAGATCCTTTTTTCGATGTGAATAGCCAAGCGCTAAAGTCTCCTAGCACAGGTGTCGTAGACCTGGCTCTGCGAACGCAGAGGAAACAGCTCTGATGGACGACTCACGCAGCAGCTACAGCAGTGTTAGAAAAGCCTGCCAACTTTGTTCAGATCCGACTTACTCAGATAGCTGATGAACAATGTCGATCCCCTCAGGAGCGCCAACACCACATCCTGCTGCATCTTTACATTATCCGGAATCTGCCACAGACTTTAGCTCTCATTCCCCCTCCGCGTGCCTCTTTCTGTAAATCCACGGGCGCAGACTGTATCCACTTACAGACCCCTTGGCAAGTTTAGTCAAGGTCGTCTTTGGCAGCTCAAAGTCCTGGATCCCGAGCGAGTTGGCCTTCATCTGCTGCGACGCTGGAGTCGGGGTGGCGTCCGCGGGAGGCTTGGGAGGGTGGAGAGTTGATCCTTTGGGGGGCATTGTGGCAATGCGGTGGATTTGGAGTGGGTGTGGGAAGGGAAAGGCAGAGAGAATAGGTGAAAGACGCGAAGAATTGTAAAGGTAATGGAGAGAACATGAGGAACGCGTCGAGAATTTTGGTCCCGCTGGGAGGAGCGTCAAGAAGCTGTAAAGAAGAGCGTCGTTGAGTATGCATCTCTCTTTGGTGTTTGTACATCAGGTGAGTGATCTTCTATGCTCGGGGTTTGTTTTGATTGTTGATTGCCTAGGGACAGATACCGAGGGTGCGACGCTTGCCACGGGCGACAATCCACTCCTCTTCCGTGCTTACTTGTACTCTCGACAATCAAAGCGATGTACACTCGTGCCCAACAGCTACAGACAGGTACTAGCAACGGCCTCTACTGGACGGAGAGGCCAGACATATACAGCACTGCTATACTCTGGTGATATCTACCAGAACAAGCTTGAATCTTAAGGTGTCCACAATGTACCTATTCATCAGCTCACAGATGTGAATGTTGGTATTCCCAAGTGCGAACATTTGGGCACCAGTGTCGGGGTCTCTTCGGTGTGCCCAGGCTCACGCCCCCGAAATTGTATCTCTCTCTTTCTTTCACATCTCTATCTTTGATTATCATGATTAACAATGATACCAGCCCCGCCCCTCACAATGCCTGCAGAGATATCCCAGTACTGGTACCGCCGGTGAGTTCTCGCGCGCGTGCTACACTGCCGAAGTAGTTCAGGCTGACGCGACGTCGCTCAGCACGATCCAGTGATTGACTGGAACCCCCTTGGCGCCAAGATTACTTTCTGTATACCTTGCGAACCTCCTCAAACTCGTTCATACACTCACCCTCATGGGAGGGAAGTGGCGGACGAGGGCCTGCCTAAATGTGGATTTCTACGAAAAGTGGATCGTAGGTGATCGTCAAAACAAAGCTGCCTATGCTCACACTCATTTAGAGCCACATACTCCCCGCCTAGCACCACTTTCAAGACCAGCCGCGGGGGTCTATGTCAAGATTGCAGAGTCAACTGACCTCGAGCGATGGAGCCACCAGGTGTATGTGGGGCGGGGGACGAGGGGTGGAAGCAGGTATGGGGTGGAGGTCAGGGCAGCCGAGCACCTGAGAGGCTGGTCTAGCCGGTGAGTACTCGTCATCTACATGTCTAGTCTCATCTGACAGGAAAAATGTAGCGAGAAGAGTAAGTTCAACGACGCTGTTATCTCTGCACCTCCCGGAGCCTACAAGCTGGTGGTGTTCGGTGTCCTGTGGAGCGACCCCGCCAAACCGTACACATGGACACCAGCGTCCAAGGCGCGTCTCGACTCTAGGGCCAAGCTCATCGAGTTCTTTTGGTGCGCCAACCTCGGCACCATTGAGAACCACCCCACTGTCGACCTCTCCCCGGGCCCACGAACCTACGTGGGCACAAACTCTATGATCCCCGCCGAGAAAAGCTGCTCGGGGGTCTATATCAAGATCACAGAGTCTACTGACCCCAAGAAATGGGAGCACTTGGTGTATGTGGGGGAGGGGACGAGGAGTGGAAGCAGGTTTGGGGTGGATGCGAGGTCAGCCGAGCATATGAGAAGCTTGCGCCGGTGAGTACTCGTCATCACCATGTCTTGTTTCATCTGACATGGAAAACAGTGGCGATAAGAACAAGTTCAACGATGCTGTTCTCTCTGCCCCTCCCGGAACCTACAAGCCGGTGGTGTTCAGTGTCCTGTGGAGCGACCCCGCCAAACCGCACACATGGACACCAGCGTCCAAAGCGCTTCTCGACATAAGGGCTAACCTCATCGAGTTCTTTTGGTGCGCCAGCCTCGGCACCATTGAGAACCACCCTACTGTCGACCTCTCCCCCGGCCCACGAACCTACGTGGGCATGAACTCTATGATCCCCATCTGCGAGTCAACCAATTTCGTTAACAACTTTGCGAAAGCGGACAAGCTGGGGAGGTTTCGTTCGGTCCGGGGCCAGGAAGCTGTCAACCAAAGGTTCTTGGTGAGCTTAAGCGATTTCCTTTGGATAGACTGAGTATGCTGACGCGGCCGCTTAGGAGGTGGTCAAAAACGTCAAGCACAAGCCATCCTTTTCCGACCGCCCCCGCTTCGAGCCCCAAGCGCCCCTCAAACTCATTCTCCGTTTACACAAGCCCCCCATCCTCTTCCCGCTCAAACCGCATCGCTCCGTCCAGCCCCAACTATTGGACACGATCTCCCGTCGCTCTATTGCGACCTTGCCCGTCAAAGGCAAGCAAGTCCTCTTGCCTGCGAATGCGTCGTAACCCCAAAGGTTTGGCGATTGGAGATGGACGTCGGCAAAAGGCAGTCGGAGAGGGTGAAGTTGGGGGTTTAGCGACCAAGAAGACAGCGAGAAGGGAGGAAGATGACGAAGAAAGCGTCCACTTGTTCACCCAGGCGAGTGATGATTTGAGTAGTGACGGCGGTCCTAACCTGACTGCTTGTAGCAGGCGAGATTAGCTCCTCTTTCTCATCCAAAACGGTAACGCTGAGGACGACTGCACCCTCCTCCCCCGGTACACTTTGAGCACCATTTGGCTGTTTGGGGTGGCGAAGCGGGCTGGGGAGCACTTGGAACCGGTCAAAGAGTGAGTTTGCCCCTTCCAGAACTCTTACAATTGCTGATACCATAGTAGCGGCACGTAACTGTTCAACAAGACCCTCCGAGCTCACCCCGGCGAGTACGAGGACAACCTGCGCTTCGGGCTGCTCTGGTGAGACCGTGGCCGCCCCTGCACATGGACCAGCGAATCCAAGGCTCTTCTTGGGTTTAAGCTCGCTGGTCTCGAGTATGTGTGGGGGTTGAAGCTTGGGACGTATGTCTCCCATCCTGGCACCAGTCCCAACCCCGAATCCACCCCAGGGAACGACACCATCCCCTTGGAAGAGCCGAGGGGGAGGTTCCTCTAGACGACCTTTGGCCTTGGATGTTCGGGTGAAGACGAGAAGTTTGACTTCTCAAAGGAGGGTCTGGGCTTTTACGAGAAGTGGGTGGTAAGCTTCAACGTCTTTGATGCCCACTTGGCTGTGCTGATACCAACGTAGCGGCACGTCTTGCCGGCCAAGCACCAAGCCCACCTCCAACCACCCACTCCTCCACCCAAACCCAAGCGCAAGGCGAAAAGGGTCTTCGCCGACATGACCGAGGAGGAGAAGGGGAAGTTGAGGAAGCGGCGTGCCATTGACCAGAGATGCAAAGATAGGAAGCGTAAGCTTACACTAAGCAATGATGATCAAAGCTGGATCCACTCTAGGTGGGATGAAGGGGGAGCATCTGGCGCTGAGGAGGGCTGGGGGGACCGTCGACCCGAACTCCAGGCAGCAGATTGCGCGGAGGGAGGGTAGCCAGTGGCGGTACGTCTACAGAGACGCCACTATTGCTCTCTGGAAGAAGTTTGGCCGAGACGAGAAGAAGCCGGGCTTTGTCTTGGAGAAGCTGGTTTCTCATGTAAGCATCATGTTTTGTGACTTTACCCAGCTCATCATTTTCTCTAGATGGCGCAAAAGTTCCTCCCTCGCTTCCGAGATGCAAGGGCTCGAGATCTTGGCAGTTCCATTGGAATTGTCGAGATCAATGCTACCGAGCCAATTGTGAGTTTTTGTCGAAACCATTGGGTGGCTTTGCTGAAACATGACCCAGAATATCGCCATTCTCAACGAGGTTGAGAGAGTTCTCGCCAGAGAGTCCCCGCCCGCCCCAGCATCCTCCCACGAACCATCTTCCTCTCCCGCTCGACGCTTCTCTCCTTCGCCCGATCCTTTGTTGTACAAAGGCAAAGGCAAGGCAAGAGCAGCCACTCCTCTGTCCGAGAGCGAGGACGGCTTTTTCATGGAGCTGCTCGCGGAAGACGATGCCGGCAGCTGGCAGCCTTACGCCAAGGAAGTTTGGGACCGCGCAGGATCTCTCGGCATCCAGCCTGAAGCCTCCACTTCCCGGGCTGCTCGCCAACTCTCTTCCTCTCCACTCATCCCACCACCTACATCTCCACTCGCCTCCCTCTCTCACCCTCCCACCATCTCCTACAAGGGCAAAGGCAAGGAGAGGGCAGTTGATCCTCGCCCCGACGCCAGCCCTGCTCCCAATCCCCGTCAACCTTCCGCCTCAACCCCGAGGCTTTCACCCTCTCCCTTGTTGGCTTTTCCCAGGACCAATAGGGGTCTCTTCAGGAGACAGCGGAGGATCGAGAGCGAGAGTGAGGAGGAGGACGTGTCCGATGGTATTGCGGCGCATGGTACGGCCGAAGACCCAATTCAATTGATAGCGATGTGAGTGACGGATTGCAATTGCAAAAGTAGCATCGAGGCTTACCACATCGCCTAGTCTCCCTCCCCGCCCCCAGCGGCCTTCTCGTAGTCCCCCCAAGCCTGCTTTGCTCAATCGGCGCAGCTTTCACACTGACGTTGATCGTCAAGAGGCCGGCTACCGGGATATACGGGACATGTTTAAGGGAAGGAAGAGGTAG